TATCAAATAATTATTAGTTTATAAAAAAATTGTTTTAAAGTTTATTATAATATTGAATAAATTTTTCTTCTAACTTATTAAGGTTCAAAATATCAAATAATTATTATTTTTATATTCCATAATTGTTTTATAATAATAACTTATAATATTAATTAAAAATAACAAAACACTCTTAAATATAAAACATAAATTTTGTTAATGATTTTTAAAAACTATCACAAAATAGATATTCAATAATTATTTTTGGATATTAAGTATATATTGTTATTAAAATATATTATATAATTCTTCTTATTTTTTATATTCTTTTAATATTTATGATTAATAATACATTAAATTTATGCATTAACTGTATTTTATATCATTTGTATCATTAAATTTTAAAAAATGACACATGTCATTTCTACAATAAACCAAAATGATGAGGTGACACTCATATGGAGAGAGTTAGCCATCTTTTATAGTATAAATTGTATGTGCTTCTCTTGTAACCTTAATTATATATCTAATCAATTGAATATTTGGAGTCTACAAATTATCTACAAAGATACGGACGTGTATAATGATATATAATATGTACCAATATTTGGAGTCTATATCATTTTACAAACGCTATAACTATGTTATAAGAAACATTTGTTCTTCATAGTGGGCGACAATGATTAACCTAGCATATATGTCTATCTAAATGCATTCAGTACCATCAAATACTACAACTGTATATCTTAGAAATTCGAGAAAAAATATATTGAAAATTAATCTCAATCAATACTAAAAGTTTATGCTATTAATATAGTTTGGTATATTAGCTAGCTATTTCAGTTACTGCCGATATTTCAATTAAAAGGGAAAAATGGTTATAATCTTTTTAGATATAGAATTGTCGCAGTAAAAAAGAATATATAAATAATCTATTCGATTTAACAATTTAATTACTGTCATGGCCAATTAATAATGATATTTTTTATTGTAAAAACTCTAATGAAAATGGGTGCACTCAGTATGTATCTTGAATTCTTGATAAATTATATATTGACGTACAGGTATTAGTTTTAACTTTTGATAGTTGATTTTTAAGTGAGAAGTGAGAACGAAGAATGTATCCTTTCAAAAAACATATAATATCACTGGACAACATTAATTTTTCATTTGCTAAAAAACAAAATTAATATTTCAATATACATTACGACCAAAAACATATTTCGAAATAATAACTCATATATATACATAAATGCATATACATATTTATACTTCCAACAACATATACTTTTAATTATTAATGTACACCTAATTACTGATTTTTAAAATTATAAGGAAAATATAATAATTACAAATATCTCAAAATAATAGGTAATAGTCAAAGAGAGAGAAAATAATAAGTTTTGTTTTCATTACTTTTACAGTCAATACAAAAATGACTGGTAGAATACTATAAATTATATATCTATCTTTAAATAAATAAATAAACAAAAGTTTCCTATCAAATGTGTTCAATTTTTTTTATGCCATTAATTTTAATTTTACACATGTGTGGGGTGTTTTAAAGCTGTCATGCCAGTTTTTTTCTTCTGTATATAGTTTTTAATTTTTGTTTATAAAAAAGGTGTAGATATTATTTGTGACACAAGAAGAAATATAATGACAATAAATTTGCAAAACAAAATTAATCTATATTTGTATTCAAATACGTTAAAAATTAAATACTATCTTGTATCAATAATCCTTATTGTGTGATCAAATTAAAATATTTAATACAGTTAATAATTGTTGATTATTAATTATAGCTAAATAATTCAAACATGTATTGTTAAAAACTTTGTGATAATAAATTATTATATTTTCTATAACATAAACCTTCTAACAAAATAACTAAAATATATTTAAATAGTGGTTTCTCTTTTTATGTAAAAATATCGATGTCCAAATATAGTTTTTACATATAATCCATTTTTAATAAGAAATAAGAAAGAATAATGTAATTTTAGGAAAACAATTAATGAAATTAATGAAAGAAATTAAATAAATAAAAATTTATTTCTAATTAAAAGTAAGTTTCTAGTAAAACAAGAGATGTAAATTCTATATTCAATTTTTTCAAGTCATGTTTGTATTTCTCCTTTATTAAAAAAAAACAAAAATATTTATATTTAATGGTAGAATAAAACTTATGTTAAGAAAATATTGAGTTATCAAATTTGTTTAAAAAAATGAGACTCACATAAATAAAATAAAAAATATGTTTTCGCTAATTCCCCCTTATAAATTTGGCATTCTTTTCTATTCACAATGACATAAATTACATGCATTTATCATTCTTAATATCTGACTCATTTTTAACAATGTGTAATAATTATTGAGTATTAATTTGCTGTACTTTTAATTTACCAAACTTTATGAAAGCAATAGAAGCAGATAAAATATCATTCAAGGAACAAAGTTAATAGTAGGCCTTATTTGTTTCTTTATAATTTGAAAATAACTTTTAATTTCTAGTTTCACAACATTAATGTATTTGTCAAACCATAGAAATATTATACCATAAATACTTAGATAAGCTTAATTGAGAGCGTCAACTTCTTGCGAGTAATTAATATCTAGGACATATATAGTCTTTCTGTCATCAAATATGCAACTGCAAAAGTGGGTTTGAATATGATAAACGATTGTCTTACCATCAATCAAGAAAGAGTTTTTCTCAATACAAAGACACAGACCTGTGCTCACACAAAAAAAGAGATATGAAACGCAAAGAGATAGAGCCGGAGCATCCTAGCCTCTTCTACTCTGATCGGTACTCAAACAATTCTCAATTTCCGGAACCTGGTCGGTCTTCATTCGATAACTTTCGTACTAGTGTTCTTTTCTCTGATTTTTCTTTACGTAAATTAGATGTCCAGCCCTATAAGAACATTCGTTATAGTTCTGAACATGGTTGTTTGACCATGAGTGAGCCATCTACTTCAACCTCATTTTTATGTAATTTATCGCTCAACCTTGTTCGTGGCAATGCTCATATCCCGAAGTTTTACACAAGAGATCTCATTTCGTCCATTGAAAGCCGTGACCATCACTCAATAGATCTTATTCCAAACCTCGGAGAAAAGAGTTCCATCGTCAATGGTCCTAAAGATTGGGGGATCGATTTGTCTCTCCAGATGTAATCCTAGTTTTTTCAAAATAATAATAATAATAACTGCATCTGTATTTTTACTTCATATTGTATGTGCTTCTCTTGTAACCTTAAATATATATCTAATCAAATGAATATTCGAAGTCTACAAATTATCTACAAAGATACGGAGGTGTATAATGATATATAATATGTACCAATATTTGGAGTCTATATCATTTTACAAAAGCTATAACTATGTTATAAGAAACATTTGTTCTTCATAGTGGGCGACAATGATTAACTTAGCATATATGTCTATCTAAATGCATTCAGTGTCATCAAATACTACATGTGTATATCTTAGAAATTCGAGAAAAAATATATTGAAAATTAATCTCAATCAATTCTAAAAGTTTATGCTATTAATATAGTTTGGTATATTAGCTAGCTATTTCAGTTACTGCCCATATTTCAATTAAAAGGGGAAAAATGGTTATAATCTTTTCAGATATGATATTTTTTATTATAAGAACTCTAATGAAAATGGGTGCATTCAGTATGTATCTTGAATTCTTGATAAATTATATATTGACGTATAGGTATTAGTTTTGATTTTTGATAGTTGATTTTTAAGTGAAAAGTGAGAACGAAGAATGTATTCTTTCGATAATATTTCAAAAAACATATAAATATCACTGGACAATGGATGCCTTTGATATAAAAAAAAAAATATCATTGGACAACATTAATTTTTCAGTTGCTCAAAAAAAAAATTAATTTTTCAATATACATTACAATCAAAAACATATTTCGAAATAACAACTCATATATATACATAAATGCATGTACATATTTATACTTCCAACAACATATACTTTTAATTATTACTGTACACCTAATTACTGAATTTATAAGGAAAATATAATTATTACAAATATCTTAAAATAATAGGTAATAGTCAAAGAGAGAGAAAATGATAGATTTTGTTTTCATTACTTTTACAGTCAATATAAAAATAACTGGTATAATACTATAAATTATATATCTATCTTTAAATAAATAAATAAACAAATTTTTCCTATCAAATGTGTTTAGTTTTTTTTATGTCATTAATTTTAATTTTACACATGTGTGGGGTGTTTTAAAGCTGTCATGCCAGTTTTTTTCTTCTGTATATAATTTTAAATTTTTGTTTATGAATTATTTGTGACACAAGAAGAAATATAATGACAATAAATTTGCAAAACAAAATTAATATATATTCGTATTCAAATACTTTAAAAATTAAATACTATTCATGTATCAATAATCCTTATTGTGTGATCAACTTAAAATATTTAATACAATTAATGATTGTCGATTATTAATTATAGCTAAATAATTCAAACATGAATTGTTAAAAACTTTGTGATAATAAATTATCATATTTTCAATAATTTATCATAATTTGACTTTATGTACATTTTGAGAGGCTTTTCTATTTTATATTTTCATAACGTTTATATATTTATTGTTTTATAAAATATGTTAAAAGACTTTTAATATTTTGAAAGTGTTTTTTTTTATAAAAAAAAAGTCTTGTGACTTTTGTCTCCAAAGCATAGTTAGGAACAATAATATATTGGCTAACATAATATATCAAATTTTGAGTTTGCGACTCCAAAAATTTATTGAGATCATACTTTCTAGACAACTTTATAAAACACGATAAAATTAATTATTTGATTGACAATAGTTGATCGATTTCCAAATACTATATAAGCAATGTTGTGTTATTGATCTTCTAGTCTTATAACTCTTTAACTCTGTGACATGCAAATCATGTGAAATCCCACCATTTAAGATCATTTGGTATAACCCTAACTCTTGAGCCCTTATTAACATTGTATGCCTTGCGCTACATATCTTATTTGAAACTCTAAAAATACAAAATTCCAATCATCGAAAAACATCAAGATGGTGTATCAACCTGTTTTTCCACATCACTCATCAACTTTCTCACGTTTTTCATGCAACTTTGTAACGAAAAAGTTTGTGGAAGTGAGTGGAACTATATATCAACCTGTTTCGAATTGATCAACCAAAATGGATTCAAACTTAAACCACAACTAAAGGTTCTTTGATTTAAACGTTGAGTTGATAAAACACCCAAAGAACTACAACAGTGTACCAACGCGGAAAACGACGTAGTTTGTTTTGTGCTTTAGTCCCATCTGATGCGGCAACCACGAGCGTGGAGCGTCTCGAGCAATTCCGATGACAGCAAGAATCTAAGAGGTGCGAGAAGCTTAAGCTTCTTGAGCCTGTTGCAACAGGCTCTTAGCGCAAACTCGAACCCTTCAACGGTTACACGGCTCATGTGGAGTAAATCAACGTCTTGAACCCGACTCAGGTTGCTCATCAACATGCACAGAGCCGTATCCGACACCGAGCAATCGCACAAGTTTATCTGCCAAACCATAACACACCAACACAAAGAATCAATTATGTTTCCAATATCATTAAACCGATCGGTTTACCCTATAAAAAATGCTTTCTTTTTCTTTACCTGTCTAAGGTTTCTTGAAAAGTAAGCGAGGGCCCAGAAGCCTGAGTCATCGATATTCTCGCAGAGCTTGAGGTCCAGGTAAGCCAGTTTCTTGCAGCCGCACGCAATTGCAGCTAGACCAGCACCGGTTATATTCTTTAGCCCTCGGAGTTCAAGGTGAGTCAGATGTTCTAGCTGCCGGATTTTTTCAACCCCCGTGTCCGTTAGTTCGCCGCAGTACGATAGAATAAGTCGGTTCAAGCTCTTGCAACCTCGCGATAAAGCTGCTAAACCGTCATCTCCAAAACCAGCGCATCTGCATTCAAAAACCAGAAAACGAGACTTGAGTCAAAACCAGAATCTACAGAGAGACATTGCAACTTTCCTTGGCAAAATCTAACTCAAAACAGAGGGGAGAAACTTTACCGGTATAGATCAAGTTCTAGAAGCTTCGAACATTTGGAACCAATATGAAAGATCCCTTTGTCTGAGATATTTGCGCAGAGCCCAAGTTTCAATCTTAGAAGATTCGAACACTTTGAGATATATTCCAGCCCTGTGATTAAATTTCCCAACAGAACAAATAAACAGTGAGATACATTAAAACTGGTAAAGATATAAAACACACAAATGGAGTTCGGATTCACATGTATGCTTCTTTTTACCTCTGTCATTTACGCCATAACAGTCAGTAAGATCGAGTTCTTGTAGAAGCTTGGAGTAACATCCGAGCGATTCAAGACCTTTTTCGGTTATCAAATGACAAGACTCCAACTTTAAAGTCTCCAGATTCCGGCAAGACTGAGCTACAGCAGAGATGGCTGCATCCGTCACAAATCCGCAGCACGCGAGATTTAGAGTTTTCAGGTTTACGCAGTTGCGTGCAAGACCACTCATCCCAATCTCCGTAACATCAACACATCTGCTCAATCCGATTTCTGTTAAAGATCTACAGACAGAGCTCAAGGTTAAAAGCGAGGAATCCGAGACACGAGCTCCATCGATCCATAGAGTCTTGAGATGCTTCAAAGCTTTTATGTGCTGTAAGAAGCTCACAGAGATCTCCTGTCAATCACACAAAAAAAATTAAAAGAGTAAATAAAGATTCAGCAGAGAGTTTCCTATATCGAGCAATTAGACTAATTTAAGGCCTCGATCACAAACTTACGGATACACAGTGACTGGCTTTAAGGTGTTGAATATCAGGATGGCCTCTGATTATGTAGACCAAGCTGGAAAAACTCACACGGTCACACCTTGTAACATCGATCTCCTGTTTATAGTTCTTACACGTTTTTAAAACGAGATTTAAAAGTGATAAAAAACTGTCTATGTGAAGGCAAAGTAGTACCTGTAATGAAGGAGAACCATTCTCAAGAAACTGTAGCCCAGCATCATCTATCAAAGGGCAGCTTACCATATCTAAAACCTCAAGCTTTGGCAGCAAAGCTATGGAGCGGATTGAATCATTCGTGATCTGAATCGAAATCAGAACCAGAAAAAATTTCAGTTTATGCAATCTCACACGGATCTACAAAGATAAAAACTTTGAATCCACTCCCATCAAATTGCAGGAATCTATCCAAAAAAGTTTCCAAATTTATGCCAGGAATCAAATGCCGAAACAGAGAAGGGGAGAGAGGATTTTTTAAGACATGAACCTTGAGATAAGAGACATCGAGTGATTTCAAATCCTTGCATTTCTTACAGAGAAGATCAATCCCTAGATCGGAGATCTCCATACACCATTTCAAGCTTATCTTGTTTAGATTACTACATCCGATGACGATCCTCGCTAATCCGACGTCGCTAAGGCTTAAGCACTTGTCCATCCTCAACTCCTTGAGCCCCGCCGCAGCAGAAAGCGCCGCCGCTTCCCTGTCGCCGAATCCCCAGCAGTGAGACACGTCGACTTTCTCGAGAGCGTGGCACAAACGAGCCAGCGTCTCCAGTCCCCTGGCTCGGACTGCGGTGGCTCGGCTCAGGTTCAGTGACCTCAGGCGCGATATCGAAACGGCGCCGTCGAGTGCCAGACGCAGAACGACGTCGTCGTCAAGTTTAGGGCAGACGGAGAGGTCGAGGGAGGAGAGATTCGGGTACTTGAAGAGAAGCGCCGGGAGGAACTCGACCCGGAGAACTCGGATCGAGGTCCGACTCAAAGAGTCGACTTGGAGGAACTCTCTGCAGACGAGTCGCCACGTTTTCCGACACGGCGAGTCAAGAAACCCGTAAACCCGAAACAGAAGATCTTCCGACAAAACGGATAAAATGGATAGAGACGGCGACATTTATAACAGGACAAAACAAACAAACAAAAACGAAATAAATTATTATAAAATAGGTGCTTTTGATCTCCTCTAATGGGTTTGGAATCAGAAAACTAAGGATCTTTCTCGGTGAAAACTTAAATCTCTGGAGCTTTTTTTATTAAGTCGGAATGAAGAGGAACACAGCTCGGAGATAGAGTAGAGAGTGGTGAGCCGGTTTTTGGAGGATCCGAATTCGGTTACGGGCTATTAATTTTGGGTTCATCACTCCGATTAGTCGCACCTTCGGATTTTCCGGTGGGAAAGCCAAAACCGAACCTCTCTATTTTCAATTTTCTTTATATTTCGGGTTCATATAAAGGAGTAGAAAAACGAGGAGGAGGAAGAAAGAAGCGTGAAGGGACTAAACAAAATGACGGAAACACCCCTAGATTTAGTTCTGTACGGAAACAAGTGTTGGTGTTTCGAGTCAGTGATCCGTTTTACGGTTGACAATAAACCACGTGGCGGTATCTTAGCGGCTTATGATGGCTATCGTAGGATCAAGAGCAGCTGATTTATACTCAACTGTACCGAAATTAGGTCAGAGCCCTTTACGGGTCCCACGTAACGTGCATCGACCGTACCTATCTGTTTGACCCCAAACTATATCATAAATAAACGAAATGTTAAATATACTTATGTATATATGAAGAAGGCATCTTCGTTGGTCTGACGTGGATAATACGCGAGATCGTCGTGGCAGATCGCAGATAAGATCTGAACCGTTTAAGAGGAGTGAAATGGGACCCGCAAATTGATATTTTTTATGTTGTGCAATTAGTTAAGTAGACATTAAAACAATCAGCATTTAAATCTACCTGTAAGTTTCCAACGTTATTGGCACAGGCCCATGACGGTTCACGTTAGGACTTTCGCTGATTAGAGAACATTTATTTATACATATCTTATTATTGATAAGTTCTACTCTGAATTAAATGTTTGCATACTGAAAATGTATGTACTTTGTGTACGGTTGTTCAGAAGTTGACATATATTTACAAAAAGACATGCATACGTGACGAAACTTCTATTCCAGTTTTCTCATTGCTTTAAAACTATACTTTTAGAAAAAGATGCATACGTAGCATAATGGTGTAGTAATCCAATTTAAACAAATTAGTTACCAATGGTATAGTTTTCTTTTCATGTTCCATGTAAAATTTATAAACACTAATTAGGTGCATATATAGACTGATTTTTTTTTAACATATATAGACTGATGTTTTGACATGTTTTTTCATAGGTTTTCGTTGTTCTAAGGTATGTTTGACTATATATTCAGATCTAGAGATATTTTTGGGTTTGATGTCAAATACAGTGCTTCTACAACTATCGTTAAAAAGAAATACATATGCGTATATCATGTAAGTTCTTGCTGTATATAACAAATATAGTAATAAAAAAAATGTGTGTGGAGAATGAGGAAATCTTATTCAGATTAATGTGGGCTTCAGCAGGAGGTAGAACTAATATGAGTTTTTATTTTGTTTGACTAATATACAAACTCATATTTGTTCCACCACCTGTCAATACACACTTAATCTTAAAAGGATAAGATAGTCGGTACATTTTGTATCTTTCGACTTTAATAATTCTCTTATACTATTTTGAATTCTTTTAATTAATTTTATACATACTGTACGCTGGCCGTTTAAACTTTTAAAATTAGAAGAAAAAAAAATCTTAGATGCTAAATATCTTGGCTTATAATGTCACTCGTAAAAAGGTGAATGGTTGAGAGTTGAGATTTTTCAATAAGTAGGGTTCAACGGGTGATATCAGGGAAATAAATATGTGGTTTGTTGAGACTTTCTTGATCAAAGAAAATAAGTTATATATTCGATTTTACGCTCATGAATGTCAGAGTTTCAACCACTCAACCCTTAAATAGTTGTAAGGGTTTTCAATCAATTAAAATTTTGATCTTTCGATAATTCGTTCACATAATTTGCTTTTTTCATCTAATTTTGAATATACTAAATATGTATGAAACATTATATGAAAATCCTTTAACAAAAAAAAAGTATGAATATTATATCAAACTACAAACTTTTATATTCTGTTTTATAAGTTATAACCAACATTCTAAAAGACTAAAAAAAACACATGCTTGCGATTTAAGAAGGGTTTATACAAACATTATTATCTTTTTGGTATTGATTTTCTGTTTATATTTTTTGAAACGTTATAAGTTTTAATGCTAACAAGAAATCAAAATGAAGAATTAAACTTTTCTCAAAACAGATGTGGTATTTTAAAAATATTTTGAAGTTTGTGAGTTTTTATAGCACGTATGTAATAATTGTCTCTCTCAAATTAATGTACGTTTATCTGAAGGAAGAAAAGTGTTATTCGATACATGTTAAAACAATTTTTTTTTTTGGAAATTTCGTGAGCGAAGCTCGAATGATATGGATTTATAATTCTTTGGACCATGATTTTTAGTAGGTCACTACAGTATGCAACCTAAAAAATAGATGTGGACTGATCCACATTAAAAACTTCTTTTATTGTCTGCAGTCTAAATTTCTTCGTGCATATCTATATATTTTCCGTAATTTGGATTATGATCATTTATATACTACTATAAGTAATTCGAACATTTTAGCAATGGTTTTCGTGTAAGTCATATAGTCTATATAGATAAAAGCTGTTGTTCTTCTCTTTTTGGGGAATAATTTTTTTTATAGATAAAAATCAATATTAAATAGTGTTATGTATAGAGGGGGAAAACAATATATAAATGTAGATTATTGGCTGCGATATACCTGACCAGAATAAGATCTACCCGACTTGAGCCTAGAATAAAATTAGATAACGACAAAGGTGAAAGACTTACCTTCATCTACAAGTTGCCAGATTCTCGCTTCTCCTTCGTTGACATCATTTCGTTGACCATTGGCTTGGGAGGACCGATGATGGAATGGACCCAAATCTATTTCCCTTTATCCTCTCTTTTAAATACTAGTCACGTAAAATACGTATGTTTTCATCATATCATGAAAAAAAAAACTCACTTTTTCTTAGAAGACCCAATAATGTAGAGAAGAGAAAAAAAAAAGTCACATGCAGATTTAAATACATTCATATAAATCAAGAAGAATGTTTGAAAAAATGTTTTTGTAAGAAATCTCAATATTCGATAGACATTATAATAAAACATTGGAGAAATATATCCGTACATGGTGATCTGATGAAGAGTATTCTTTTCATATGATATAACAACATTGATTGATTTAAAACAAGGTGAAGAGTTGTGGGGGATTATATATAGGGCATGCTTCTGATGATGATCACATTTTTTTGGGTCTTAGAATATGAAGGTTTTGTTCATATGATGACATCAAATGCAAAGATGAGTTCATTGTCTTCCCAAAGACAGAATACGAATCTGTGCTATGTGTCACTTCAAATATTATGGTCCATATAAAATCTCAAAATAATTACCATACAATATACATGTGCTGATATATATGTTGATTTTGTTCTGCTATTCCAATTTGGTATCGAATCTACCGCATATGTTCTCTACTTACCATTTGATATCCACCATATCATGTGTTAAGGTTGGAGTCATCGTCTGTTTACATCATTTACTGTTTTAGAATCTCTTGTCCTAGCAAGAAAATGGGATCACAAATTCATCACTTACATACAATTGAAACTAAACCAAATTGGGCCGGGCCCATTTAATAAAAAGGAACACCCGATATAGCAGAACTAAACTGATGGTTTCGTGTTATATATATTGAACGTTGTTGTTCTGATGGTTTCTTTCGTTTTTCCGTTTTGTTTATTTATTTTTTACTAGCTTATAACTCAATCAAACACAATGAGACGTATGAATCAACTCATGTGATGGCTGCGACCAAAAACCGCTTTTCGAATATCAAAACGAATGTTCACAAACGCAATGCTATTTACAACGCAGTTTTGTTACTTAAACGTCGTGGCATGATGAACGTGTTGTGATAGAGATGAAGATGAAGAAGAGGAATGTAGGAAGAGGCAAACGGCGGACATATCGTCCATGGCGATTCCTCGTCTCTTCTTCTTCCAAGCCCGAACCGCTTGCTCCACTAATCGCTTAGCCGCCTTAGGCTGCTCCGCCGTCAAAGAGACGATCTCTATAGCCTCTTGGTTAGAGATCACATCCCATATCTTTTATATTCAAACCAAAACAAACAAAAAAGATTGGTTAGTAACTTAATCTCAGACTTAATATCTATCGTTTTTGGTTTTATAGATACTTACTCCGTCACTAGCCAGGATGATGAAATGGTCTTTTGTAGAGATATGCCTTTGAGAGACTTCAGGGACTGAAACCACTCCATACTCTTTGATACAGTAGTCTCCGAACGCTCTCGACATTGCGAGCCCCGGCCTTTCTGCGTCCGGTTGCCACACACGGTGGACTCCTGGCTCATCTTTCAGACAGAAAACCCGCCCGTTGCATCCGATTATCCGCTCTTTCTCCTCTGTTTTTTTTTAAAGGCAAAACGCAATCACAAGAATCAAGATTCAAGAGTTTACTAAGAACAAGATTCATCTTTTCTTAGCTACTAGTAAGGTTGAGAGAACTAACGAGGCAGATTCGGTTTGAAATCGAGGGTGAGCTGAACAGCGACCAAGCTTCCTTCATCCGATACCGTGGCTAGTACCGCTCGTGAATCGCCTACATTTGATATATAAATCACGTCACCCTACATACAGCAAGAAACCGTTTGATCAGTGAACATATATATATAAACTCTCAAAGATTTGTATCTTTTTATGTTTCTTACCTGTCTGACAATGGTTAGAGCGGTTGTGCCGCTGTTGTAAGAATCGATCTTGCGGTGATGTTCAAGCTCTTGATCAACCGATGCACATGTCTTGAGATACGAGTGTTCCCATATGTCGAGTCTCGAGAGCTTTTTGTTGGAGCCTTCGTGGTCTAGCTCGGGCTCTAGTAGTGTGGCTTGAGCAAGAATCTTTTGCCAGTTGCAGAGAAGCGTGGAAGGCATTGAGTTTCTTACATGTTTGGCTACATAGTGACCCCATGGACCATGTCCATCGAATATTCCGCAGAATATCATGTCTTCTTGGCACCCAAATCCCTGTTTACCAAAAAGTTAACCCGCGTTTCAAGAAGCTGATATAAATCGGCAAACGCGGAAAAAGATAACATTTGCTGCCAACATAATTACATATGCTATAAATCTAGTTGCTGTGGAGATGCTACATCTAACAGTCTAACAAATAAACGCAAACGCAGAAAAAAGAAGAAGCTAAAAACGGACGAAAACGTTAGTAACGTAACTTACTATTTGAGAGAGAGAGTAGTGGTATTAATAATATACCTCCCAAACGATTGCACAGTCCTGGTTAACGCCTTTTTCGCCGCGTTTGGAGAAAACAGAGGCCGAGTTATTAGATCCTTCTGCATAAACGTAACCACACGACTTCAGAATCAGCTCCTTCTTCTTGGCATCTTTCGCCATCTCATCAGCTGCTTCCTTAGCGTCGCTGTTTCCATTGTTGTTCTTCACTTTCTTGATCGAGAAGGATCGAGCCAACCCAGAGAACATCGACGAAAAATGTCCCATTTGATTCGTCTCACCAGAAAGATGAAAATACCAAGCAGCAACGAGTAACTTTCTCGTTAAGCTTTAAGATGATCCTGAATCTGTTCAAAATGATTCCATAAAATCTTTTAGATACTTGATAAGTGTAAGAGCTCTAGGGGGATAATATAATGTCAAAAATGGAAAATAAAAGCTTTAAGTTTTATTTTGGAGAAAGAAACAGAAGTTAGAACTTAAAAGTGAGAAGATGAGTCATAGTGTTCAAAATCGAAAGGATTTAAAAGACAAAAACTGGAACTTTTTAGTAGAATAATTGATAAGTCTGACATGGAATTCCATTGAAACAAGCTTCCGAGATTATCAAGGGAAGTAAAAGTTTCTCTTTAAAGAAAACACATTTGGAGTTATTTCTTAATAAGGAAATGGAAAACAAGTTGCAGGATTCCAAGATTCTCTCCTTTTGCTTTTTCGAGGAAAACTAACAAGAAAAAAATTCAATAAATCCATCACAGTCTCAAAACTTTCTCAGCATGCTGTTGCTTAATATATGATATATATGGCATACCTTAAATGCTAAAAGAAGCAAACACCATTAATATCCCCGTTAGATTTGCTTCAAAAATACTTTTAAGCTTTTTCGATCTGTAACCAATAAAATAAGTTAAAATTTCCAAATCTGAGATGAAGGACCAAAAATCTTCATTTCTCCCCGAAGTGACAAAGGGAAACCAATTTTTACTCAAATTTTTTACTTTTTATATCAAAAACTAGAAAATATTATTTTTTTAGAATTCAGAAGTAGAAAAATATTGAAGATCTAAAAATAACAAAGGTTTACTGGGAAACTTTCTCTTCAGCTTCATAACTTTTTCATTTGGATCTTCTATTGCTCACAGACCAATCAGGTTCTTCTGAGATGTATGAAGACAGAGAGAGGGAGAGAGAGAGACCTTTGAAATGGCACGTGTGTAATGAAGCTCAGAAACGCCGGAGAGATGATGTAAGCTCGGAAAAGCTGACGTAGAGCACCCAACGGAGAAAATAGCTAAAGGAGCGGAAGAAAAATATCAGAATCCATTTAATGCTCCATAGACACCGAAGCAGAAATTAAATGGAACGATTTAAGGAAAATAATTGAAATTATTTACAAGTAAAGTTAAGTTTTCAGGTACACGGTGTTCTCTCTGTCATTTATCTTGTGGCAGGAAGAAGGACAAAGAAATGGACGACATCGTCTTTGGTCTTTTGTGGATGATATATAAGACCATAAATTCAATTATTACATACTTTTTTAATTATAAACTCTCCACGATATTTGTTGATTAGTAGTATGTTTTAAATTAAAATTGGTTTGATTCAGCACAAATTGTAAAATATTGTTCGGGGTTGTAAGAAACAAAGACAACGACAACATATATTTTTAAAACAAATTTTCTTCAGAAATAATTTATATGGTTTTCAACTGCAATATACATTTATATGATGATAAAATCTTTTGTCAGAAACAAAACAAATAATAAATTGAGAAATTTGTGAACATGATTAAATGGGTTAACGATGAGTGTGTCCCAGTCGTTGCATCAAGGGTCAAATAAAGTTAGATCTAACAAATAAAAGTTCAGTAACGAAAATCAATAATAAACCAAAAAAAAAAAGAAATATTTAATTAAAAAATTCACTACTTTGATTTTTCACTCATTTTCTGAAAGTTTTCTTTCTTCAGTTTTAGCGGAAGTCAACATTTTATTTTTATTAGAGTTGTTGTACAAGACAATAAAATACGAAATTAACATATTACATAATTTGATATTACGTATTATATATATTATCTGTATAAAGAGAATGTCAACACTTCCGTTGTCGACCTTGTGGTTATGCAATTATTATACGAATAATAGCAAAAACAATTTGTAAAATCAATATAATTGGCATAAAATTAGGTAAGCGAGACTGCGAGAGACTTAACAGATATATGGGCAAGCGGTAAAGAAAAACAAATTCGACAGTTGGGGAATCCAATCATGTATATGATGTTACGATTGATATGATATTATATTTATATGTTAAAAACTGTTTTTTGTTTTTGAGAACGTATATGTTAAAAACTGTTATGATTGATAGTATTAATTACTACTTTTATTTGGCATTGCGTCATATGATAATCGTGGTAAACTATATTACCATTTGTCAACGACATCGATTTAAAGTAAAATATACAAACCGGTTAAAAAGTGAATATTTAAAATACGCGAGCATAGTTGATGTATTATATATACGGTATGGTCAAAATATCATTAAGTTTCCAAACCAAATAAAATATTCAGGTCAATATCCGAACTACTTTTAAATCTTGTAATTTTTTTTATTTTTGTATTGATTAAAATCTTACTGTATTATTTTGGCTACGGATTTTGACTACCGACCAAACAAGATGGGTAGAAAAAGAATGAAATTGATAGAAATGACTTGACAATAATCTCTCTAACTTTAATAAAGTCCAGTAAAAGGCAGTACAATGATTGTTAATTTGTTAATTGGCTTAACTCAAACATTGATAATTGTTTCGTCATTAACAAAAGCTTGTAATTCCATAAAAAAAAAACTACTATACACAAAGTCCCTATGCTTTTTTCTTAACCGGGAGATGATGAATCGAAACTCAAACTAGTTTTTATTACCTGGAGAAAAAAAATCAATACTCTCGTCACTAAGTCCTACAAAAGTGTTAGCAATCATTTTTGTTTGTTTCATATTTATAAATCGTGAGGGTCTCTTAGTTATTGAAATTATATCCTAGTACATGTGATCATTTCATGATGTCAAACTAAATAATTTTTACTTTTTACTTTTATTTATTTTTACTTAAAATCTTAATACCTCAAAAATAGGATATGAGTCCAAAAAAAGAAATGTCCAATGTCCAACGCAACTCAAAAACTCGTTCGACACTATAACCATCTTCACATCTCTCGACCCTCGTATACGTAGACCGACTGCTGGTAAGTGGTAAACAAGAGTAGTTTAAAATTTAGATACTGTTCTTTTTTTGTCTTTATTAATACAGTTCACGCTGTTAAATGCTTTATCCGAACTATCGTCACACCGTTATAATAAAAAAAAAATTGTTTAGTTATAAACTTATAATCAATTTCAACATGCACGTTACATGTATCAAATGATTCAAATCTCTCCAATTGATAATACTTTCTTAAATGGGTATATTCATAATAGAGAAAACCAAGTTGAGCATGCAAAATACATTAAAGTACGTAGGTCGTAGCCATACACGTTTAACACAAGGATTCTCAAGTATGGATAAACAGTTTTTTTTATAACGTATAAACTATATTATATTGTAACATATGAATCTTTAATGATGTCAAAAAAAAAAAAAAAACATGTGAATATGGTCCATGTGTTGTACCTAAATTATTGAAACTATAAAAGAAATACTTTAATCATAAAGGTGCATGTATATATATAATTCATGGAGTGATCAAACAAAAGCAATATATATAATCGTTAACCGCACACAAATATCTTTCGTGAGAAAAAAAGGTACTCACAAATATCACGAACAGTATTAGAATATAGTTGTTAGAGCGTAATTTATTATTGTTATAGACTAGACAGCTCACGGTAAAAGACTAAAAGGGTTGATTGGTCTCGTTCGATTACATGACTATTTTTCCGGTTTAATCAAAAATATTTTTTTATTAAAGTTTTTGTAAACAGGGAGTAAACCGGAACGAAGACCGTAGCGTGTCAGGTCGCAGTAGCTAGACGCCGTGACGAAACCGGGCACGAACCTTCGAGTTTCACAAGGGAATAGTCAGTGGGACCCAATTATGGAGACTGTGCGTGACCGCTTGTGACGGTAGGCCTTTAGTGGGACCCCATCACGCACAAGAAAACAACAAACATTGATTTTCTGTATTGGTTGGATGAATCCCCAATATGTCGGCAACAATCATGCACACAAAATCTTTTTCTCTGTTTACAATTATTTTGTTCACGTTAAAAAAATGAAAGTTTATTGTTATATTAAAAGACAGGTTGGATACATATCATAAAAATGCATAGTTTGAAAATTAATCGTCGTGTATTTAAAAAACCAGTAACATACTAATAATAGACTAACTGAGCAAAAGATCTTAGCATCTTTCTAATATTGCGGAACTAACGTTTTTCATATTAGATCTGAGAGCCTCCTACGTGGTAATGAGTCATATGACATGACCTATGCGCACGAACACGTGACGAGAAAAACAGAGGATCGCTACTTCACCAGGAGACTATTGGTGTGTGAGTGTGAGCAGAGAGACTCTCTCTCTACGGTGATCACTTCCCATTTTTAAGGGGAAGTTCCAATTCGGCAGCCGAACCTTAGTCGAAAACCACATGATGAATTCGGTCCTCACGGGGCCCATTCGTGAGCCAAACCTAAAGCTAAAAAAACATTTCGTTCTACGGTCCACACGTGGCGACCAGCAATCACATGTGGGGCGGTGCACCGGATAAGGATTCTACACTCATTTAGATGATTAAGAAATTACGAGCTATAGCCTATACCCTTACTAAATCAACATGAGAAATTATGGCTCTCATTGGTAACACTTGTGCAATGGTGGAAAAACATAAAAATGCAAGAATTTTGCTAATAAAAAAATCTGTAGAAAAACATAAAAATGCAAGATTTGTGAAATTACGTTTTTACTTATAGAAAATACAAAAACATCTTTATTAAGCAGAAAAGCGTGTTTGGAGTAGATTATTTACAGAATCAATATTTATATAACTAATTATATTTTATTATTTAAATAAATATAAATAAATAATTTAGTATTACAAAAAATATTTAATGATAAAATTATATCTATTATTTAAAATTTACAATATTTTTTTTTATTTTGAAAAACAAATTATTAAAAAGTTACAATTAGAATTATATTATTTTATAATAATTGATTGAATTATTAATATTTTATTTTTATAATATATAGTAAAAACAAAATATTTTCAAATAAGCATATTCTGTAATTCCGCTGTTCCGCTATTCTTTATAATTTATCCAATCGTATAAAAAAAAGTTTTGCAATTCCGCAATAAATTATTCTGCAATTCATTTTTTCTGTCATTCCGCAATTTCACGACATAAAAAATGTGTTATCTATTATTACTTTTGGCTGAAAACAATCATTTTACATTTCGTGAAAAATAAAAGAAAAAGTAGTAAATTCGTGAAAATTTTAACGAAATTTTTTGAGTGATGTTATTTTGACAATTGATGAGTAGCCTGTTAAGTAATTTTTCATTTTCTATTTTCTAGAGCGGGTGTGTTGTATGTGTATAAGCTTAGACAATTTTCGTTGCAATGAGATAAGGAAAACTCAAATGTTTCACGATATTGGGGATAAAATGGGCCTATTAATTTGGGCGTAAGAAGCCCATAACTATACAACCATAGTGAACCGCAGATATGGTGTGAATTTTCCACAAAACCGGTTCAATAAACCGGAGTCACATTCAAGAAATCGAAAGTGAGACTCACTTGGATTCGGTTTACTGAGAAAAAAAGTCACAAAACAAACACGGATGCTATCTTTTGTGAACTAATAATCAACCTGAGAGAGATGATAACAAAACTTACCTGACCTGAATCTGAGCTCCGTGAATCTATCTCCGGTCCCCAAAAAAATTAGATGTACGTATATGTTGAACCAGAAAGTAACGAGAGCTTACAGTTATAGATCAACGGGGAGAGAGAAGCAAAAGATCTTCAGAAGTAGGTAAAAATGACAATAAAATCTGAAATCACCTGATTCTTGTTGGTACCGACAGAGTTTGGTAATTACCTTGGTCAAAGGGCAAGAACAATGAGTCAAAACATGGTCGGTTTTTTTAGCGTGATTGTCATGAAAATTCAACATAATCAAGATCCAAAATAACATAATGAACATTTTGAATGCCCATTATATATATAAAAAAAATCAACATAATGAACAAGCAAGGAATATTTGTCTCATTTTTATCATAAACCTATACCTAAAAATAAAAAATTTGACTTGGCAAGTCATGAAGACACGGCATCCTTGTTCTAGCATTTAACAACGTAGAACAAAATTATTGGGAAGCTCTCAATTCTAGGGGTTTATGAATTTTTAATCCTTAGTTTTATGATTTTTTTTTACTACTATAAAATAAAAATCAAGAAAAGGCACAAACTTGTAAACCATATATAAAAGCCCACCACCCCTCAAAGTCATGTATTAGTACAGCTTCTCCAGAAAACAACTAACCTTCAAAACTAGAAGTCGTTTATATATATACCGAAGAACTATAAGTTAAAACTGTTTCTCTAAAAGCTACAATTTCCAAAAGTATATTGTGCCTAGTATTTTCAAACTCATGAGACAACACGTCACATAAAACTTCAACGTTTTTACACATATTCAAAAATACACTTATATTACGATGACAACATATTGGATAATAAAATAATGTTTATTGTCTATAAAAACTACTCCCTCCGTTTTTTTTATATATGATGTTTAAGGTTTTGCATAGAGATTAAAAAATTATTTAGTTTTTTTCTTTTTTCAAAACAAAATATTGATTCCAAAACAATTCAACTAATAGAAAAATAATATATAGAATAAAATAATTACTTTTTACATTGATTTCTGAAAATATCATCTAATTATGAACAAAAAAAAATTCTAAAACATCTTATAAAAAATGGAAGGAGTATTAATATAATAGGTTTCCAACTTTAGTATTTAATACTCATGCAAGACTGTTTCTATAGAAACTAAAAAAAATGAGCATTCGTTCTTAGGAAATACACTATAAAGTATAAACAGATTAAAGAATTGTCGATTTCTTCTTCTAAACTCATAAATGGGTTATAGAAGAGATGCATGCTACAAAGTTAGACTCAATATAAGAAAATGTTGACCTAGTCAAAAGAACAGATTTTAGATGCAAGATCTACTACTTATAAGAAGATAACATCATTGTATATTCAAAAGTTGGTGTCTGATTCCACGGCAAAAGATTTCGTAAAGTTCTGAATTTGTTCGGTCCTTGATGCACCACAATCGAATAAAACCGCAAGACTCTGATTTGGCTCGGTCTGAAGAACACGAAGCTTGTCTCGGAATAACCCTAAACGACCCTCCAACGAGTACTCCATTGCTAAGAATTTCTCAGAGAATTTATTGTCTTTCTCAAGAGATCTCTTCTTCTCGTCGTTGACCTTCTTGTTTAGAAATAGAGAAATTGGTGTTTTTCATGCATTTATCTTTGTTGCTTAGTTTGCTAAAACTCTCGGCCATATCTCTGACTTTGGATTGATCCTCGGGTCATGTCTTGATGAGTTCACCATCACGACCGTAATAGAGGACGCAGACTTGGATTTCGCATAGAGTCGAGAGCTCGTAGGCCTTTTTGAGCATTGTCAGTTCTCTCATAGAAACATTGGTCATCTTTTGATATCCATTTCTTTTAAAAAAACATTGGTCATCTTTTTTGGAGCGGGAGATGTGGAAGAGAAAGATGATTTCTTGAAACGGATTTAATTTCTCACAGACAATTTGGTTTTCGTCTTTGTCGAAAAAGAAGAATCTTTTGTTTACGCCAAAAAAAAAGAAGAAAAATGCTTTAAGGGTTTCAGATCAGACGGAAGAGAAACTCAAACAAGAGATTATTGGGGATTAAGCGCGAGTAATAGTGAATAGTGTTTTAGGAGAATATTGGACTGTGGCTTTTAATTTCCTTTCCTTTTTTGGCGTATATTTTGTTTGAATGTTCCGATATTACCATATTCTATTTTCCTATAGCCGTATGAATTTTGGATTTTTTTTTTATTAGTATCGTTTTAGACTTTTAGGATAGACTGATAGAGAACAACAAAATTTTTGAGGCTTGCCGTGAGATGTTAATAACAAGTGATTATGATCATTATTTGTAGATGGTGACTTGTGAGATGTTGAATTTGTCCACCGTGTAATTGACACGTTCCCGGAGTTAAAATGACGAGAATGAGATCTTAATATATCGCGAGAAAAACGGGTGATTAATATTAGAAGGAGAAAATGAAAAAGCCAAATAAAAGAGCGCATCGAAAGCTGAGAGCGACATCACAAGAGAGAGAAATGTGGGGACCAGACTGGACGTGTGCACAGAATATTCACACTATTTGAATTTTGTTTCGAATCCGCCACTCCATCTCCAATTCCACTTATCACTCAATTCGATGATAGCCTGCATTACGTATCTTATAAGCGAATCTGCATATCACCGATGTCTGCTCCGCTTATATCTGATAAGTCGGTAAATGATGAAAGACCTTTCTCTCTCTCTGGAAGAAGAACGCGTCCAAGAAAGCGAGGTCAAGTTTCTCTATCTCTACCTCTCTCTCTCTCTCCCCCACAATCTCCTCCTTTATTCATTCTCTCTCCATTTCTCTAAAAGCAGCTCTTCAAAACCCTAGAAATTCTCGTGATTTGGGCTGCAATCAGTTTCGTCTGGCTTGTACAGATCTCCAGAGCTCTCACCGAGCTCGGATTCGTACGTAATCGTGTGTTTTGGGGTGTTTTTTTTTCCACCGTTTAGCTTCTTGTTAGGACGTTGGATTTGAGATTACAAGCTTCAAAGAATGTCATCGTTAAGCCGAGAGCTTGTATTTCTCATACTGCAATTCCTCGAGGAAGAGAAATTCAAGGAGTCTGTGCACAGGTTAGTCTATTTCGTCTCTGCGTTATATCATATACTCTGTGAAAGATTGTTGCTGAATTTTTGATTAGTATTTAAAAGTGCAGTTTCGTTATAAAACATGTATGTCGTTGTTAAAAAAACAAAACTCGTTCGTGTAATAAACTTGGATGGTTCCGGAGTTTGGATTGTATTTGAATCAGAGTAGAGAGCGGAAAAGAAAAACTTATTTTATTTTTTTCAGAAGAAATCGAAAAGCTAATTAGCCTGATTTTGATGACTTGAATAGCCTGAGTTCTCAGGGAATTTCTGTTGTTGATATGCCCTGAGAGGCTGAAAAAGACAAGATCTAGTTGGTGTTTGCTGATTTGGAATTGTCCCTGTGTCTTTATAGGCTCGAGAAGGAGTCAGGGTTCTTCTTCAATACAAAGTATTTCGACGAGAAAGTTCTTGCTGGAGAATGGGATGAAGTCGAGCAGTACTTGTCTGGGTTTACCAAGGTTGATGATAACAGATACTCAATGAAGATTTTCTTTGAAATTAGGAAGCAGAAGTATCTCGAGGCTCTTGATGGGTATCATAAATAACCTCTGTTTTTATCTGTTTTACCTTTTGTGGGTTTCTTTTTGTGGTTTCAGAGTGTGATGTCATCTCATGTCTCTCTCTACAGGCAAGATAAGGCCAAAGCAGTTGAGATATTGGTGCAGGACTTGAGAGTCTTCTCCACTTTCAACGAGGAGCTCTACAAAGAAATCACTCAACTTTTAACTTTGCACAACTTCAGGTACGAGATGTGGAATCTAGTCTACTTGTAGACATTCCTCTTGTGATGGAAGAAGTGATTGTTTGCCTTTGTGGATTGAATTTGACATCAATGATATTTCAGGAATCTGATTCTCTAATAAATGCAGGGAAAATGAGCAGCTTTCTAAATATGGGGATACCAAAACAGCTCGGAGCATAATGTTAGGAGAACTAAAGAAACTAATCGAAGCTAATCCTCTTTTCCGTGATAAACTGATGTTCCCTACCTTGAGATCTTCGAGACTGCGGACTCTGATTAACCAAAGGTGTGTTTCTTCCCTTATCTCCTCACAACCATAGTACTATATGTTACTGACTTTCTTATTGAGGGAATCATTGAGTGTACGTGTTTATCTTGCAGCCTAAATTGGCAGCACCAGTTGTGCAAGAATCCTCGGCCAAACCCAGATATTAAAACTCTATTCACAGACCACACGTGCGCAGTTCCTAATGGCCCACTGGCTCCTTCACCGGTCAACCAGCCTGTTACAACTTTGACAAAGCCAGCAACTTTTCCGTCGCTTGGAGCTCATGGTGTAAGAAACCACAATGTCTTGACTGCTTTGTTCATGTTTTTGAATCTAAGAAATCTTAATATCTGAGAAAATTATGTATTAAATGTAGCCATTTCCTCCTGGTGCTGCTGTTGCTGCTGCTGCTAATGCTGGCGCTTTGGCTAGTTGGATGGCTACTGCCTCTGGTGCTTCTGCTGTTCAAGCTGCCGTTCTCTCACCTGCGTCTATGCCTCTACCTCAGAATCAAGGTTAGTTTCTGACGAACTTCAAGATTTATTTGTTTTTTTCTGGACTTATCACTTATCAGTAACCACCCGTTCTATTTCCTAGTGAGACTAATTACTTTTCTTCTAAAAAGTGTCAGTCTTGAAGCGACCAAGAACACCACCAGCAACTCCAGGTATAGTAGATTATCAGAATCCTGATCATGAACTAATGAAGCGTCTCCGTACTGCCCCATCTGTTGAGGAGGTAACGTAAAATTCTTTTTTATATCTGGAAAGCTGTTTGTATGATTCTTGCATTTTTGTTGTTTTCAAATAATAAGCATCTATAATTTTCCAGGTGACATATTCTGCTCCGAGGCAGCAAGCTCCATGGTCGTTAGAAGACTTGCCATTAAAGGTGGCTCTAGCGTTGCCCCAAGGGTCCACTGTGACAAGCATGGAGTTCCACCCTATGCAAGATACGTTACTTCTTGGTATGAGGCTCTAAAACTCAAAATACGAATTCTAAACACAATTTGAAGTTATGTTTCGGTTGTATGCTCTTTGGCTTTCTGAATGACCACTTGCGTTCCATCAGTCGGATTTGCGACCGGAGAAATCACATTGTGGGAACTCGCTGCTCGAGAGAGGCTGGTTTCAAGGCGATTCAAAATATGGGATATGGCTAATTGCTCACATCAGTTTCAGGTTTGTCGTTACAGCTAATAATTATTTAGTTTCTTTGTTTGATCTGAAAGTCTTGATTTCAACAATATGGCTGTGAGAAGTGATGGAGACAAAACGTATCATCAAACTAGTTGTTGTGCAAGGATCTTATACTTACCATTTTTGTGGGCCTCATCCAGGCTTTGATGGCTAAAGAAACACCAATATCTGTGACCCGCGTCGCATGGAGTCCAGATGGAAATTTCATTGGTAAGTTTCCCATCATGCATCGTGGAATATTAAATTGGTCTCTGGTCTCAGTCTCTTCTTGTGCAGGGGTTGCTTATACGAAGCATCTTGTTCACTTGTATGCTTTCTCTGGACCTAATGATCTTCGCCAGCATACTGAGGTGAGCATACGTTTTATCCGTACGAGAAACAATGCTGCGACTTAATAGTATCCCATAAAATTATCAAATTTCTCACAGATTGATGCTCATGTGGGTGCTGTAAACGACTTGGCTTTCGCTAATCCAAACAGACAACTGTGTGTAGTCACTTGCGGAGATGATAAGCTAATCAAGGTGAGACAAAATGAATCACAGGGTTTCCTTGTTAGACATCTCTGCAGCTAGCTGCCTAACTTGATCACTGTGGAACAGGTCTGGGATGTTTCAGGTCGGAAGCATTTTACCTTTGAAGGTCACGATGCACCTGTTTATTCCATTTGCCCTCATCACAAAGAGAACATTCAGGTGTGGCAAAGAATGAAGCGAACTATTTTCTATATCATCCATTATATTGTTTTTCCTTTTGAAGAATATAAATAGTAGCTTACATATTCCATATATAGTAGATCTTACCTATGGATTTATGCTCTTTTCCATAACATATAATGTTCGTATTTGGATTTCAGTTCATTTTTTCAACGGCCATAGATGGGAAAATAAAGGCCTGGCTTTATGATAATCTGGGTTCCAGAGTTGACTATGATGCTCCCGGTAAATGGTGTACGACGATGCTTTACAGTGCTGATGGGACTAGGTAAGAACCGAAATTGATATAAATTTCCCTCTTCAAATTCTTCACTGAAATGATTTATTCCTGAAGTTAATGCTGTGTCCTTGAGTTTCTAGTCGTTTTTTCTTTCAAATTACTCATTTTCTCTCCCGAATATCCTGCATTTATTTCCTGAATTACTAAAAACTCAAATCTATCTGTTTTCAATATACCTTTTTTCATTGTTTTGCTTTAGTTCTTTCTGATGTTATGTAATTGTTGTGTTATTTTTCTTCAGATTGTTCTCTTGTGGAACGAGTAAAGAGGGAGATTTTTCCCTAGTTGAGTGGAACGAGAGTGAAGGATCAATTAAAAGAACCTATCTTGGGTTTTTGAAAAAGTTGGCAGGTATGGTTCAGTTCGATACCTCAAAGAACCACTTTCTGGCTGTTGGTGAAGATGGGCAAATAAAGTTCTGGGATATGGACAACATCAATGTTCTGACTAGCACTGATGCTGAGGGTGGACTTCCGGTTAGTCCCACATATTCTTTTTCCCATGGTTTGTTGTTGCTTGGTGTTCCTTTTTCCAGGTTTGGATACTAACTTGTCTCAACTTCAGGCTCTTCCTCGTTTGAGATTTAACAGGGAAGGCAATCTTCTAGCCGTTACTACGGCAGATAACGGATTGAAGATCCTAGCAAACCCAGCTGGTTTCCGATCTCTGAGATCCATGGGACCTTCAGCTTTTGAAACGATGAGGACTCCAGTCGATTCTTCTGGAATCATTAAAGCTGTAACGTTTCTCAAGTCTGTTGTATATTTTCCTTTCTTTACATCCACTTTTGTAGTAAGCTGACTCGTTTCACACATTTTGGTATGGTGTTAGGTTCCCGGTGCTCCTGTTGCGTCTGTCAGCTGTAAAGTTGAAAGAGGCTCTCCTGTTAGAGTCTCACCAATGCTGGTAAGTCACCCATTACATGTTATGAGTCTCATTAAATGCTGGTGAAATGAAGCAGTTGTCTGTTACAGGTTTTCTTGTCATGTTTAACAATATTTACTATTTTCTTTATTTGGGCAAATCCTCAAGAATGGAGTTGATCCCTCAAAGTCAAGAATCGACGACTCAACAGACAAACCAAAGCCTTGGCAGTTAGCTGAAATCTTGGACCCTGCACAGTGTCGCCAAGCTACTTTACCCGATACCGCTGGTTCTTCCACAAAGGTTTGCGCAATTAACTTTCTCAGAGATATGTTCTATAAAATTCAAAAAACCAAGGCTTACGTTTCTCCTGTTGCATGCAGGTCGTCCGGCTTCTGTATACAAATTCTGGCGGTGGAATCTTAGCACTAGGTTTTAATGGTAGTCAGAGACTCTGGAAGTGGGTTCGCAATGAGCAAAACCCTAGTGGAAAGGTAAGCATATAAGAAGAGTTAGAGAGAGCTCAGAGCGAGCATGCTGTGTGCGGTTTTATTTAAAGTAACGTTTATCGTACAGGCAACTGCTACTGTTGTTCCTCAGCATTGGCAACCAAACAGTGGTCTTCTCATGACCAACGATGTTTCTGGTGTAAACCTTGAAGAGGCAGCCCCATGCATAGCTCTCTCTAAGAACGACTCATATGTCATGTCGGCTGTTGGAGGAAAAGTCTCGTTGTTCAACATGATGACTTTTAAGGTATATCTATCTTCATGTACACATAAACTTAGGCCACTAAAGCCACAAGCTTTAGCTGAAATGGTTCTCACACTAATCCTATAAACTCTTTTGGGGCTCTAATATTTAAAGAAACCTATTTGCCTTATTATAGGTGATGACGACGTTCATGCCGCCTCCACCGGCATCAACATTTTTGGCGTTCCATCCTCAGGACAACAACGTCATCGCTATTGGAATGGAGGACTCCACGATTCACATCTACAATGTCCGAGTGGATGAGGTAACTAGTCGCTAGTACCAACCATTGCCACAGAAGTTACTTGTGAACTTTTTTTTTAAGGAAGTAGTTATCATACGAGCTCCCTCCACTTGTATTTGTGCTCCATCAGGTCAAATCAAAGCTAAAGGGTCACCAGAAACGCATCACTGGCTTAGCATTTTCCACAACCCTCAAGATCTTGGTTTCATCTGGCGCTGATGCACAGGTGTGTGGGTACTTATGCTGCGTCATGTTATTATCCTGCAGTAAAATATCTCAACTTAAACGCTTCATGTTGTCTTGTCGTAGATATCCTTTTGGAGCATTGACACATGGGAGAAGAGGAAATCCGTTGCAATACAAATGCCAGCAGGAAAAGCCGCCAATGGAGACACGCGTGTTCAGTTTCATGTGGATCAGATCCGTATCCTGGCAGTCCACGAGACACAACTGGCGATTTTTGATGCTTCCAAGATGGAATGTATACGACAGGTATGTATAATAAACACACAAAAAATGGAAATGCAAAGATCATATAGACCTGAATTCTTGATACCTATTTTGGAATCTTGTATTGACTGACTTAAGTTTTTGTTTGTTTCCATGACGCAGTGGATTCCACAAGACTCGTTGTCTGCTCCGATATCATCAGCAGTGTACTCCTGCAACAGCCAGTTGATCTACACCGCTTTCCGCGATGGTAACCTTGGAGTGTTCGACGCAGACACTCTCAGATTAAGATGTCGTATCTCTCCATCTGCCTACTCGCCTCCAGGGTAAATTATCCAACATTTCATCAGATTCTTAATTCTAAAACCGATGTACTTTTTTTAAGATTCCGTCTTGAATCTGCTTAATCGACCTAAAACGACTTCTGAAACATGACAAGTTAGGTATATATTGTCACGAGTCAGAATTATAAACTTCTCTCTATATAAATTATCTTTTTGCTTTTACAGGAACCAAGGCTTGTCCCCTCTAGTTGTGGCAGCGCACCCCCAAGAGCCAAACCAGTTTGCGGTCGGTTTGAATGATGGGTCAGTTAAGGTGATAGAACCGACCGAGGCTGAAGGCAAGTGGGGTATGGTTCCACCCTCTGAAGCCATCAACACTTCACCTTCTACAACAAGCAACCAAACTCCAGAACAGTTGCAAAGATGAGCAAAACCACAATGGGTTTACTCATAATAAATCCATGTAAAGCTCTCCATATTATTCCTTCAGGTTCGCTAGTTAGTGGTGTTGTTGATTATTATAGGCAGTGTTAGTGGATCTCAGTTTCAAGATCTTTAAGATATTAAAGTTTGTAACTATGGTAAGAAATAAAGTTTGTATAATTATCTGCAAGTCTCAGAGTGATTTAAGAAACAAGACATGACTAATGAGTAAATCGGCAAGAAACTGAAACTAGACTAGCACTAATATCTACATGAACAACATGAATAGATCAACGGTCATGGCTCAGGTACGAGGATCCCATCACCATCATACTGCAAAATCCCTGACCGGTTCATCGGTTTGCATCTTTCACCCATTAATATCCTCTTCTTGCACAGCTCCTCCTCTCCAATATTCTCGCTTAAGCTTTTTCTTCTTATTCTTTTTCTCGTCTTCGATCTTTGCCCTAAGATGAGTATCTTGAGTCGAACTCTTGCGCTTTCCCAAAAGCTCTCCTTCTTCCGAAGTAGGCTCTGTTTGGGTTTAGCTTTACCAATAGACAAAGTCTCATCATCTCCGTGGTGATGTCTGTTTTCACCCGCAAGTGTTTTCTTGCGGCTGAAGACACCGGAAATCACTGAAGTCATCTTCTTAACCGGAAAAACCATCCTGGTCCTGACGAAATGTCTCTTCCATTTCTCTTGTTTCATCTTCTTGTTGTGATGATCTGTATTCGTCTCGTTCTTCCTCCTGTTTTTTTCTGATGTTTTAGGTAGTTTGATCTTGATCGCCTCTTGATCCAAGGAAAGCCCAAACTTGGACGATGTGGACGTGGACACAGGCACGATCCTCGGCAAACCCTTGCTCGTCATTGGTTCGATGAATGATTAATGAGAGAGAGACTAGTGGTGTTGTGGAAAGACTTGTATATATATAGAAACGTAGTCACTTGTGAAACGTGGGTTTATCCACACTTCAATGTGGATCGATTAGTTAACTGTTTTTTTCTTTTTCTTTTTCGAAAAACTAATAAGTAAATAAATACATATATATGTGTCTTGACCAAAAAAAAAAAAAAAATACATATATATGTGAAGCGCATAAAGGAGTTCAGGGATCTCCCCGACCCAACCGTGGCCGTAAACCTCGGCGACCTCGCCTTGTTTCTTGCTCACGTAACCTCTTTTTACTCAAACCACCTTGCGGATTTTAATGCCATATGATTGTGTGCATGTCCTCACTCCTCAGACAGATGTAGAGATATGTTGATTGGTTTGTGTGTAAATCAAATGAATCTCCAAATCTTTGTCATGTCTCTATAGCAATTTAGTACGCATTTGTGTAACATTTAAAGTCTTAACGAAGATTGTATAATATAAAAAATCATTCTTTGTACACTCAAAGCAGCAAACTAAGATTTTTTACCTTCATGGCACAAAAGAGCGGCCATATCAGAGAGGGCTTCTCACAATATACAAACACAAATCTTTTTGTTTTTTTTTTTAGGTTTCTCATTCCTCTTTTCAACTCTTTACAAAAACTTGGTGAGAAGATGTTCACTTGCCTAAACTCAGTCTGCGTTTTCCATCTCTCGTTGGTCGCTGCGGCTGCAAACTCACTGTGTTCGGAGGTCTCTTGCTTGGTGCTGGGATCAGCGACGGGATTAGACTTCTGCCGCAAGAAAAGACACAAAGTTCCATGTTAAAACAGTAAATCTGTTGCAAACACTAATTAAAAAGTAGAGATATATTACCTCGTTTCTGTGAGTTTAGCAGTTCTAGGCTGAATTTTCTTCGGCTTGAGGTCTGCTGAGCTTTGGATATTAGAAACTCTGGGCACATTCATTTGAACGCTCAACCGCCACAGCAAATCAGAATCCGAGCAATCACTTGTTGCGGCTTCATCAGATTCGTTATCTGTAATACTCTGCACTTCGAAATCTTGTTTCCTACCATTTCTGTCACATTTGAAAGATAGTAGAGATCATCAAGAACTCGAACATGTAAAGTACAAAAATGTCTATGGCTAATGCAATGTGAGTTACATACAGTGATTGTTGCTGTGGGGTAATTGATTGGTAAAGTTTCTCTGCTTGAATTGACTCTTCGTGCTTATCGATCCACTCCCCAGACTTAGATTCTCTATCATTGAGTGATTGCCTCGACCAAGACGGAGAAGAAGACTGCATTAGCTCATGGAGATCTAAGCTGTGTCTTCTTGAAGATGCTGTATCGCTAAAAGCCTGCATATATTACATATATACACAAATGACATTAACTTATTTATATTTCTAATTTTAGTATAATCCTGAGAGAAGGCAAAGCATACCTCTGGTCCACTTAGATCCATAATCTGGGGCCTAAGGTTGCTTGGTGCATTTCCCATGTTAGGAACTTTAGGTCGAATGGTAGGAGTTTCGAGTGATCTTCTTCTCGATATCCTCTCACGGTTAAGTGGTATAGGGCTTGGTGGTACATCGTTACCATTTCCTTTCCTCGCCAGAGCCATTTTAAGATTAGCAATCTGGTAAAACCCCGAGAACATTATCAGACAAGGGAACTTATGGCGAGAATGAACTAAAACAGTAAGTGAGTCACAGTCTGGTTTAAGAACCTGTTCTTTGAGCTCCTTGACCTCTGAGTTATCTTTGTTCACACGAGCAGCGCCTAGCTCGACACTCCCAACTCGTTCAGCAAACTTTAGCGTGCTAATTGTTTCTCCAAGAGTTTCAGCTTCTGGACTAATGTGGACGAACATAAGCGTCTTGGCTGATCCTCCTGATAACATAAAAACAGAAATTGATATATAAATATATGCTTCTATAAAATTCAAGTTATGGGGTTTTGAGAGTTTTACCGAGGGAGTCCTGCAACAGCTGAGTGAGTTTACTGTTTCTGTAAGGCACATGAGAAGTCTTCTGGGAAAGTGAAGAGATAACATCCCCAAGAGCCGAGAGGGACTTGTTGATGTGTTGAGCCTCTTTCAGCCTATCTCCAGTCACCTCGGACTTGTCCACTCTCTCGCTTCCTGCAAGATCAACCAGATGCATGGAACCATGGAGGATAGTCCCAGACGTGAGGTCTCTGCCTTGGACATGAACAGTGACACAGCTGCCAAAGAAATAAAGAATTGGGCTTAGAACTACTAATTATGCATCAGAGTACTCATGAAAGAATGGGAGGAAAAAAACAAACCTGTGAGATCGACTACTTCTGTCATTCATGGCTGTAGAGCTCACTGCACGGTTCATATGTCCCAGATCCATCAGCTGTATAACGTCAGCCGTCGAGGAGACTGGCACTAGGCTTGCTTCCGGAACGTTGATTCCATTCTGAGAGTTGTTTCTGATTTCTAATGTAATCAAGAGTTAATGATAAAACAAAATCAAAGTATCTTAAGAGTTCTTAAAGGATGAAGACACAGTAAAACTTTTTTTAATCGAAGGAAAGGATATCTTTTAGTTTGACCATCTGTTGCAAGGAGGTCTCTGACTTGCTCGTTGTAAATCTCAAGCATCTGAACTGAGATTTCGTAGCTGGTCGTGTCTTTTCTTTGATTTGATAGAAGAAACAGATCTGCCAGTGCCCTGTAGTTCACACCTAGGCTTTCTTCAGTCAGTTCCTTAGGCCCTGTCTAGAGTAGTTAGGCAAATTAGGATTTTGGTGTTGTATTAAGATTCCAAAAACTCCATAAGACAAGTATAGTGGCAGTTCTTACCATGGTAAAAGTTTTCCCCGACCCGGTTTGGCCGTAAGCAAAGATGCAGACATTGTAGCCATCAAGAACCGACCGTACCAAAGGCTGCATGTCTGAAAACACTTCCTCTGAAGAACAAGAGATTCATTCCCAAATGTTATTCACAGATCAATAGATTTAAATAAACATTCATATGGAAATTAAAATCAAAGCCTTCTATAACCTTGTGTTGCAGACGGACCAAAGACTTTGTTGAACATAAATGGTTTTTTCCCTTCTTTCCCGTACTTTGATGGCACTCTGATCGTGATAGTCCCTTCATCCATGTGCTCCACGGCACTCAGATTAGTTGGTTGCCCCGGCATGAATGGCCTTACGCGACAGTACACCCGTATGTTTCCTAATCATTACCAAGTGTGAGGTCTTAACGCAGATAAAAGGATTATATGGAACTTTCCTAGAGATTCAAATCAATTTATTCTGTCAAGATACCTTTTAGGTCCTGCACTAGATTGTACAATTTTCGGTTTTCTTCAAGAACTCTTTTGTATCCCGTGGCCGCATAAGCTAAACCATTTAAATGCTTGCCTGTATGACAAAACCCAAAAGGATGACACATTATATTTAAACATTTTGGCCTGAACAAGGACATAGCAATTAGCAAGAACATGATCTGAGTTAACACCTAAGTGAAAGAAATCTTCTTGATATTTCATCTGCAGTAATTTCATTCCCGCTTTTGTAGTGTTTAAAGTTTGCTTCAACTCCTGTGGGCAATAAAAGAAAGTTCAAAACTCCTTCAGCTTGTGATTGCTATATTGAGAATAAAAGATATAAAAAGCAAACAGTTCTGACAATATGTAGTTAGATCCTTCAATGCCATAAGGTTGTGACCCAGTGAAATTTACCTGGATGTGTTTTTGTTGATTCAGAAGAATCTCCTGTTCTTCGTAGTGTTCAGAATTTTTCCTTTGGATCTTTTCTTCTACGTACTGTGGCGGACTGTTTTCTTCTGCTTCCTCAAATTGTCTTACGTCACACTGCTGAGACCGTACCACTGTCTCACAGGATGAATAATCTTCTGCAATATGCTTTGAGCTTGATTTCATCTGAACAAAAAAATAAAAATAAAATTGAAAGCCAGTTTCATAAAATCAATAAGCCAGACCTTAAGACCTTGGACTGACTGTACTTGCCCTCACCATTTCATTGTGGATTGACAACCGCTGCTGCACCTCTTCCATAACTTTGTTCAGCACAGACTCTACAACCTGAACGCATTCAAGTAGGAAAAGAAATCAGATTTCTCGATGAGAAATTGCGAAATGGTGTCTACTAGTCTTGTTAATAATTCCTGAGCCTTTGATTAAAGATAGATAGACATCAGTTGTTTAAACATGTCCTAAGCAGCTTAAACAGATCAATGCCAAGAAGAAAAGCTTTCGTATAAAAGCAGAAGTCTTACACTAGGAATATCTTCATGCTTTCTGTCTGCGATAAATGAGCGAACAAGCGCGTTGATAGATCTAGAATCTCCCTGAAAGTTTAAAACAGAGATATACTTTTTAATCAACAATCACAGCACATACCATAGAAACAAACATTTCCACTTTGTCACTTACTTCAGAACATAAAGGTTGATCAGCTGATATGATTTCACTAGACTGAGTTCTTGACAGAGAACTCGTGAACGGCTCTGGATTTTTTCTCAGGAATGGTTTTCTCATTCCAAAATTATTGTTCATATTCACTCCATACCTCCACGGACCAATCCCACCTTTCAGTTTCCAGTCGCTGTAAGATTTAAGTGCAAGGATGCAGTTCACTATCCTTACAGACTTGCCTCCCTGAAAAAAAACATATGTTCCAACAAATCAATTATGGAAAAAAGAGCTACACACGTCTCTGTATCTTCTCAAAGTCTCTCCATTTTCTCTACCTTCTCCATATCTGAAGCTTCAAATGATGGCAAACCCATTTCCTCAATGGCAACTAAAAAGTTCCTGATGTTTTCAAAGTACTGGAAAGCAGAGAGCGCAGCTCCGTCTGCAACATCATCAGGCGCTTCTACAACCTGTAAATAGATGTTTTAATTCTCACACACACATATCAAATAGAGTGATTTGAGCTATCCATCATCTATACAAGTGTAAAGTCTTTACCTTTGACACTGACCCGGGACTAACTTTGTTGAGGACATTGCAAAGTACGATCCCACTTCGCAACCCAAGCCTGAAATCTTCTTCAGAAGGTTCTGCCGGAAAATCTCTACCACTAGAAACTCCGACCGTTTCTCTAAGCCACCCGGCAGCTTCGTACCTTCTCAGAGCTGCGTAGCAAAAATTAGTGAGAATTGAGAAAAACCAGCAACATTGAAACATGAAAAATTTCGATGATAACAACAGAGCAATAAACCAATCCGCATATTTTCATCGTTTGTTTTGGTAATTCAAAATCATAGTGAGAACCCATTTTCGTGGGTTAGATCCGAATTTCACCAGATAAAATTCGTATTCTCCGACTATTAATACCTCAATCATTAATTACAAAGTTTTAGCGATAAAGGATCTAGAGAAAGGGAAACACGAAGCGAATGTATATATATATATATATATATACTCACAAGATTCCTCAACTTTCCGGGAGACCAACCCAACGTCGCTTGAACGGCTGCTATGCTGATGAAGAACATCTTCAACGATAGAAACTACGGAAAACGAAAAATCATTCATCTCCGATGTCGCCATCTGCAGGAAAAATCTGGAAAAAAAAAAAAATCAACCCAGATCAAAGAGAGAAAAAGCTCCAGTAACTCGGCGATGGAAAAATCTCGATTAAATGTTTGGTTGTCAAGGGAGGAAAAAAATCTATGTGAGGAAGATAACAGAGAAATTTGCGGTTTATATAAGGAGAAGAAGCGCAACAGAAGAAAGAATGTCTTTTGAAATGAATTTTTTTCCCTCACTTTCTCGCTCACACTTTCTCACCCCTTTCTCTCTCTCTCTCTCTCTCTAAAGATTATTATTAACCAAAAACAAAAACAAACAAAAAAACAAAAATCTAGCGGAGAGGGAGAAAGAGGCGCAATGCGCTCCCAACCTATCTCCAAACGTACCGGTTCGGTTCGTGTCTATTTGTAATTCCATATACAAAAATAAACCAAAACAAACGTTAGGTGATTACATTTTTACAGATTTCTTCCTTCAAACATCAATATTATATATTTATTAATTTTCACATTGACAGAAAAATATATTAAATTTTTGTGTTATTTTTTTGGACGAAAATAAACCAATGATTACATTTTTACAGATTTTTTCTTTCAAACATAAATGTTTATATATTTATTAATTTTGACGTCAACAAGAAAAATATATTAAATTTTTGTGTTACTTTTGGAATAAAATAATGTTGCACTTTGTATATATATATACATATAAACGATACATATTATTGGAATCAACACTATAAAATAAAATTATCAATCTAAATCTTTTATATCACAAGATTACCTCATATATTTTAATATATATAGTTCTAATTTGCTTTCTAATAAATTATTTACAATCACTAAATAGTTCTTTCATATTATTTTTAAAGTTTTTGATTATGAAATTATTAGATAAAAGATAAAACTGAAAATGCTAGTTAAATTATAAAATAAATAAATCTAATTTATTCATTTTATTTTGATCGTTATAATAAATAAATTTTTATATAAAAAAGAGAGTTTGGTTAGAAAAATAATCAAAAAAAATTATGATTAATTTATTTAAACCAATAGACTCAATCACGGTAATAGAAACTATTGTAGAATTTTATTGTTCTACTATATATGTCATATATATCTATATATAATTGCATTTTTTAATTCTAAAATTATTAAATGAACAATAATTAAAGATTAAATAATAATAGAAAGATTACTGTTTATTTATGATCGTTCATCAAAATTATAATTGTTGTTGTTAGATAAACCGTACAAAACCATCGTACTAAAATTACTATAGTATGATAGTTTCGTAATGTTATTTATAAAAGTTATGTTTAAAAATATCTAATTATAAAATTTTATCTAGAATATTTATAATCTTGTATCTAAGAATTAACTAGGGTTGGTGGCATATACCAAAAAGCATTAATATCCATATATGTACAGATTTTTTAGCAAATTTAGAATAAACATATCCATATATGGATTCTCCAAATTTAGCTAATTTTTATCATAAAATCTTTTTACTGGTTTTTAAATGATAAATATATTTTATTACTATATTATAAAATGTTATGACGTGATAATTATTTATCAAAAAAACTTCTTGGTAATTTAAAATTTTGGACAAAAGAAGAAAGATATCGATGACCAATCATAAATTATTCAAACTGGAGCTTCGGATCCGAACCAAAAAAAGGCGCGCATTTCCGATCGACGTGGTATCAAACTAGATTCGTAATTAATTATATCGATAAAGTTTAGCTTAAGGATTAAACAAATACTCGGGCCGAAAATTGAATGGGCCCACTTTTAAAAGGCAGCCCAGAAACATGCTGGCTAAAGTGAGGATTAGGCACGCAAGCACACATCAACTTCTGAACCTCCACATTTTCTCTTCTATCAACTTTAAAACTGAAATTAGTTTTGCACTAGTTTAGTTGTGAATTGTTTTCATGATCTACAACCTATTTTAGTTGGTCGGAATATTAATATCTATAACTGAACTTTAAAAAAATCCTCGAGTTTAATAAGGTCGAAATATTACTAATAACCATCGAAGATTATTTGTCAAACGAACTAACCCTACTATATGAATTGTATTATTATCCGTTCTTAGAAAGAAACTAGTGTCTCTTTATTGGCATTCAATAGAACTATGATTATATGTAATATTAAGAATTTATAAGTATCAACTTTTAGAAGTGAACAGGACCCTTTTGCCAAACACACAACACACCAACCTGTAAAAGTATAACTTTGCTTAGATAGCTCTTTTGATATATATGCATGTATTAATGTGTATGTATGGTACGACGTGTGTTCTCGTTTCAGTTCAATGGATCTTATAATAAATGGATTAGTGCCGCTTAAGTGGGACCAGTTATTACTTATTAGTATTAATTTTGTAACAGTTAAGACCCTCAAGTGCCTAGTTTTATTAGTTGAGACAGTTATTAGCTTTTTTTTTTTGAGGGGATACTTATAAATTTATTTAAACTGTCAAATGTCAAGTGGACGATATCATTTCATTTGCTTCCTAATTAGCAAGAAACACAGACCAAACATCACTTTCAGTCTTTCACAGTTGATTTATTTGCTATATTTCTTTTTTCGGATGAATTTAGATGTGATTATTTAGACGACACTAGCATAAGCAATTCAACGTCTTAGTCCGCTTATTTACTATGCAAGTATGCATGTTACTTACTACTAGCAAGTTTAGTTAAAAACTTTATAAGTTTAGTGTCATCCAACTAGTATTTTAGATATTCTATCGAAGCTTAGTGTTATTTAAAGTCACAAGAATTTCAAACTACTTGTATTTTGAAATATTTAAATTGAATTCTAATATATGTTCATGTACAAAGTACATTATATAAACAAAATCTAATATATAACCCAAAATTTTGATCTCCACACATATAAAAACTTATCAGTGAGAATCTAGAAAATACTAAAACATACAAAACTGATTTTGATTATAAATCCAATAACCATTTCTTAAATTGTGAAATAAAGCGGATTGATATGAGGCAAACACGTTGTATGTTATGTATATAGGGCAATTTACATTTAAATGAATAGGTTAAAAGAAACAATTGTTTGACCAAAAATAGATAATAACAATTATGCTAAACAATAAACATAATTAATAGATAATTAATCCTGTCGACGGAACACGACAAAAGAGGTTAAAGGATAATGATTTAATGTACTTGGAAACATACTTTTGATTTGTGAGGGCTTCGAAAGGGGTCCTCGAGTGTTTACTTTTGCACTGGGATTACAACATTTTAAATAGCAAACAAGGTCTACTGTCTCTCCCGACCTAAACACTTTGGCCTTGAATAGATGTTATGGTATAACACTGTCACATCATAACAGCGATTGTTGTGATAGCAACTAAGTATATGATATAAACTTTTGGATTGTAATTTTGGGTGTTTTATTGGGTAGTTTCTAAACTCTAAAATAATTGTTTATGAACAAAATTAGAAAACACGCAAGTTTTTAGATGTACGTAGTCCACCTATACGTCTTTAAAAGTTGATTGGATGGAAAATATTTAAGCAAAAATGTACATGCAACAAACTAGATAGTTTTAGCTACTCACACCCTAATTAAGTTACCATTAAAACATCTTGGAATAAGGCACAAACAGATTCAGTGAAAATATATCTATGACGGTCGACAAAATGTATTAAGAATTTTTTATACCAACAAAAAAAAGATTTTATAAGAAAAGTTTTTATATTATGATTTAATTATTACTTTCAATCATTATTACTTAGAATTTTCCGATAAGTAAAAAAATAACGAAGTGCTGAGGCATTAGACATACACTATACTGACTAGACACAATCCTCCATACTTAGCTAGCAATAGCATGATTCTCTAAACAATTTACTGTATCAATCGATCATAAACGACTTCTAACTCCAAATCTATACAATTCTCTGAATTTGATAACTAACAGGTATGGCCTACAAATATATGGTTGTGCCTCTTTATTTTGCATAACGTTTCATGGAGGTTTCAATGTATATATATATATATGCTACGTCCTTAAAGTTCTACTAAGCTAAGATGTTCTTCGTCCATTGTCCTCATTATGCCAATAAACACTTCACGAGATCAACGAAGGCAGCAAGAGCTCTAGTATTTCGATCGATGAAGCATATGGTGGTATCACTCTTTTTTGTTTTGATTCTCATCTCTTCACAAATTTGCTTCCACTTTGTTCTTTTTACTCAAACTTAGACAATTGGTTCATTTTTTTTCATTTGCAGATTCCCCAAACACTTAGCTGGGCTAGAGCGTCCGGCCCATTTGGTTCATAAACATCCCAAATAATAATTAACGTTTCAGGCCCTGTATGAAAGAGTGAGATGGGTAAAAACAATGAAAGTCCCACATCGGTTACACATAAAGAAATGGAAGGGGAAGCAGAGTATAAGAAGGGAAGTGGAGCCATTGAGCAAATCACTTACCTGGACGGGGTCGACTCGCGATCAAGAAGACGAGTGGCCTAGGCTAGTGACTTCCATTGCACACTAAGGAAGGGTGCTTAGCCTAAGGTCTTCCCAAGTGGAAGAGCCTGCGTCATTATTTGTGGCAGAGGGGGCCTGCGTTCGCGCGGTCCCTACCATCCTTCAGTTTGAATTTTTTAATTTTTATAATTTTCAATTTGAAGTAACATACATTATGATTTTCTTTAATATTTTTTATATCAAAGGATTTTGCTAAGAACGTGTTTTCCGGGGGGGGGGGGAGAATCGGTTTCGAAAAGACGTATATTTAATGTATGATAAATTCTTAGTTAATTCGAATGTCCCACATCGGAAGAATATATCAAATTTGTCGGTTTTGTTTGGGTATAAATAGGAGTCTTTCCATCGAGTAAACTCATCTTTGCGCTTGGGGCAATGACGCAGCTAATGAGGTACTAACCGAGGCGCGTCTATTGCTGGTTGAAAACTATTTCCAAACCCCCTCCTGGGCCCCTAAGCTTGTCTTGGGTCTTCGAGAATTTCTGGAAGGGCTCCCTTTGGGGTAAAGCCCTACAATTTCCCAGTTCAAAAATTTATGGCAAACCAGAAAAGTTTTAATCGAAACTTTTTTTTTTGTTTTCGTACCGATGTGAGCAGCCTTCCATACACATGATACTATTTCACATTGGAAGGCTGCTCCCATATTAGTTCAAAAGGCTGTGTATGAATAAGATGCGTCTTTGACTATTTGTCCAACTTCAAAAGATGTTGGTAATTTTATCCGTGCAACTTTAACACAAACACCATAGTAATATCTGTACACTGAAAATCTCAAAGAACAGAACTCAACGCAAATATAAGATCAAAATACATTCATTTTTTTCTGTTCTTTACGACCTACAGTCTACAGACAATGGTGTCTTCATTTGAGCAAATACGTGTTTATAAGTTAATAATAATAAAACTCATTATCATGTCTCTCTTGACTCTCGTCCTTACGAAGCTCTTTAACATTATTCTGCTTACCCACCAGAACCCTTCCCCAGACCACTTGTTGCTATAAACGTAAAATCCGTTACATTTTTTCAATTTGCTGAATGATCTAATCATCATAGAGAAGTTACCGGAACATAACTCCTTTTATAAGTCGTCCTCAAGAATCATAGAGCTCAAAATCCCTTGAACGAACTCGCTCTGTTTCAACTTTTCTCTGTGATCCTCGGCTGAAAGAGACTTCTTTTCAACATTCCTGTAAAATCCAGTCACGACAAGGATCATCAGAGTTTATGCAATGAGAACATCCAGAACAATCTGAGTATGAAGTAAAGCATTACACACCGTTCAGGCAAACCCTGATTCGATGTTTTCTTGGCAGAGCTTGTTTCTGCACACAGACTTGACTCGGAAATGAAAAGTTCATCAGGCATTGGTGAAATGAAGGAAGACAGCAGAGGGTCAGCAGCTATATTGGACGAAGAAGAAGAAGACACAAAACGTGATGATCCTTCAAGTAGGCTCTGAAAATTTCCATCAGGAAACTCTCTCTTCAAGATCGATAGCATGGATTGAGCCCCGCCTCTTCTTGATTTCCTTTTCCGCGTCACGTAAGTTTCCGTTAAGGAATGAATCGCATAAGTAAAATGGTCGTTAAAGATATAACTAAACTGGTAAGAGGAAAGAAAGAAAGAAAGAAAAAAAGGATATCTTGAACATATTAGCATGTTGAAGGGTTATATGAGCAACCATATCAGAGCTCACTTTCACCGCACAAACGGGACATACCTACAAGGCCACAAACAAAAGTTGGAACAGTCTTCATCGCAGAATCAAGAACAAATCTTCTCACTTTGTTATATCCAAGGCGAGCAGCTACTAAACAAACAAATACATAGATTTTTGATTCAAAATGAGAAACTATTTACCCCATTATTTGCCTCCATAGGATGATCTTCGTCTATGTGACAGCACAGAGACACGATATCAAAATAGTCTGAGCAGAACGGGCAAGCATACTCCTCCCTGAAGTCATCCTCTTCCTCTACCTCCTCAAATGCCAAGAAATTGTCTGCGTTTTCATAAATTAAAACTCGTAAAAAAACAGAGCCTATAAAAACATTCGGAATTTGCATCAACGACAAAACAGAGCCTATAAAAAAAGACGGGAATACTAAAAACGCGTTCCATCCTCGCAGTTACAATACAAATATAAATGGTGAATAGAAGGAACATCAAGATATGTAATATACGATGGAAACTTGCTTATCATAACCAACTTTTGAGAAGTTCATAACGTAACCCAAAAAGAAACCTTTCGTATAAACTAGCACACACGCTTAATCCCTCAAATCCTCACCTACGTAAAATGCCTCAAAGACATAATTTTTTTCCGATAGATTTTAGTACATGTTTTTTTATTCTGAAAACGGAGCAAAACAAAAAATTGAAACCAAAAAAAAAAATCTCCAGTTCCGTATTCAGACCAAGACATGAGGTCTTGCCTGATTTTTTGGAATGTCGTACAAACGTCAGAAAAAGCAAACGATGAAAATCTTTAACCAATCGAACGAAATAAACTGAGTTCTAAGACATTGATATTCGCACAGAATCGAGACAATCGCAATCATATCGTCTCTTTCTCCTTCGTACATTTGATATTAAGCAACCAAAATCGAATCTCAAATAAAAACTATTAGCAAAAAAAAACAATCCACATTTTGATTCTCAACTCACCAGATCGCGACAAGAAATCCAGCTGGTATCTTCTTGAAGCCGATGCGAGACGATCACTCCAGGAATCGGAATCCATTTTTTCAATCGAAACCCAAGAATCCACTTTTCAACAACAAATAAACAAATTCGAAGAATCCAGGAGATCAACAATTGGTTTCCTGGGAAAATGATTCTTGGTCCGGACAAAGGAAAATACGGATATTCCGATTTACGAATCAAAAGATTCCGGCGGAATGCAAAGACGGATTACGAAGACGACGACGATTCTGCGTTGGTTTTCCGGAATTTATCTCTCTCTTTTTTTTATGGTCTTCTTTTTTTTTTTTTTAATTCTTTGGATAGAGAGTGAGAGACATAGAAGACGAGTTCCATATAATTTCTTAAGAATCAAAAATGATGAGTTTATTACATGTATTTACTAATTTAATTTATTTTTCTTAAATTAAATCTCTCGCTTTCAACAGCCCGCACGAATGCATGCCGTTCAAACCTTTTACCCGCCGTGTATTTCCCTTTGGTAATATAAAGCTGGCACGATTTTCTTTAATAAAAACGTCATGCTGTGGACTTGACGCAAATGTGTCGTAATATTACTGGTGTTTAATGGTATGTTTGGTGAAGCTAAACAACTTAGCCGCGAAACAGATATTTTTTACTGTTATTATCAGAGTTTTTGTTTTTGTTTATCTTATATTTTTAAATTTTAATTTAGGAAAACCTCTGTTTGTAAATCTGAACGTTTATTTTTACTGTTCGTCGGATAGTTTCAATCCTGCCGGCGATCGGCCGGTCTCCGGGCACTCTGATTGTAAATTATTCGTCACTGACTTTCGGTGTCGCCGCAATTTTCGGTCGACGATGAAGCCTCGAATCTGTTCAGATCTATAGCGAAGCGGCATTTCGAATTGAGGATTCTAGGGATTCTTAATTATCACGGTCATGGCGACGAGGAACCGTACGCTGCTGTTCAGGAAGTACAGGAGCTCTCTGAGGAGCGTCCGAGCTCCGTTGGCGTCATCTTCATTGTCAACAGCGACGGGAGGCGCAGGCCCGGTTATCGAGATGGCGAGCAAATCTTTATTGAATCCGAATCGCTCATATGCTCCTGTTAGTACCGAGGATCCTGGAAATTCGAGGTACTCTTCTTCCTCTTTGCCGGTGAATTGCTGATCAGTTGAGGTTGCTGCTCTCTAGTGTAAATCATATGTTAGCTCGTATTTTCAATGGATAAGTGATGATGTAAAAGCACATATTTTTTTGTCGAATCTTAGTCAAGTCCTATGCTTTGGAAGATCTCTGGGTTGTGTTTTATGATTTGTGGAAGTTGGTCATCATCTCCAGTGATATCGAAACGAAAGCCTAGAGTTATGGATAGAGATATGAGAGCTGGTTCGTGACCCCATGTTAAGCTGAAAGTTAGTAGTTACGGAGATTGTGTTTGCTTCCATGTTTTAGTGGCAGTAAAGGTGCATCAACGGTGGGGTTACCACCAGCTTGGGTTGATGTCTCTGAGGAGATATCTGTGAACATACAGCGTGCAAGGACCAAAATGGCCGAGTTGGGTAAGACTCATGCCAAGGCGTTAATGCCTTCTTTTGGGGATGGTAAAGAGGATCAACATAATATCGAGTCTTTGACCCAGGAGATCACTTTTCTGTTGAAGAAGTCCGAGAAGCAACTTCGGAGGCTTTCTTCAGCTGGGCCTTCCGAAGATTCCAATGTTAGGAAAAACGTTCAGGTAACTCTTGATGACTTGATACATCTCTCAGTCACACATCCTTTGTTTTCGCAACACATTTACCAGAGCTGTCTGAGCTTTGTTCTATGTGTTTTATAACAGCGGTCTCTTGCCACTGATCTCCAAATTCTCTCTATGGAGCTCCGCAAGAAACAGTCAACGTATTTGAAACGCTTGAGACAACAAAAAGAGGTATATGCAACTATTGGTTCATTGAAGATATCTAATTTAACACTGTGCTCATTGCTTATGCTGGGACCTTTGTTTTTATTTGTGTTCTGCTGCTGTACCCTAAAAAATCTTGTTTACATCAATCTCCTAGATGATATAGGTTCTTTTGATACTTGTTTTCTCAAATTATGGGATATTATATGCTTCTGTTCTCCTAAAAAGCTTTAACTTGAAATGTATGATCAGGAAGGGGTGGATTTAGAGATGAATCTGAGCAGAAACAGATATAGACCAGAAGAAGATGACTTTGGCGATATGGTCCGACTCCTATATATCAGTTTAATTCTTTCAATGTAGAGTCATCATTCGTCTTATGTACTTCTTTATTGATGCAACCTGTACTTGCATTTCTTTTTCAGTTAAACGAGCATCAAATGGCCAAGATAAAAAACGGCGAGGAACAATCGGTAGAGAGGGAGAAAGAAATACAGCAGGCAAGTGCTTACACTTCGTCTATGTTCTTAGTTGTTTGATGCTCAGCGATGTTTTTTTCCTTTTTCTTATGCAATCAGTCATAATCTTTTTTCTTCTTATTGTTATGTGTCATTGTCCAGGTAGTAGAATCAGTAAATGATCTTGCTCAAATCATGAAGGATCTTTCTGCGCTTGTGATAGATCAAGTAAAACTTGTTAAACCCCATATTCTCTTTCTCTAGCTTCTGAGTCTTCTTCCTCTGCGAAAACAAACTCAAAAAAAGCAACCCGTTTCACTGCAGGGTACAATAGTTGATCGGATAGACTACAATATCCAAAATGTCGCTACTACAGTTGAAGATGGCCTCAAGCAACTGCAGAAGGTAAAATTTCAGAACTAGTACTGTACTCTCTTCAATCAAATTTTTTCTCCGAATTTTATTAAAATGGATCGCGTAAAACTTTCCACAGGCAGAGCGAAGGCAGAGACATGGAGGGATGGTGAAGTGCGCGTCTGTGCTTGTCATCCTCTGTTTCATCATGCTGCTACTCTTAATCCTTAAGGGAATATTCTTGTGATCGGAACTGCTTCTCTTTCACCGGGTGTTTAATCACAGAAGAGCTGAGTTCAATGAACCATCATCCCCAGTTAGATCAATAAGAAAACTCCGATCCGTAATTCTTTCATTCTTTTAGAACCGAACATCGCATGTTTTTCCGCTTGCGATTGTTTCTATATCGTGTCGAAAACACTGATTCTGATGTTGTTAAGGAAAGCAAAAAAAAAAAACTTATTATGTTCTACCTCCATGGCTTTTGTTTTTGCATTTACAATACTACGGTCGTTTACAGAGTAGTGAGAACTTAATATTATTGTGTACACGACCATAGATAGTCAAAAGTCAATATCTATGGAGTTCAGAGATCGTTGTCTGAGAAGCCAAAAAAATTATGTACGAAATGCCAAATAATAATATACTCCACTTTAATATTATTATTACACTCTAAAGTAACTTCTTCTATATTTCAGTTTTTTTTGCTGGTTTGGTTTCTTTATTAATTTGTATCTTGACAAAATTTGGCAATGTTTGGTCTTGTTAATTGCATGCTAATGATGTTTGAATTGGAATGGTTTTCCAACAAAGTGTGAATTAAACTCGATCATTTAAGACTAGTTCAATTCTCCCGGAACACATTATGCAAGTTCGCGGAAGCTTCTCCATTAAATGCGAGTGGACACACGAACGTCAATATCTTTGTCATTCGTTGTCAAATCTCGTGAGTTTTATATATACACACATGTAGACACCCACATATACATTTTTCATATTCTCTCTACATAATCATTGATTAATGGATTTACTTATGAATGTCACGACGTTCTAAGTAACGGATTAATAAACTTACATATCAATGCCCATGACATACAGCACACTACTTAAGCGGGTTTTGTTAGACCAAAATCCACATCGAGTGTAATGATGAATTTGATCATCATGCCCAGTGATTTTATTCCTCGTAATGATCTATTTGTTCTTTCTTCGCTGTTATTATTGTCCCTATAAACCTGCTTTTTGCCCGATGTCCATTATAATTTCCTTCACCAAAGGAACAACACAAAAAACATGTGCAAGTGAAGGATGGAGGACGCTGAATTACTTTTGCGAATAGTTTGTATTAACACTCCCATACAAAATGCTTAATTCGTTTATTGTATACCAACAATAGATTAACAAATGAACTTTCTATTTTATCAATAAGATCTTTTTTTTTATGTTAGTTGTATAATTTTATGTATGGCCGAATCTAGTACCTAACATAAAGTACAACAAACCATACAAAGTTGAAGTAGTGATTACTTTATCAATTAAACTAAAAAAAGGATTAGTGGATAACCATAAACGCAAGCTAACTGGTGGAAATGTATTATTTTCCCTTAATGTAAAGTCTTTTACTTTTTAAATGACTTCCCTCGCAACTGGGTAACTCACTCGCGCAGATTTATTTATGTTATTTTCATTTCTTATTTTAGGATTAGATTTTTTTTTGTTTGAGTCTGTGAAGAAAAAAATCTGATGTCAGAGAGCTGTAATTCTCGGCACTTCTCATGGCTCATGAAATCTTGCTTACCAAATCCCTCCGATGCCAAATCACTCGTTCCTATCCACCACCCTTCCACGGTGGCTAATCCTTCCGCTACGGCCACGACCATCGCTTCTCTACCGGACGATTTGCTGCTCGAATGTCTCTCCAGAGTCCCTTCCTCTTCCATTCCTTCTCTCTCCGCCGTCTGCCGCCGCTGGTCTCGCCTCCTCCTCTCTCCTTACTTCCTCCACCTCCGCCGTCGTCTAGGCCTTCTCCGGCATTCTCTCTTCGCCATCTCCGCCGTCGATTCCGGTCTTTTCGCCGCCGTTTTGCAGTTTCAGTCTGAGATTGTAACCTGGAGAGTCTCCCTCGCGGTTTCCAGCAGCTCCGTTTGCGCCGACGGTTGTCAGGGAAGCCTATCTCATGCTCGCGCCGCGGCGATTGGACCTAGGCTCTATGTTGTCAGCAGAAATGCGGTTCTGAGATACGATCCGTGGATGGGAACTCTTTCCTTGAGGTCGCCGATGCTTTTCCCTCGCAAAAAATTCGCAATCGCCGTCGTTTCCGGTAAGATCTACGTTGCTGGCGGCGGTGGTGGTTCGGAAGTCACGGCGGCGGTTGAAGAGTACGACCCGGAGAAAAATCGGTGGGAAGTGGTCACTCAAGCGGCACGGAAGAGATACGGGTGCATCGGAGCAGCCGTGGACGGAGTTTTCTACGTGATCGGCGGATTAAAAATCGGGAGCGAGACCTCGCGCGGGTCGGCGGCTCACGTTTACGCAAGCTCCATGGATCTCTTCGATGTGGAATCGCGTCAGTGGCTGAGGAGTCGTTCGGTTCCCGGCGGTGGATGCGTCGTGGCGGCGTGCGCGGCGGTTGGACACGTGTACGTGCTCAGCAGCCACGCGGTGGAGCTCTCGTTCTGGCGATTCGACGCGCGTCGCAGAGGCGGCGGATTCGGGGAGTGGAAAAGACTGAAAAGCCCGCCGTTGCCTGCTCAGGTAAGGTTAGATGGAACCGTGAGGTTTAGCTGCGTCGGAGTGGAAGACAAAGTGGCGGTGGTTCAGGTGGTGGGATGCATCGACGATTTGCTCCGGCGGAGTGGGAGGGGCGAGAGAGGACTGAGAGAAAGCCTTGTGTTGTTGTACGATACGGTGGATGCAGAGTGGAGGAGAGCGGCTGATCTACCGGAAATGATTACACGCGCCGCCTGCGCGTGTGTTGAGTGGTAGAGTGGGGGGTCCACGGCGCAGGATTAATAGGAAGAGACTAACGTACGCGGGTTTAAAAGGGGACAAAAACAAAATCATTATGATAGGCGCATGTTACTCTATATAAGTGGTGTGGATATTGAGGAGTAAAAAAGGCAACGACGTCTTGAGCTCGTGACCTTATTGGCTGATTAATTTGCTTCCCAGTATAAAAAAAAAGACTTTCACTTTGGATTTGAACTTCAGATTTTGTACTCAAATGGTAAGAGATTTTGTGTTTGTACTTTTAAATTTGGAGAAAGTAATTAACAAACTAAGATTTCATAGTGATGTGTCCAAATTGAAGCAAAGCTTATGTAAAGACACTTTCTTGTATTGAATGTTTTTTTTATTGTATTGAATGTTTATTACCGAGTAATGAAGATACACATGTGTTTCGCTTAATTGTTTCTAAGATCAATTAAATAATTGGTTACATAACTGAGATCTTTTGCAGGGTTACATACATTATATAGAGAAACAATAGAATCAGAGATCAATATCAAAAGAGAGGCTACGAGATCAATGGTTCTAAAATATTTCAGGCCTTCTTGTTGTTCTTTGCCATGGCAGTAGTAAGATCGGATGCGGTATAAGAGCGGAGGACAAGATCAGGGAGTGAGAGCTTGAGATCAATGGTGAGTCTCTGAAACACCTGAGATAAGAGTAAAACATCTGACAAGGCTCTGTGAGCTTGACCATCCCTTGAAAGATTGTAGTAATCCCCTAGTGCTGATAATGACGCTTTTGGCTTCACTGTTGCCTCTGCCAAAAAAAAAGAGACGAATAGTTTCTCAGCTTTCACAGACCAAACCAATCAACAATGTACCCGAACAAGAAAACATGATTGTTCTGTCATATAGAATGCTAACAGGCAGAGACTGAAGCTATTCGCAAAACTTTGCATCTCAGTGTAATGGAAGCAGAGGAATCTTACCAACAGACTTCATGCTCTCTCTGGCAAGTGGGAGCGAGTCGAAAAACAGCCAGTTATGAGGAATGTCATAAGAGCAACGGTTAAACTCATTGATCAAGAACGGGAAATCAAATGTTTTGCCGTTGTGTGCAACGATCATCACATAACCTCCAGGCTTCTGTCGACTCTGAACATACCGCAGAAAGATCGGTATCATCTCTTCCATCCTACCAACAAGAAACACATCTTTACTTTTTTTGGATCCCAATGGAAGAGAATAAAGCCATTTGATCTAGAAGACAGATACAGACCTTGGAACCTCGGGTCTACAAACCATATCATTCCTGATTCCATGGATGCTGGCATTTAATATAGGAACACCTGGGTTGATCAGACTCTGAAACGTGCTGTTCTCACCACCAGCTAGATCCTGAGCTGCGATTTCGATGATCCGTTCCTTTACCCTACTCAACCCCGTTGTCTCAAGATCAGAGACTATGACCGTGATGAGTTTGGACAGATCTTTGCTTTCAGCGAGACGTTGCTGAAGATTCTCACGGGGCTGTATCTTGGTCGCGTTGTTCTCTGCATCTATAATCCTGGTAACGGGAACTGCTCCTCCCAGCACACTGCTCTTGGTGTTGCTCCTACTACTACTACTACCTTGTGTGGTTGTACTCACGTTTCGTCTGACCCATCTGCTCTTACCATTGACCGAGGAAGCTCTGACGTTAAGCAGCTTCGGGCTTGAGCTGTTCTTGAGCCATCCATGGACACGTTCACAGCAAGGACTTCCCAATAAATGGATTCTGAATCTAGAGACTTGCGAGACTGAGACACACATCGGATCTCTCTCTCTCTCTATATATATATATATATATATATATGTCTTTCCCCCAAATACGCTCGAGAATAAAAAAAAAGACAATAACTTCGTTCCTGAAGATGATTGCCTCCAGAAACTACAATTCCGATCTGTAGATCCATAGAATGAATATTAGAAGTGGAAAATTTGATAACTTTCGGAGAAACTCGGCAAATCTAATGAGAGAAGGGAACAAGCCAAAGACAATGAAACACAATATACTCTTTTTCTCTGAGCATTAGCACATAAGAAGGAAAGCAGAGTAAGCGATATTAGTGATATCTATCAAAAGCATATGATTTTGAGAATCTAATCTGAAAATTCAAATAAACCGTATTTTGAGTTTGCTTCGGTGACACAATTGAAGCCAACAAGTATCGTTTAAAGTGTAATTCAGGATCACTAGCAACGAATTCCATGTTTTGAATCGAAAACAAGTGAGGAAACAGTAGAAATGGAGAAAGGAATCGAACAAAATCTGAGTTTTTCTTAATGGTCCCGTCTTCAATTCGTCATCGAAGAGACCGGAAAAGAGCGAAATTTGTCTAATGTTTGAGCATCTAAACTGGCCCAGAGAGCGAGAAATGAATCGAAAGGAGAAGATACTTGCCTTGGGTGATCAAAACTGCATTTGCCCGAAAGTTTTAATAATCGACTGTTTATACAGAGAGAGCGGAATTGGAAGAGAGAGATTGAAATAATTCGCACGCGTGAGAGGGAGACCCGTTTAATTCGGATCTGTGACCTGATCCGACTAATACGGATCTAGGATCCGAGTTGGAGTTTCATCCATGTTTCCACTTTTTGGCAAAATATCATCCCACTTTAATAAATTGTATGAAATATATACTATTCAAATTATTCTAATTTTTACATTAACACATAACTGATCTGAGTCAAAAAAAAAATTGAATTTGTTTAAAAAACATAACAAATGCTTACTAAATCATTTGAATTTTTGACCAAAAAAAAAAACCATTTGAATTATGATAATCCGACCATGGACTTACTAGAGAATCTTTTTGTGTTTTTTTTTTTTATAATATCCCGATTATTAAAATATCAATGTCATCTAGGGAAGGAAGGAATATTCCCACTATGTAGGAAAAACATCCCAGCAAGTCACTTGGTTCAACTTGCGTATATGACTTCTTTTTTTTTTTAGTTAACTTGTTTCTGTTTCTAATGTATTTTTCTAATTTTTTCCTGACACCTAAATAATGGAGCATTTAGAAATATCAGTAAACGTTTGTTTTTTTCTTTGGTTTTGTGTTGTTTCTGGTTATACGTAATTAATAAAAGAAAATTTGGTCAATGAGTTTCAAAATAAGCCATGTTCTAACTTCACTCATTGACGAAAGAATCTAGTTCTGTTCGGTTAACCTGTAATGAGTAATTCGTTGTGCACTATGGGCTGACACAGAAATCTGTTTGATAATGGAGGCCCATAGATAAGTTCTCTGACCATTAAGAGTTAAGAGACCCAGACCCATTTGTTTCGGAAAAGTCAATGCAAAGCAAAAAGTGAAATGCGACTGCGGTCTAAACTCCAATTCATTTGAGATTTTACCTATGATCTCTACGGATCAGCCCGTTGGCACAAAATAGGCCCCATCTTTAATGCGGTTACATTATACAAATAGAGTGGCCCAAAGAGCGGCATGAAAAACAAAGGACAAAACTGTCTTTTCGGCGAGATACTCTGTTTTTCTCTCAGGCGAAAACAGAGCTACAAGACAATAATAGTAAACAAAGAGCAGCTTGTTCTTCCTCCTTTAGATATCGTCGTTTCTTCAAAGCCACGCCACCATGTGATGATGGTAGTGATGCTGGTGATAATAATGCTTTTGTTGATAATGACGATGATGATGATGATGGGTTTATCTTCTTGAAGGCTTTGTGGTTGTGAATAATACGAATACCCAATAACTCGGATCGTCTCTGTTTCCTGAATCTGATCCCACATGCATTGCAAAGTGACTGCAAATTCCATCACAGAAACAAAAAAACCTCAACTCAGATCATCTATTGTCTTCTTAAGATCGAACAAAGTTATTACTTATTATAAGTATAGTAATTGAAGACTTGAAGTTAGAAGAAGAGACCTTGGGACCAGATGGTCCACCTCTCCACATTGGTGTCTTGGTGGTCTTGCAATCACTGCAACGCCTAATTGTCTCCCTCGCTTCTTCCAATTCTCTGTTGAAATGTAGAAACAACATTGACACATTAGAGGATGAACAATATCATAGCTTTCTTGGATCCATCAAACCAAAAGAACCAACCTTTCTTTTAAGAGCTCCATTTGTATACCACAGTAGCCAATACCAGTCCCAATTATCTGGATAACCCTGAGAAAAAAAAGGGTGTTTTATTCTTTTTGGGGGGACTGATCACTATAAACCCTAGACGGTTGATATGAAGAAACGGCGGCAAGATTGCTTCTTTTTTTGTTGCGTGGTATGGGTCATGATGATTCATGAAGAAAGGCTTAAGAGCTCCTTAAAAACCCTTTCAAACCATGGTGGTGACTGTGGTAAGAAGACAAAAAAGCCCTTGGTCGCTCTTTTGATCAATAATGATTATGGCCTTTCTGGTAGATTAATGACACAAAACAAAACATCTGCCAAATCGTTGTCGGGTGGAAAGCCAAGTGGCGGTACGCACGACCGGGATCCGTGAAATTGCTTTTAATAATTATGAGTGTGTGTGTGTGTGTTAGAGAAAGGAAAGTAGAAAGAAACCACAGTTTCTGCAAACTTGTTCACATGAAGACAGATTTAAAAGGAATGAAGCAGAGCTACTAATGTGTTCACTTACTCATAGACTTTTTTTGTGATTAGAGGAAGCCAATAGTCTTCTTCCTAAATCAGTTCGAGGAAAAGAAAATCACATCTAGGTATAAACCAAGTATATATTTACAAAATAATTGAAAAATTGTAAATTCATTTTGTCAAAATAAAATCAGCTTAAAAAATGTGGTATCGCCGGAAAAGAGAGAAAAACATAAATTGATATGGCAATTAAGGCTAACAACTTACAGAACCCTTTCCTATAAAACCATTTCGACTTATGGGCAAAACATATATTTAAAAATATAAAAATGTAGATTGATTTGGTGATAAATATCAAACATGGTATACACAAAGACTAATCCTCGAAACTTATGAAACCATTTTAAACAGTAAATGGCCGGGATCCATCTATCTAAACCTATTTTGTCAGAAGGAAAAACACACACATATAATATATATATACCCATCTTTCGTGCCTCGCAAGAAACGTCTGAATCTAATACGGCAGGCAAGGTTTCTTACAGGCCTTCCCACGTCTTCTGGCAGTTGTTCTCCAGACTTCTCGGAGCTTGAAAGCTGCCTTAACCTTACACCACCTAGCTCTCGGAGAGCCCACAATGTTTGCGATACGAACATCAAACGTTCCAGCTTCTTGCGTACCAGACACGCTAACACACAAACTGTCATACGCTTGTTGCGCAAAATGCGTCGTACCAGGCGACCAGTTCGACGGCATGTCATGATAATGATCATAACCAAAAGTGCTCTCATGACTATCCTCGTCATTCTCGGTATAACCTCCTGTCACTATAGTTTGTGATTCGCGGTGCACCGGATCGTGCTCACTTACCCTGAAGCTGTTTCTCTGTAAGAACTTTCCGTCGATATGAAACGTTGTGCCTGGTGAGTTTTCGAAACTCATAAGCATATCGGGTTGGACCGTGGAGCTTCCAGCTGTGAAGTAAAGCGGCCTCGAAGAATCTGATGGACCAGAGATTCCTAAATATTAAAAAAAAAAGAATATGTTTATTAGGTCTACAATAATATATAAATATCAAAAGACCTTAGACCGCGACCAGAATAAAATTATATACCTTGAAAGTTGGGATGCTGCAATCCAGGACAGGCAATGCCAAATCCTGAGTTTTGCGGGCACTGTAAGGATTTTTGCGGATGATCCACAAAGGTCCTACCGTCTCTAAAGCGGTTAAGGTTTTGATAAGCTTCAAGCTTATATTGGTCCAGCAGATAGCTAGGGACCTGATCGGCGTTTCGAAGCGCACCGCCGCTAAACACTTTGGTCACTTCGTAAACAGAGTTGAAGAGAAGTGATACGTCGTGAGTGCTTGAGTCGTAGACGTAACACTCTGTTTCGTCCAACACGCATTGCTTCGCATGAAATACAATTGCGTCCCATTTCCTCTTCGAGACTGCTCCATCAAGTATCTGTTAAAAAACCAAAAATTAAACGAATCAGTTTTTGTGAATAGGTTATATAGATGCATTAACATTCATTTCAACTATTTTAGGTTTATAATTAATCGTACCGTGTATAGCGCATTTGGATCTATCGCATACCAACGGCGGAAATCTTTGACGGTATAAATCTTCTGTTTACCCAAACGCATCGCTGAAACGCCACCTTTCGCGATTTTGTCTAGTCTCCAAACCTCGTCACTAGGAGACGGAGGATAATGTTTTTGATAAGCTGCAATGACCAAAACAAAAAAAAACGATTAGTAATTCACATCAAACGCAGTAACCGCGACTGCAACCTCTGACCAAACGCAGTAACCGCTACTTACATTCTCCTCGTTGGTCTTTACACTTAAAGGCTGCACTTCTCGCCTCCACGGCTCCACCTCCGGTTAATCTAGCACCTAACCGGAACTTTCGACTCCTAGTCCAACTCGAATTATCCGAGAAAGCGACCACTCCGGCGATCACTCCGACGCCGTCTCTAAGCGCCAACGTTATATCTCCGGTGAGTAAGGGCCGTTTCGCTTCGCGTTGCTTGAGAATATTCCGTTTGAACACGTCAACGGTCCAGCTTTCGTCCGTGAAATCAGCGTTCAGCGGCACGATCTCGACGCGGGAAGACGAGAGCGGTCCCGAAACGACTCGAGCATTCGTGGCGGCGTCAACAAGTTCGATCGCTACGGGAGAACCACCATCGGCTTCGATCTTGGCCCCCGTGAATATCGACGGCGGCGGCGAGTTTATGAATCGCAGCTTGAATCGTTGACGTGAGGACGGCGTTTCCAAACGTGATTGCTCCATTGGGGCCAACGACGAAGAGGTATCAGGTCGAATAAGACGGCCAAGCTCCTCTCGAACCTACATATAAGAATTGAGAAAAAATAATCACTACTTGATAGAAAATATAATTAAGCAAACGTTTGCATGTGTTGCAACAACTGCATAAAATCACGTTCATGTGCATACAAGAAAAAAACAAAACACATGTATTTTGGTTATATGGTTCTAAATTTGATCATTAATACTGTTTTAGTTATATGTTTATAAATTGATATACTGTCTACAGTAACTAGACTAGTAGACTCAGGACCATTCATTGTTGATACGGAGCCCACCACATTTTAAACCACGAGAATTAAAATGGGACAGAAGAGAAGAAGAAGTCAGTCAAAGTTGGTGGCTGTATTAACGGGTTAATTTAACTAATCCCGTCATTAATTAAGATTTTAATAGATAAGGTGGGGTTAGTGAATTGTTAATTGAAGACGATGAGAAAACTCACAATTCTTCTGAGCATGTTCTCCATCTGAACCATGAATTGGTTATACGACCGATCTCTCATCACTTTCTTCACGACTCTGTGATTTACATGAGAAAACAAACTCAATTGTCGGAAAATCAACCGGGAAAAATAATAATATAGAAACTATGTCTTATAAGATAGAAACTCACTTCTTGAATGTTAAGTTGTTAGCTTTTAAGCTACTGTACCCACTAGCCCCATGAAAAGGGATGTTTCGCATCTTCATTAAGTGATGATCACTTTTAGCTTTAGAGATTTAAAATCTCAAAAGATTGTGTCTTTTCTAAAATTTTATCGTTGTGTCCTGTGTGTGTGAGAGAGAGAGAGAGAGAGAGAGAGAGAGAGAGAGAGAGAGAGAGAGAGAGAGAGAGAGAGAGAGAGAGAGAGAAAGAGAGAAGAGAGAAGAGCAAGTGATGAGTTTGAGAGAGAGTACATGATGAATTATAAAGGCATTAGAGCGTCGACGAAGAAGCACAGAAATTTCTAGGAAGATTCGTTTCCGGAGTTTAGTAGTGCTATTCATTAACCACGCTTGAGTTAGTTATTTAGTTTTTTTTTTCTCTTCTTCTTCTAATTAATTCAAACCTAAAAATATAAAGACACTTGTGTTAGTGTCATATGTTTATTCCTTATTAAACTAACTGAATCATTTCGTACAAAACAAAACTCAGCTTGTAGTAATCTAGAATATATACTCGATCCGGCCAAACATGTACACGTATTTAAATCCATATATAACGGGTATTCAAGAACATCCCCGCATATAGGAAAAGCCGGATATAAAGTGGGACAATTTAATAATTCAGTCTATGCATTTTTTTTTGTTAAAATATTCCCGTAACGTGGCATCAGTCGAATGTCAAAAACAAGAACGAGTTTTGAAAGTGAATCAGCAAACCTATTCATTTTTATTTCGATTGAGATATTTAAAAACAATATAGAAACATAGACTTGAAAAAAAGTATGAATAGTCTTTGTAAAATTATTAACATTTTATTGATAACTTGTATAGTTTGTGGTCAGATCATATTGTTGTCAAATATAATCCTGCATATTTTTTTTTTCGGATCAAATATGTTCCTACATTTATGTGTAAGAATTGCATCTTATAGTTAAATGTTACAATCTACGCGTTTCTTAGCATTAATTACTTCCACTATTTTGTCCATTTCTCAATCATTGACTTTGCTGGCATGCATAATCAAACCCTATCCATGCACAGAATTTTGATTCCATTTGATTCGGATCATTTTATCAAATATAGTCTCTCCCTTTTTACAAAGCATGGTTTTAGGTTCTTAATTAGAGCATTGTTTTAAATCTTTATGATCAACCGCTACGGATGGAATACACTAAAAAAACAACGAACACTAAAAACGCTAAAATATTATTTAAATATTAATTATTTTTTTAGTGATTAAAACTTCATGAACTTAGAACTGTACATCCTTTTATGCCATCAAAATTGGTTCCTTTCCAGATGGTACTCCGTCATGTGATTTCCAGGTTTTATCTTTGATTTTATGTTTATTTTGGTATATGGTGATTTTTTTAAAAAAGCATTTTCCAAAAAAATAGTTTTATTCAAATGCAGATATTATTTTTGAAATGATTCATATATACTTTTTTATAAAAATTAATTAGAAATATATAAAGTCGATTGGATAATTCACCAAATTTTTGTTCATGACATCTAAAAATTTTAGGGTGTAAAAGCCTAAAAAATGTAAAAAAAAGTTAAGATAAAATTTTCAAAATATAATCAGTTTAAACCATAACCAAATTTATTTGAATAACATTTGATCTAGTTGGGTTTATATTTCAAATTTAGGATAATTAAAATTTGTATAAACCAGCCAAAGAGCCGTTGACATAAGCGTTGACAAGGCTGGATCGTCAACTAAAAGCACAATAACCCAAAAAGCCACGCCAAACCGTAACGCGTTTTAAAGTAATTTATATATGAACAAATATTAACATTCAACATAAATATTCATGGTTTCAAAATCGAAAGGATAGATGCAGAAAAATAATGGAACATTTTTTTCTCCATCAACGCGTTCGGCTCATGGACAACGTCCTTCTCTGTTGAAACCCAAATAAAACGATACAAACTGTTATTAAAAAAAAAAACAAATACAATATTATGTATATAATTTAAAATGAAATATACATATAGGCGGCCTCTCATGGGTGAAGAAGTCTAGCGTAACGTCATAGGCTCATAGCTAATAAACAATGTAGTTTTTGAGTTTAAAAGGTCTTTCTTTGTAAGCCCCCAAAAATAGTTAACACACTTTCATATTTTTTACTATTATTTTGCCATCAGACATATTTCTATTAATTAGACGGTTTGATTATCCAGTAATAACATAATTTATCAAACAATATCACAAGAACAAAATGTAGTACTGTATGCTAGACAATTTGTTTTTGTTGTTGTTGTTGTGCAACATGCTAGACAATTTGTTATAACATTTAAAATACGAAGAAATAAAATAGAGAAAAATAGTGATATTGGGACATTGTGCCGAACAAAATAACTGATGGGGTTAATAAAAACACCGAACCAGTCCGTTGGATATGCAATTATATTTTTCATACAACTTATACATCCATTTAATAGTAAAGATCAAAGCTTCTAATTGCGTGTCAAAAGAGGAAAGCCGTCCTCAATATTTTTGAATGTCTCTGAATCTCTAGTACAATAACTTCTTTATTCGTACAACACCAAGTATAAAAGAGGTTATCACCATTTCACAATAAGAATATAGATGGGAACCTTGAACAACCATATCTTTTGTTCATGTATCGAATCATGTTCTTTTTTCGGACTGAACTGACCAGAGTTTAAGATATGGCATCGGGCCTAATTTTTCGTTTGCTTACAAATACGCTTTAATCATATTTTTGGGGTCTATTTTTTTCATGTTATAAAATCGAGAAAACAGTGGGCTAGGACATTATTTCATATCTATCAGATTGGATTCATGAAACATTATATTATTTCAGATTGGATTCAGTACCATAGTTGTACTGACATGATCAGTCTCGGACTCTCAGGTGCTCCTGCCCAACCGATATATATCACAGTCGCATAGTCGATAATTTTCTAGATGGCTTTTAAAAATTGATGTGTATATAAAATTACAAAAATACTTTTGTTGGTTTCTATATTACGAGAAATTTTCCTACAAGATTCGAGGAAAATCGAAAGGAAGCTAAGAGAGGCCGAATAGTCAAACTAAATAGCCATCTCATTAACCGATCAGTTTTGACATGTTGATTGATACTGTACCTTTGTAAAATTGTTATAATTATTACAAATAGGTCTAGAAATTATGTTTGTTTCTTCTAATGTATTATGTATATGGTCATGAATGAGTCAGGGTGCATGTAGATCTAGGTTAGATTTTCTTGTTATTTCAAAATTATATAGTATTAGTGAAGCAAGCATCCAGGAAGTTTCTGACCTAAATAGACGGTAGATTCTCTTTTAGATACTACACTTTGAAACTTGTTACACAAGTACTTGTATGGCAGCACGAGAGATACCGTCCATATATACGTGTGTGATAAAATTAATCGTAAAAGTATTAAAAAAAAAAGGGACTCCTCTAGGAAAATTGCACGTATTCGGTGTACCAATTGGGCTTCAATTGGGTTTTGGGCCTTGTTTCTGCTTTGCCAAATTGGGCTTCAATATATGAAAAGGTCGACAAAAAAAAAAGAGTACAAATATTTGCTTCTCTATAGGTACGCAGCCAATTGATTTGAGAACTTACAAATTACTCAAAACCTAATTACTCGGAGAAACCGTTTCAATGGCGAAACTCAAGTTTGCTGGGACATGGGGAGGCATAATAGAGGTAGAACTCGAGAACTGGACTCTAACCATGTTGAGAGACGAAGTAGCTAAGCGATCGGGTCTCGATTCTGAATCAATCAAACTAATTTGCGCCGGAAAAATCCTCAAAGACAACGGCGATGATACTCAGACGCTTGCTCAGTTAGGTATCAAGGAGAACTCGAAGATCCTCTCGAGTCGTGGTGCAGCACCCGAAGAAGGCAAGTCTATCATGGCTGAGGAAGAAAGGGCAAGACGTCTCTCCCGTGTCAAGTGAGTCTAAATTTCTCCAATTCGCGATTTTTCTTTCGTAGGGTTTAGCAATTCCTGATCGCATCCTTATCCTCAAGGATATAGTTTCATGATCGTCTTCGTGTCTGTGTCATTGTTAATAATTTTTGATCATCTGTGTATCTTTCTTTCCTTGGTCAAGTGAGTCTTTGTGCCACCTTTCTGATATATCAACCAATTTTGGGGAGTTCTGATTCATAGACTAAGATTTGTTATTGTATTGTCTTCCTTATGGGTAGAATTTCATGATCACCTCTGTATCTTTTGATCAAGTGAGTCTTTGTGCCATCTTTCTAATTGCTTATTGTGTGATTGATTGCTAATACCGAGATTTGTTATCGTGTGTCTGATGGGTCTCCTCTGAGACACTATGTGAATGATGGGTTTTCAAAAATCTGAAACCTCTTGGACAAAGCTGTCGCTGCCCGTGAATCTCTCTCTTCAGTTCTCTCTCTTATGTGAATGATTGGTTAGCAGAAGAACTGAAGAGAGAGTTTCACGGGTTGAAGAGAGGGCAGCGACAGCTTTGTTCACGGGTTATAGGTTTGCAAATAGGTTTTCACTATTATGATTGCTGACTGTCTATGTGAATGTTGTAGAGCTGCAGCGACAGCTTTGTCCAAGAGACACGCTGATGGTTCATTGCCGATCGGAGACTATAACATAGAGCTGGAAGATCAGGGAGGTCATCAAGTAAAGTTTGGAACAGAGACTGACCAGAGGTATTGCTCAATCAGAAGTTGGAGCAGTTAACTCTTACCTTAAAACTTCCATGCTGATGAAATCTGTTTCTTTCTTTTTTTTTCGTTTTGCTCCACAGTGCAGCAATGATGGGTCTTATGTTACATACTAAGGGAAAAAGTCTAATAGAATTGGAAAAGTATTCTGATGCAGTAGAAGTTCTTTCCATGGCAGAGGTAAGTTGAGGCAATAATCGTTTTTTTTGTTGAAAGTATGTTTTTATGGTTGGAGTGGTTCTGCATCAGCTTCCTGATTGTTTGTGTGTTTTGTAGGAATCGTTCTTGCTCTGTGATCCCAAGATTCTCGAGGTGTTTTATCTGTCATTTGAACAAATTCATATAAACTTATAGCTACATTTTTCGCTCACTTGTATTTTTTGCAATATATGCTTACAGTTTGTTGACAACATCCCTATAATGGAAATCGACATTGTATGGTGCTATTTCTTGCTCCGGGACCTCAAATGCCTGTCAGATGCTGGGGTTCGCCTTGAAAAAGCAAGGAAGGGACTCGAGCGTGCTCATGGGAAGGACCTCTCTCGTGTGAGACTCCTTCAAGCTGGTCAATGTCCAGAATTGGCACTGTAAGTTCAGTTTCATATATTTTGTTATTTCTACAGAGTAAACATTTTTCTTAAAAGGATTTGTTTCTGTACGTGCATAGATATGTGAGACTAGAGTTACTAGAAGGCGTGGTGGCATATCACACTGGTCAAAATAATAAAGCTTTAAATGCTCTGAAGTCGGCCCATGCCAAATTGTCACAGGTCAGTTAGTTGTACAGTAATAACTTTATTCTTACTGATATTCAGTTGTTAAAGAGTTAATGGCGTTATACATTGTGATGCAGCTACAAATACCCGATGAAACGCTGTCCTTAGTTATGGGTATGGGCTTCCAGGAAGAGGATGCTAAGAGAGCTTTGCGACTGAACAATCAGGATATCGCGAGTTCTGTTGATTTTCTCATTGAAGAGAGGGCAAAAAGAGCTCAAAAGCGGAAGGATGATCTCCAAAGACAAAAAGAGATACTGTATGTTCTTATTACCAAAACTATATTATATTTTTGACTGTAGTGACTTTATGATCTTCAAATAAGCAAAGGAGAACTTATATTTCAGTGAGCAGAAGACGTATGGAGTGACACCATTGAAGAAAGGTGTTGATATGCAGATGCTTGACAGGCTCGTCTCTATTGGGTAAGCAATGCACTGCAAATATATCTAGTGTTGTTATTCTTAAGTCAATTGATTCTTTTCAAACTCAAGAAAAGTTACGAAAAACGGGTTAAAAGGAAAATAGAAAAGTCTGTGAAAGGTGTGACCTTTGTAGTTAAACCATGAGCTTTTCGTTGTTTGTTAGAAAAGCTCTCGATCTCTCTCTGTATTAGCAGGAAAAAGTAACTCTTTGGTGGTTTTTTTCAATGCTTATTTGGATATTTGGATTTGAAAACGTTTCAGATATGCGAGGGATCTTGCTGCTGAATCCCTGAGGAGAAATGAGAACGATTTTCAGAAAGCCCTTGATGCACTTACAAGCCCAGAATCTAATTCGATGATACAGGGTTACATCGAATCGAGGAAAAGAAAACGACAAGAACAACAAGTTGGTATAACAGTGGACGAACTTGTTTCCATGGGCTTTGAACGAGGAAGAGGTAATAATCTTCTCATGTTGATTGTTTCCTCAATTGCATATAATTTATTGTTAATTTTCATTTACATCTCTTCTTTTGGCCCTGCAGCAACCTTTGCTTTAGCAGCAGGTGGTAAGCGAGAAGATATAATCCAAAGGCTACTATCTGTACCAGAAGCAAACCATGGAATCGCTGCTACTACTTTTATAGGCAATGGCAGTGGTGCAACGAGTAGTTCCAACAACGTGGCTGCTCGAGAAAGCGTGTCCAATGAAATCGGTGGTTGGGCAGAGGAGGAGGACTCGGAGATGAAAGATGAAACAACCGATGGTGAGGAAGAGCGAGACTCGGAAATAGAAGAGGAAATAGCAGATGAGATTGCAAAGGTTGATGCTTTGTCGGCTTATGATATCAATCTTGACAGGGAAATTGAAGCTATAAATGAGTACCTGGGGATGTTAGATGCATCTCAGGATTCTGTTTGAAGAGAGATTGATCTATGATAAAGAGAAAGTTGTAGATAAACGAATTAATACTCATGGGAGTTATTTCCAGAGCCAATCTGGGTTGGTTATGGTGCTTTTAATTAGTATCAAGTATGATTTGCTATGCAGAAACTGATTTATGACAAGTGGTTTTATTATCATAGTATCTAGTTTATAGTAATTAAAAAAAAGGTCTTTCTTTATAAGCCCTCCAAAAAAGTTAACACACTTTCATATTTTTTTTTTATTTTGCCATCAGACATATTTCTATGAATTAAGAGGGACGGTTTGATTATCCAATAATATCATACTTGAACAATTTTTTTTTTTTTTTTTTTTTGTTTGTTGTGCAACATGCTAGACAATTTGTTATAACATTTAAAACACGAAGAAATAAACACACCAACATCCATTTAATAGTAAAGATCAAAGCTAGCTAATTGCGTGTCAAAAGAGGAAAGCCGTCCTCAATATTTTTGTTAATGTCTCTGAATCTCTAGTACAAAAACTTCTTTATTCGTACAACACCAACCAATAGTATAAAAGAGGCTATCACCATTTCACAATAAGAATAGAGATTGTGTCGTTAGGTATAGACTATAGTGATGCATCAAAACTTTTCAATGACAAGCTCTCAGTATTTATTGATTTGCCCTCAAGAACTCTGCTGGACAAAACTTTTTAATCCTCTTTATAATTATAATTAATCCTCTTTTTGAGATCATTTTGAAACCTAAAAGCTACGGTAATTATTTGTTCAACCACCATTTTTAGAAACAGTGAATGTTTTCGCAAAACAAGATTGCATGTTTTGTCGTGGATATGCTACATGATTTCAGGTGGTTGGTTTAGGATGTTGTGGAACCGGACTATTAGAAGTGGCTGAGTTTTGCAACAAGTTCGCATTTATAATATGTTTCTCATGATCTGAATATGTGTTTTGGGATAGTTTTCGGGAAAGTTTTAGACAAATGTCTCAGCAAATTCGTTTGAAATTAATTTCGGGTATGCATTCTAATTTCTATAAGCATTTAGTCACCAAAATGTTGAAAATGGCTTTTTATTAATGGTGAAAATTCAAATACTACAAAGTATTAGAAAATTTGATTATAGTATTAGAGAGTGGAGCCCGGAAACCCATTTTTTGGTTCCCAAATCCATGAAAAAATTGACTATTGCGATTTGGCATATTAGAGACGTCTGCACTGTTTACTATAAAGTTTTTGCCTTTTTCTATAACTGAAAAGAAGAAACGTATGTATGTCCCATTTCTCAATTTGCTACAGATTCATTCAGATAATTGAACTGAATATTAGTACTACTGTATTCAACTTTTATTTTTAATTTTCAATGATTATTATTCATTCGTTTAATAATTAATACTAGATCGTTGCCTCATAAAAATGCAAGATTGGATCGGATGGATTATATGCAGAAGAAATTCTTTTTTTCACTAAAAGCTGTAAACAATAAATTCGACAGATGAAAAAAAATATATACATTTAATTTAATTTAATATACAGAGGTGGAGTGAGAGACTGGAAAATTCAAACGCAGTTTCTCTCTCCTCAGTCTTCGGCTCTCTCTCTCTCTCGTCACATCAATCCACACTGTTTAGTATCTGTTTTTTCAAGTTCTCTGCTGCTTCTGCACCTCTATTGGTCCCTTCCCTTCCCAAATCCCAAATCCCAAATCTTAAATCTACGTTACTTCCTCCTCTTCCCTGATTTTAACCTTTTCCTGATCTGACCCATTTCTCAAGAATCTCTCTTTTATTTTTGGTGCCATTCTCTTTCTTCTGATTCCTTGGTGTTTTAACTTTCATCGATTTCAATTCTCAATTGCTGTGGATTTGAGGAACACAAGACCCCCCTAGTGAGAGAAATCCGCAGCATTTATTCTAGGGTTAGATCTTCTGCTAACGCAAACATTGTCATTTTTTCTTCTCACCCTTAAGGCTTTTGCTCGATTTTGCGCGTTAAAAGTCCGCATCATTTCTGGGTTTTTGTCCCCGTGGCTTCATTTTCACTGTTAACGTGTCAAAATCTTCGATTTGGGTTGATTCCTCCACAAGGATTTCTGGAATTAACCCGGATGGAATGAGCCCATAAGTGGAAGTTGAGGTCTTTGGGCATCCGAAGTAAGATAATAGGTAAATTAAATCACATTCGATCTGATTTCTTACAAAAACTCAAACAAATCCATGTTTTTTTTTTATGTCTAAATTATTTGAGTTGTCGTGTCTTCTTCACAGCTTCCGTTCTGTATTATCCTTTGGTGTCCACTTCTAAATTTGGATTAGAACTGTCTTAATCTCAATTTACTTCAGCTAGAAGTTGGGTGAATTATTGTGTTTTATGCAATTTTGGGTCCGTTTGCTCTTCGGTTATCTACTACAGTTGTCGAATCAAGATCCCATTTTTTTGATGCATCTTGTGTGTTACATTCCAGGAAATTAATCCGGTGATTGTAATCTGTAAAATGGAATAATAAAAAAGAAATGGAGGTTGTTGAGAGGAAACGATCCAGAGGAGGGTTTTTAAATCTATTTGATTGGCCTGGAAAATCCCGGAAGAAGCTCTTCTCCTCCAGCAGCTCCGAACTCTCAGGTGTGTCTGCTGGATTGCCTTTGTAATGCTCACAGATAGATTACAAGTGTTTGGTTCAGTTCTTGTGAACTCTCTGTGGCTTGTAGAAATGTTTGGTCTAAGACAATGAACTTCCTGTTTGCAACATGTTTTTGGTTATTCGGTTCATAATGCTGTGAATATAAGAAATGTTTTTTTTTATCTTGTTTAGTTATTCAATCAGTAATCTCAAGTTCGATCTTCTTCTTGTTTTTGTAACAGAAGAAACAAAGCAGACAAAACAGAATGCTCAAAAGCTGTCGAAGTCGAGTCTTTCTCTCGTGAGTTTTCTCCATACTATTCGCCTGTTTATGCCAAGTGACTTTCGTCTTCTTCAGTTTTGTTTCGTGTTAGTAATGGATGACAAGAAGCAATTTTGTTTGATGTGATGTTTTTTTAATACAGATTGAGGTTGATGAGATTGGCAAGAATTCGAGTTACAACGCAAGAAGTGACTCGAGCTGCTGTGCATCATCTGTTACCAGTGATGATGGGCAAGGGACAAGAGCCCCGAGTGTGGTTGCGAGGCTCATGGGTTTGGAGTCTCTACCGGTACCAAACGTCCAGGAACCTCGGTTTAATCCCGATCTTGATCCATTTTTCCTCAGGCCTTCACGAAACACAAACAAATGGAATGCGTATGAGAATCTCGGTTATGTAAATCTCCGTAGTGACTACGATGGAATCGCCTGGGAACATTTGGATTCAAGAACGAGTGAAGGCCGCAACCGACCGATTGAGCGGTTTCAGTCTGAAACATTTCCTCCGAGGTCGGCTAAACCCATCTGTGTTTCCAACAATAGACTCTTGTCTCCTATCCGGAGTCCTGGGTTTGTCCCATCCAGGAACCCTATCTATGTAATGGAAGCGGCTTCAAGAATGATTGAACCAAGTCCTAGGATGGTTCCTAGGACACGGTTTTCGTCATCAGATTCTTCTTCGTCAGTTCCTATGAGGATTCGAGATTTAAGAGAGAAACTAGAAGCTGCACAGAAAGTGTCAAGCCGCCAAATCTCCAGTGATACCTCTAACCTTAAGCACACAAGTGGAAAGCACAACGAGAGGAGAGCATCAGCATCGCTCACCACACCGTCAACTAGTAAGTTCATGGGAAAAAGCAGTTCTGATGGTTTGAAGAGTAAAGTGAAGCCACCTTACGTATCTGCACAAGCAAAGGCCAACACAACGTCTTCAAGTGTCACCAGAAACTCTGCAAGCCAAAAGGAGAAAGCAGAAGCTAAAAGCTGCATAGCCAAAAGGCAGAATGGTCTCAGAGGACCTCCCGTTAGCACGGGAAAGAGTGTGCTTAAGCAGAATTACCAGAAACAGAACAGCAGAGACAACCAACCTTTAACGACCTCTGTTTCAAACCAAAAAAGCAGCAAAGTAAATAACAAAGTTGTAAACAAGGTTCCAGTGGAAAGTGGATCGATAGCAAAGCAGTCGGGTTTAACAACGGCGTCGGCGGGAAAGAGTACGTCTTTATCTTTGTCCCGCAAAAAGACTCTTCCCCGGAGCAAAAAACCGCCAACTGGGATGCACGAATCTGGAGTCTCCAATGATAAGCGAATCAAAAGGGGTGAAAATTTGATCAAATGTAACATTACCATTGATGGTGGCTTGAACACAGGCAAAGATGATGGTAAAAAGGATATGGATGTGATTTCATTCACATTCTCATCCCCTATCAAAGGTTTATCATCTGATTCACTATCCTCCACTCAAGGGACTGATCAAGACACAGCCTCTGCAGTTAGTTTCGATATGTTTGGCGGCGAGTCTTTAAATGTTCTGTTAGAGAAAAAGCTCAGAGAGCTGACTTCTAAGCTTGAGTCTTCTAGCTGTAGCCTGACCCAAGATGAGTCTTCACGTTTCAGAGCGAAGGATGGGGTGAACGAGATGATTTCATCTTCATCGGAGTATGAAAAGTCGACCCAAAACGGTCTGGATAAAGCTTTATCAGAGAGTGAATCTATTTCGGACTGCACTTCGTTCTATGACAAACAGAAATTCCAGGTTAGTTCCTTCCTGACACACGCTAAGAGAGGATTTATCTATTCTGTATGCAATTTCTTATTTGTCATATTTAGCATTCTTTAGTTTACGTATCTTGGCACTGTTTCTTTACATTAATTAACGCTTTCTAACTAATTATGGTTTGTGTAAATTCGTTTCTGAAAAAAGATGATACAAGCAGAAGAGCAAGAAGTGAGCAGCATTAGCACTTTGACAGAAGCAGATGATCTCAGAAGCTCATGCGGCAAGGGTTTCTCAGATTGCAGACAGACCACAGAATATGGTCCGTTTTCTTATTACTTCACAAGAAAAGTCTTTTTTTTTTTTTTCCTTCCACGTTTTTAATCCGTGAAAGTTTCCACCGAAGAATCCATAAGATCAGTGCATATTATGAAGTCTACATTCGTCTTGCAAATCTTGAACTTTAATATGCTTTTTGCGGCATTACATCTAGTGGAAATTGAAGCTTGATTGCAGCTAATTTTTCCTTGTCTAACGCATTGGGCTGTACAGGTTTTAAACAGTCCTCATCAGATCAAGAATTCACCTGGGTTTCATCACATGAGTCTCATCAAGCACAAGACGAGTCCGAGCTCTCAGATTCTGTAATAACACTGACTTACTCGGAAACCGAAGAAAGGCTCGACTGGGAGCTTGAGTACATATCCGAGATCCTCGGTTCGGACCAGCTGATGGTGGAAGAATTCGCTTTGGGAATGGCTACTGACATATTACCTGCGAGCCTCTTTGACGAAATGGAAAGCAGGGGAGAATCAACAGCAGCCAAACTCAAGAGGAAGACACTGTTTGATTTTGTCAATAAGTGCTTAGCGCTCAAATGCGAGAAGATGTTTATGGGTAGCTGCAGAGGGCTACTGGGGAAAGACGGGATGCTGTTTGAACAGAGAGATTGGTTAGCAGAAGAACTGAAGAGAGAGATTCACGGGTTGAAGAAGATGAGAGAGATGATGATGGACGAGCTTGTTGACAAAGAAATGAGCAGTTTCGAAGGGAGATGGCTTGATTTCGAGAGAGAGACTTACGAGGAAGGCATTGACATTGAGGGAGAGATAGTCTCGACGTTGGTTGATGATTTAGTTCATGATCTTGTCTCGGTGTTCAGAGAAGAACATTGAAGCTAAGGAAAGGGTTAGTTTCTGCTCTGGTTGAGTCTGAACTTCTCTCGGCATTCTAGAAGTTTCTGGTCTGTGTTTCTAGAAGCTTCTTCTGATAGTTTATCTGACATGAGAATTGAGAGGAAGTGATGATAACATTGAGAAGCATTCTCTCACAATGTAATTCAGGAGCATTCCTTCTTTTATCTTTTCCACTGTTTTTCATTACAATATTTTTATCGAATGAAATGCAAATATATTCGTTGTGATAAAATAGTCTTATTGTGAACGCATGAACGAGTCTTGCTTCCTCCCAAAAAAGGAAAGGAATCGAGAAAAATGGCAAAGCCTACGTTCGGAACAACATAACGAGGACACGTTCCTGTATATTATTTGAAAACGGCATGGAGTGCAACAGAAAATGAAAAATAATTTCATTTGATGTTTCATGGTTATATACCAAAAGAAAAAACCCAACCACATAAATAAACTACCCTAATCATAAAAAAATGTAACAGAATCAATTTCCTCTTGAAGGAAAATAAGTAGAGTAAAAAGAAACACAAAGAATCAAGAATGGTCTTCTTGTTTAGATGGAGAAGACAACAGAGGAAGAGTGTCAAAGTGACTTCAGTGTTATCTCAGTCTTGTTGTTCATCACTGCCAAAGGCAAGCTCGAAGATCTTTCCATAGTCATCGACAAAGTGAACATCAAGCCCTTCTTTCACATTCTCCGCCAGCTCTTCAAAGTCTCTCCGGTTAGCCTCCGGAAATATTATAGTCTTCACCTGACTCCGCCTCGCTGCTATGGTTTTCTCCTTCACCTGAAATAGCTTGTGTCAGAAACTTGCAGCAAATCCTGTAATATTGTCAGAAAATGCTTTAATAGAGTGAGAGAACTCCAGAGCTACTTACCCCACCAATAGGAAGAATTCTACCGGTTAAAGTGACTTCTCCGGTCATTGCAAGATCTTTTTTAACAGGTTTATTCATGGCAAGTGATAGCAATGATGTGATCATGGTGCAGCCTGCACTTGGACCGTCCTTGGGTGTGGCTCCTGCGGGAACATGGAGATGGAGCTTGGAGTTCGCGAAGAAGTGATTCTCTGGTTCTTTCTTTAGCATGATCTTTCTGGCGACTGTGAGAGCTATCTGTGCGCTTTCTTTCATGACATCACCGAGCTGACCCGTTATATTCAGACCTCCTTTACCTTCCCCTTCCTCCACAACAGTTGTCTCTATGTACAATGTTGAACCACCCATTGATGTCCACGCTAGACCCATCACAACTCCTACCGGTGTGGGCTCATAGATCTTTTCCGCATGGAAAACAGGTTTGCCTACATAATCTGCAAGGTTTGATTCACCAATCATAACCTTTTCAACCACTTTCTTCTCGGTTTGAACCTCTTCCTTTGATTCTTCAGCAGAGGACACACTGTTTTCTTTTACAACATCGTTCTCTGGGGATTCCACCACAATTTCAGCTTCTTCGGTATTAACTGCAACTGCAGGCTCTTCTGGGACTGCTCCTTCGCGCACTAGTTTAAGAGCAATCTACAAAAGAAAAGTAAATAATGTTATATTTTGAGGGATTGAGTAAAACAGTTCATGGTCTTGTAGCAAAACTTACCTTCCGGTAAATCTTCTCGATCTGTTTCTGGAGATTCCTAACACCCGCTTCTCTGCAGTAATTTTCTATCAAGGATAAAAGAGCTGCATCACTCACCTCAACCTGCAAATAGTACAAAAAATATTGAGAAAATTTCAGAACAAAGTATGTGATTCGATGACAATTACTCAAAACTCTTTTTTTTTTCTCCCCAAAGTAAGACCAGAGACAGTTGGAGAATAGGGATGAAAGTGAGACCTGTTCAGGCTTGATGCCACAATCTCCACGTGCGGTTTTTTCCAGATAGTCTCTTGCGATATGAACTTTCTCATCAGTGATATACCCAGCAATACTAATCACCTCCATTCTGTCTAGCAGAGGATTTGGAATCATGTCTATCACATTCGCTGTGCACACAAATAAAACCTGTAGGGAAATGGTTCAGAAATTAAACGGAACCAGCCTAGAATCGAACGAAACAAAATGGTATCTATATCCATCAATAATTGGTGGATCAGAACATCACAAAGAAACGAGAGAAGAAATTTTTGATCATTGAACACATCTAATAACCTTTGATAAGTCAATAGTAACGTCGAGATAGTGGTCCAGAAAATTTGCATTTTGTTCTGGATCCAGAAGCTCCAACAAAGCACTGGCTGGATCACCAGCATGGCCTCTTCCAAGCTGCAGAGGAACAATTAAAAAAATTATTACGAACTTCTAGGAAGCTTAACATATGATTACTACGAACTTCTAGAAAGCTAATCTCAATACCAACAAGATATTACCTTATCAATCTCATCGATTAGAACAAGAGGATTTGCTGTCCCCACACTCTTTAGACATTGCACCATCTTTCCTGGCATGGCGCCAACATATGTTCGACGATGCCCCTAAACAGATTATTACAAGAATCATGTATTGTTCTAAGACAGAATTCTGTCGTACGTGTTTGACTAAGATTTGCAAGGGAAAAAAACGTGTTATACCTTGATCTCAGCGACATCAGCTAATCCTCCAACAGAGAACCGGAAAAACTTGCGGTTAAGAGCACGTGCAATAGAACGACCAATACTAGTTTTACCTACTCCAGGAGGTCCCGAGAGGCAGATGATTTTCCCTGGTGACACATTCACTCAAATTTCAGCACCGGAGAATAGAACACGAAAACAGGTTCTTTTTCAATATTCAAGATCAAATCAGAAATGGGCCACTACGACTGTTTAAGTATCCAACCTTGTGAAGTGCCTCTAAGTCTTCCAACCGCAATAAATTCTAGTATCCTTTCCTTTACGTCTGATAAGCCAAAGTGATCCTCGTCAAGAATTTGTTGAGCCCGTACAACATCAAAGTTTTCATCACTGCAAAAATAATAATTTTGATTCCTCAATCAGCGAACACAATGTCTCTAATACCAAAAGACATACTGCTTCACTTAAACAAATACAGACATAAACTAAAAGCAAGAGCAGAAAACCTGTAATTTCCCCAAGGCAATATGGTCAACCAATCAAGGTAGTTACGGGTCACATTAAACTCGCTTGAACTCGCCTCTAACAGCTGAAGTTTTGTAAGTTCTTCTTCCATGACTTGTAATATATGCGGTGGAATTTTTTCCTTGTTAGGCTCAATCCTTTCTTTAAACTTTGCTGGAGTAAAGAACAGACTGTAAGTTTCAGATGTCTTACAATAACAGTGCGGCACTCCGAACTCATACTATGCATGGTGATCCATTAGGCAGTGAAATTTTAAATCTTTTTAAAAAATAATTAAAATGACTACATAGAACTGATAATATTCTTAAGTTACTACTGACCAGAAAGTGCAGATTTGTCATCTGTCTCCACACCAAGCTCCTGCATTGGATTGCTCAAATGAATCAACTAAATATGCTATATACCACACAGACTTGGTATGTGGACGAAAATAGCAAGCATGATTTGTGAGGCGAGCTGAAAAAATACCTTCTTTATAGCCTTGAGCTGCTCATTTAGCAAGTAACGGCGTTGCTCACCACTAATTTTTTCTTCAATTGCTTTTGCTATGGATTCCTATTACAGGCTCAAAAGATAAGAATCTTATCTCATTGAAACAGGTACCCAATAAGTTGCCTCTTAGTTGACAAGACACATGAATGTAAGGGTATGAAGTACCTGAATCTTGCTAATTTCCATTTCTTTTTTCATCAATTCCAGCGTCAACCGTAGACGTTTGTGAATCTGGGTCGAAAAAAAACAGAGATTAGAGATTGACCAAGCCTGGAATACAATACAAATTACAATAATAGTGAAACTACTTACATCCAGTTCTTCAAGAACTTCTTGAGTCTGATGCCTATTTGCACCACATATTGCCGCTCCAAAATCGGCTAATCGTGGATAAGTGAAATCACCTATATGCTACACAAGTTTAAAAAAATCTACTAAGATACTTGTCTCCTGAGACTTTTTACCCTGCACAGGTAAAAATTACGAAGAGAACATGCCTGGGTATATGTTTGAACGTGATCTCTCCATAGTGAACTTGTCTTTAGGACATCCCTAAGCGTTGAAATAACTTCAAAGGATGTAGCCTTGATGACATCATCATCCATGTCAAACGGCTTATCCTGCAGAGAGAGCAAGGAAAAAGGATCCAGACTTCAGAATTAAAAAAAAAAAGACGAAAAGAATACAATACAAGGAAAAGCATGGAAACAGAAATGTACCTTAATATGATCGACTTTGACGGTCAGTGGTTCTTCACTCACCTGTATAAAGAATATAAATTTCTCCCTTAAATAAAAGTGACTTGATAAACCAAAGAACACATGTGAAGTTGTAGTCGCCAAGCTTTTGAAATATAAAAATCTTTCGGAAACAGGAGATTTTACAAACTATGAACCCTGTTAGTCTACCCACTTACCATTTCCGTTATGCGGAGTCGCCTGTGACCAACGAGGATAACTTGGTCCCCTTGGATACTTGAAATCTGGAAAATCAGCACAGAAATCGCAATGCTATTGCTAGTCATGTCTTTTGATTTGATAACACGGACACCAAACAGACGCTAAAAGCAGTAGCAGCAACACAGTACCTGAGCAAGTGTGCCAACTTCATGAAGCCGGTCAAGTAAATTTTTCCCTTTTAGCTCATTTATGTTTTTCTCTATGTCAGTGCTTGAAGATGAATCAATTGACGGGTCATCCTTCAGAAGGAACGCTCCTGCATATGGAGCTTGTCGTCTCCTGCTCTCTTGTAAAGCTGCAAGTACTTTAGGATCCTGCACACAGGAATGCTAGTCAGAGACGCAAAGTCTGCCATCTCCCAAACTAAAGATCATATTAACGTTAATTCATTTCTCTACTCAATACCAAAAAAGAAGATATCGGCTCTAGTACTAAGGCTAGATACGCTTCAATCTAGAGAGAGTTCAATGAGATTTCGAGGGCTAAACAAGGCCAAGTAATTTTGGAGAATATATGAAGGCCAAAAAAGGATGAATTGACATACCTTGACATAGATTGGCATGTAAAAACCAGGGAAAAGAGGCCTATGCGGCACCGGCAATGCTAAAACCTGCAATTAAACAACGGAATCAAGAGAAACCTAAGTCCACTGAAACGACAATGATTCAAATGCATAATGCTCACAAAAGCCAATAGCTTTGCATGACTAGTAACTAGAAACAACCAAATCCAGATTCGAAAATGCTATAAGAAGTACAAAACCACCATACAAGTGCACACCAGGCTTAATTAAAGGTTCAAAATTTTCCACCAATAGAACAAATATGATAAGCATCTCATAAGCAACATGCACACAAGTCACTGCAAAGACACATTCTACAACACACTGAATATAACTGGATTTTACAGCTTAATAAGAACTAGATTTGCCTATACAGTTGAATTTCCAACGATCCAGTAATAAAGCATATAAAAATGCACCAACAAATCTCAATAGACTTTCTCAAACTATATCTTGTGGATACAACAGAAAGTCATAACCTTAATGCATTTCTCAGGGAGAGAAACAAAAAGTTTAGCTTGGGTACTATAGAACTAACCGTTAAACAATCTTCGGGTCTAGGATTAGTGGGCACAATCGCTGATGAAGATTTGGAGTCAGACCCCTCGGAATCGGACCCAGCTGCCTTGGCCTCGACCTCAGCCGCGGCTTCTGAGTCGGACGCGCCATCGGTGGGCTCGGAGCAGAAGAAAACACGGTGACCCAACGAGGTAGATCGCCGATTCAACCCAGTGAGCTGACTCAGAGCTTTAAACAACGGAGACTCCACTGAGCGAGACCCGACCCGAATTGCCGGAGTCAAATGGTGGACTCGGGAAGCGGTGGAAGAGAAGAGCTTCAACATGGCCGCAGAGGAAGATCTGTGGTGACAATTTCTGAAATTAAGGTTATTTACGCCTGCTTGACTTTTAGGCAAGAAACCATTGAAGAATTCTGGAGAAAGTGAAGAAGCCTGTAGGCGAAGATTAGTAGTATCAAAGCCCTTCATAAACCCCGACGAAGCAAAACCCCAAATTTAAAGGAGACAAGAGAACAACCCATTTCGCCTTACACGAAAACGACATCGTTTAAGATCGGTCTCGTTCACCGTCATTAGCATAAGTTATGGCCTTTAAAGTGATGATCTTTATTGATCCTGGATACAGTTTTTGATCGAACTTCAAATTTTCCGTAAAAGCTTTATAAGATTTCGAATTGAATAAGTCTTTGACACAAGAAAAAGTTCTCTAGCACTAATCATAACAACAATAACAGAGATTCTTGTCCAAATGAACTACTACTAATAACTGATTCTAGAAGATCATTACAAGGGTGTGTCTGTTTTTAAACAGAGAAGAGAAGCATCGTGCTTGGCCTAGATAGTTAGCTCTACAAACGCAATAACAACAATATGATTACACTACACACACGTAATTCTGCTTTTTCTACAGAGACTAAGTATCATCAAGTCAAGTGAATCATCTTCCGGCTCCTGCGGCTTTGAGGAAATTGTCAAAGGGGCTAGCTGGAGGCAGACTCATCATGGACCACGAATCCTGCAGCACACCAGATTCTCTCCCATAGATGCTCCCATCATCTGTTACCTGTAACATTGTAACATTGCGTATGGAGGTGGTTAAGCCTCATATGATATAAAGTTTCAACCTTTCTCTTGATCAGCCTATATGGTATCATAAAGTGAAGACCTTTCTCACTATTACTGACGACTGAAGTAGGTTTTTTGTATGCAAAATGAAAAATCTTACTGCTTCGAATGTAAAAAAATTACCTTCTCCAGTGCAGATGATTCCTCCAGTGAATTTCTGTAGAGCCCATTCATCTGGCGGTTCTCGGTGGCCAACCACCTTGAGAGCTTCTGTCTCGTCCCAGTCCCAAAGGTTTCACAGCGGTTTGTCATTGTGTCATAAGGAAGCGGAGAAGTAGAGACAGATGACACAACCACTTGACCAGCCACCTCAAGCGCCTAGAAAAACAAATCACGAACCAATCATCATAAGAAGACACTAAATCCACATTGACCAGTTTCTTATTTATGCCGAATGCGAATCTGCGCTTACCGATTCCATAAGCTGTCCAATGCTGATAACTTGAGGAACAGATGGTGAAGGAGACCCTCTTGGGTGAAATCGGACAGAGAGTTCACTCGTCACTTCGTCCTCCACCATTGAACCTGCATGTATCTCCTGTAATAAAAGAAACACAAGCGTATACAGTTCTAATTATTATCAAAAGTCCCAAAGAAAAATCCAATCTGGGTCTTGAGAGAATAGTTTACCTCATCTAAGGACAGCGATTCCTTAGAGATACTTTGGTTTGGTTCATGTTCAACGATAGGCCGTGATCCAAACATAAAGGCATCATCAGGTGTGAATGGCTCAGAGAGTTGCATCTTCACATCAGCTTCGTCGAGCTTAACAAGAGAATATATATATATATATATATATATATATATATATATATAAAGTTATATCAGCACAAGAAACACCAGGTTTGATGTCTAAAGCCATTGATCATTTTTCTCTTTAAAAAATTGGACAATTACACGTAAGAGAATCAATTCCGAGGCTTTAAAGCTAATGTTCACCGAAAAACAAATAAAATAAAAGTTTTTTACCTTGGAAAGTTTAGATAGATATTTTGCCACAATATCGGTTATGATAGTGTTGGACAGTTCTACTTTGCTTCGCATCTCAAACAGCATCGAAGTAGCCATCTGGCTATCGATGGAGGACCCAAAATCTTTCATATTTGAATGTGGTCTTACGTGAAGCTGTAAGTCTTCGCCAATGAAGAGATAAGGATCTACCTGAAAATTTTGAGCACACAATCAAGTTATACACAACCTCCATGGATAAATAGTGTTAACTAAAATAACACACTTGAGAACTCACGTCACCAGGAAGTTGAGATTTCAACATTTCGCAAACATGAGGAATTTGATATCTTTTAGCAGCGAACATCAGAGTACTTGTAGATAGAGCAAGGATCAACCGCTTGCAAACCGTTGGTAATGTGCCTGGCGAAGAAGGAAAGTTTGATTACATATTAAGCGATTTCCAAATATTTGTATCAGATTAAGAGAGTGTCATCAACCGGTACCGTTGTTAAGATCCAAAGAGAGATTCCTCAGTGAGAAGAGAAGCTGGAAGGCTCGAACAACAAGCCCGTCATCAGGATTCTGCAGTTAAATTGATCATGAGAGGCTTAAGTGACATGAAAGTGAAGACTTTTTGTCCATGAAAGAGAGAGCCAGAGAAGAGGAGAAGTTTTTATATTGACCTTAAGTGGCAAGGAAAGAAGCACCAAGCTGAATGAATGAGCAATAGCTTCAATGTTTGAAGGTGAAATATCGGGAAGAGTGGATTGTGTCCAAAATGCAGACAACAATTGTCCGATTTGATCTTCGGTAAACTTCATCATTGATGGCTGCATCACCAGATAGTATTAGACGACTGCGTAAACATGTGAACATCCAAATTGTAAGCAGAGAAAAAATGTTACCATATCAGCTAGGTTGATGAACCCAGCAGTCTTGTCAATTATGGAATTCAACTTGTGAAAGTTTGGGGAAGATTTGTAGTTCTTAAGATCCTCTTGAGTATGATTATTATAGCCGTTCTTGTCAATCTTGACGCCATCTTTCTCTTTTCTGAGCTTATCTAATCGAGCAGCGATAGATGTGAACGCAGAGGTTGTATCGCTCCTCAAGTTCCTGGATTCATTGAGATAACCAGAAGCTCTCACTGATGCAAGTCCAGCCTGAGACTGACCAGAACTTGGCAAGAGAATTACAGAGAATATTTCATGCGCTCCTACACGGGTTTCCACATTTGGATGCAGCATTGCTTTTAGAAGCGCATCAAGAAGTGCGTCTGGGAAAACCTATAATGAGAAGAAAAAAAAAAGGAGGATTAAAATGAACTGTAAAAGATCATGTTAAACACTGAGACTGAGAGGAAACACAAAGTTATTAGATAGTTCACCTGTTGTGAACGCATAGATGGCGATAACGCTGAAGACATTGCATGAGCGAGAATCAACAGTGATCCAACCGCTGCACGTGAAACAACTCCTGAAGAAGGAAGACCCTCGAGTGAAACAGCCATCATATCGAACAGTGGCTGTGTGTTTCCAAATCCTTTGGCTATCTCCCGCAGACAATCTTCAATAGAGTTTTGAAGCATCAAGTTCAAGTTGAGTTCCTCATCTCCAATTGATCTAGCTGTCGCTTGAAAGCTTTTCCTCAGATGCCGACACAAGTCATTAACGAAACTTATGTCCCCAAGATACGAGCTGGTCCTGATCAGCTTTGCTAGACAACCAGCAACTTGAATGATATAAGCCTTGAGCTCAGGATCATTGGAAACATGCTTGTTGTCAAGATGGCGTACAACAGTCGATAACACCAACTGCTGACTCCCTAAAACAGAAAATAACATAACTGTGAGTGCACATACATGTCTAGACAAAAACTTATGTTCTAACAGAAAAGACTAGAGACGAAGAAGATACCAGAAGTTTCCATCAAGTATGTTGCATCAGACAGAACTATCATGGCCAGCCCGTTTGGGGGAGTCCATTGGCGTCTAGAATTGAAATAACTGAACATAGGATCCAAGATTTGACGCAGAGTTGTGCTTTCTTTAGCCAGATCAACCATCCTCTGGAGACAGATCTGTGCCCAAACTTTGGGCATCTCAGTCTCTTCTCTGTAACAATAAGCAACTAAGTAAATTCAAAAGAGAATAAAGAACCTGACAAACAGTGGGGAAAAAACAAATGAGAGCAAAGATTAGAGGATTAAGTCAGTTACTTAGTCAATAGAGTCGGATCTTTTCTTGCAGTTCTCGGCCGGACAATCATGTAGCTAGGGCTATTACAACCGCTGGCTGCTGTTCCTCGGCCTTCACACCTGATCACTTCATTAACCCAGTTACTATTTTGCTCTTCTCTGTCTTCATTGGTCTGAACGATCATGTCTGCCTCGTAATTGTCAAGAATGGCGTGTACAATCTCATCAACAGCAGCAAAGATATGCGAAAACTCCCCCATATACCACACCTAACGAAGAAGCAAACATGAGAAACACTGATCAAAACCAGACATAATAAACTTTTGGGGAGAAAGTTTGACTGAATTTGGAAGATAAAAGAAGCAGTTTTAGTACCATCGCTGAGAGGCATTGCAGGCCAGATGCTCTCAGACAACGCTTTTGATATTCGTCACCTTCTTCACGAGCCAATGAGCAAACTTTGTGAGCAAATTTTTCAATGCTGTGCGTGTAAGTTCCATCAACCTGTTCATACCAGATGAAGAGTGAGATATTTCACGTTTTCAACATGGACTATCATATTTGTAGAAGCCATTAGCTTTATCTATAGTTAAATCTGTCAAAGTCTCCAACTTAGGTCTGCATACAAAAGGGATAAAACATAGATACTAGAGAAAGAAACTTTATTTTCTTCAATAACATTGTACCTGACTGTAAATGAACCTTGTCAATGTTTGGCATCCAAGAATGGTTGGTATATCCTGCTTTGAATTATCAAGTAGTTCTGTAACCACGTTCAGCAAACTTGTAGCGAAATACGCCCTTGAATAAGAGAACAAAAAAATAACACACAAGTGTTAGTAAAAAGTGAAGAATGATCAAAGGACGGCTGCAAATAGATGTTGCTATGACTTTGCAGAGCTAAGCTCTCAGCTCTGCCGGGTCATGGAAAGCTTACATCTGATCCTTGCAATGGCAAAGCATTTTGTTGTAAGCCTCAGTGACAATATTGATGAACTTCATCTGTTCAGATCGAAGATCCTTGTAACACCTCTCTTCAAGAAACTGGGCAATCTGTGACAGCCACAAAACACAATACGCTGAACTCACACACAAGCCTCTTCCTGATGATGACTCATCAAGTCATCATCACTTCCCCACCAATAAAGTAGTAGGATTCAAAGAAGAAAAAACTATACCTTGGGGATACGGATTGGGTTTTTCGCAGCATACTCACACAATTTAACAATCTTTCTCTCGTTTGGTGCACCATCCTACAGAAAAAAAACCATTAAAGCAAGTGGAAAATATAGCCAAACACGTTTTCGAATTCACAATATATCGAACTAAACTTAGGCATTCTGAGCTGTTACAGTAAGATACACGTATCTCTGCTATCCTAAGACTAAACCCCACCAAGAGAGAGAGAGAGAGATGCTCAGAAGCAAAGATTACAGCAACTAATTAACAAGTGAAAAGTGGAAACTTTAACGAATTAGCTTCAAGGGGAGACTTACAGGGTATTTGGGGAAGATCTCACCGAGCAATTTCTTGTAGCGCTTAACGGGCTGTCGAGATCTCGACCTGAGAGCAGGACAGCAAACGCACATACTCTCGCACGCTGGAAAAACACTCCTCGAGATAAACCCCATCTCTTCTGCAAACACTCTGAAGAAGAAAGTGGTGTTAATTCATTCATAAGGAGGACAAAAAGATTCAATCTTTTTTTTATAAAACCCTAGAGGGCCCAAAGTTGCTAAACAAAGGCAAACAAGAAACTCAAAACATTCAAAATTCAAAAAAAAACCAGAGCCCATTGTAGAATCCCATTATAAATTGGAAATTCAAACATTCAAAATTTTAAAATTTAACATAGAAGGTAAATTGTCTGAGGTTCAAACATCAAATCCTAAGGAATGTGAAGATAATAGAAGGCTAGAACAAAACTGGGTGTGAATCAGAGAAGGACAATGTATCACAAGCTCAAACACAAATTTGCATGCATAAGGATTTTTAAAGCAAACCCTAAACAAAATTTCAGCTTATTCCCAAAGAATATCGAGTAAACGGAACAAGAAAATCTCGAGAAATCACGAAAGAAACACAAAAGATAAGAGATTTGAAAACGCACACGGAGCTTCCGAGGACGGATCTGGAGAAAGGCGAAGTGAAACTTGAAACAGCTTTGATTAATCTAGAAAGAGAGAGAGAGAGAGAGAGAGAGGAAAAAGGCGCGTGGATTTGGATACAAACTCCAATTAGAGAGAGAGAGAGAGAGAGCACGTGAGATGTCACAGATTTTAATGTTTTTTCTTTTTACACTAGTAAAAGCAGAACTAGTCCTGTCTTGTGTCAGAAGCTCCATTGATTAATTCCAGAAGCGAACCTATTGGGTTTGTTGACTACCAAAATTCGAACAGTTTTGGTTTTATCGAAAGTTTGATCCACAGTTATTCAATTCTCGCATAATCGTCAAATAATTTGTAACAACGTACAATTGCCCCCCTGAATATTATTATTGATCGGGAAGTCTATGATGTTATATCAAAAGAATACATACATTTTGCATGGCCCGGTTTGATCAGGTTGCTTAGAGGGTACTATATAATTGTAAAATTATGGCAGTATTTGGTTTGTAGTTATGGTATTTTCTTTTTTAACGTTTGTTTGATTAATAAAAGAACCTGAAGAGGCGAGAGGTGTTATTCAATATTTTAAAGAATCTTGTTTTGGCGGCTTAGAACAGAGTTTTCTTTATTAATTAACACTATCTGTCAAAAATGTTTCCCCTCTCCTTATTTTAAATTTTTTTCTTTCAATAGTGTATAATTGTCTTTTTCTCACCAAAGATAACAAAAAGCCAAGGGAAATTTCTTTTCTTGCATTCTTTGTGTTTCGTTTTCTTCCGTATGCTAATCATGTTTTCTTTATCCCTGTGTGTGTGTTTTTTTTCATTTTGAACTGTATAGCTTATTTGGTGGTACAGTCCAATTTCTATTTACACACAACCACCCTCTGAACCTTCGTTGTGCTCACTATTGATTATTTCTCGCACTTAATCTCCACCAATTCTGTTGTTTGAGTTTCTCTTCTGTCTGATCTAAAACCCTTGAAGCATTTTTCTCTCTGCGTAAACAATGGAGGCAAAGACGAAATCAAATTGTCTGTGAGAAATCAAACCCGTTTCAAGAAATCATCAGTCTTTCCCACTATTCCCGCTCTGAAAAAGATGACGACTGATCCTATGAGAGAAGAGACGATGCATCAAGGAACGAACAAAAGCAGAAGAACTCTACGGATTCTTCCGCCTTCTTCTCAACGGATTTATCTCCTTCACTAATCAATGACCCATTGATGAATTTATTAACATCGCTGATTGACGGCATCATCCGGCTTCACAACGCAATTATCTCCGTCGCTAAATGACGATCCCCATCAACAAGGGACAGGGTCGTCAACGAATCATCTCGGTGGCGTGTCAAGTACCAAGCAAAACGTGAGCCGTGTTGTTTACTCCGTCGGTTTCGCAACTGATTCATCTACGATAAGCTCTTTTGACAGGCTCAACATGCTCTTCTTCCATATTTCTTTATGTTTTATACACTGGTCAGACAGTGTGGAGAAGATACGAAATAAAATCGCTCAAAGAATTCATAAGTGACGAAACTTTAATATGGTTCAAATGATAAAGATAAAGTAAACACTTCAATCTAATTTGCCAAGAAAAACAAAAAACTGTTTGTATCAGAAGAAAAATAACTTGAATTTTACGAGTCTCTCATTGATATTCGGCAGTCTTGGCCTTAAATTCTTCCAGCAAATCATCGATGTTCTTCACCGAGTGGGCTGCACTGTCTCTTATCCGAACACTCACCTGAAAAAGTCCAGTCCAACAAAACAAACGGTCTTAAAATGTTCAGACAAAACAAATTAATTAAGCCCAAGAAACTATAAATAAGGAATAAAGTCAATAATTAACCTGTCCTGTAGCAGCTTCACTTTCACCCACTACCAGAATGTAGTTATACTGCGCAAGCTGAGCTTCTCGCACCTACACACACACCACCACCATCGTCACTCAAGTCAACGTTACGAACCACCAGAACAAATAGCAGAACATGAACCGCCGAAACTGTTACCTTTTTATCAATCTTTCTGTCTGTTATGTCCGCATCAACATAGTACCCAGCTTCATGAATTCGTTTTTGCACCTGTTCAAATGTATGCGACAAAAGGAAAGCCCGAGATTAGACAATAAGTTGATAAGAACCACAGGTGCTCACTAAAAGAGTGAAGGCCACGAATGTAACCTCTTTTGCATATTCCTCAGATTTCTTTGATATAGGGCAAACTATGGCCTGGCGCGGACTAAGCCAGAAAGGCCATTTTCCTTTGTAATGCTCCAACAATATGGCAAACATACGTTCCACAGATCCCAACACAGCTCTATGTATCATCACAGGTCTCTGCCTCTTCGCTTCGTCTTCAGCTGAGTATTCCAGTTTGAAGCGATCCGGAAGTTGAAAATCAAGCTGATATGAGGCGATAAGAAACATACAATCAAGTCCTGCACCGACTATACCAACAGAGAAAAAAAAAAAGCAAACTAGGAAAACTGAAAAGGAGATTGGGACCATAACCTGTAAAGTAGCACACTGGAATTTCCTATTCATTGCATCAGAGACTGTGATGTCTATCTTTGGGCCATAAAATGCCCCATCTCCTTCGTTTTTCTGCCAAAACAACACACTTTAGAATAAAATGCGAGCTTTGCGATTAAACTTGAGTATTTATCAACAAGTGCCAATACCACCCATTTCTTTCCAAAGGCTTCTAGGGCTACTTCGAGATTTGTTTCAGCTTTATTCCATGTTTCCAAATCTCCAAGGTACTTTTCTGGCCTCTGAATTTTTTAAATGAACATGCAAAATAATGGGCATTAGGAACATATCAGGCAGAGTCTATAAAATAAGATAGATACAGTGGTGAAGAGTCTTCAGATGTGGTACCGTTGAAAGCTTTAGCTCATAGGTAAACCCAAAAACTTTGTACGCATAGTCAATGAACTCCAACACAGCCTTCACTTCATCCGTAACCTGCAAACAGATAACATTAACAAAAAATATGTGAGAGGAAAAGGAGCACCAACGTTGCTAGACATGAGTATATCACAAACCTGATCCTCTGTACAGAATATGTGTGCATCATCCTGAAACAAGTATGCGAGCATTACAGTAAGTAACAACTATGCAAACATGAAACGGAAAAAATGATAAATAGGCAAAGTAAAGAAAGAAATAAAATATACCTGCTGGAACCGTCGGACACGAGTCAGCCCACTAAGTGCTCCACTTGCCTCATTGCGGTGTAATACGCCAAAGTCAGCCATTCTAATAGGTAACTCTACAGACCATAGAAGCCGTAAAAAGACGGTATCAGCAAAGATAAATGGTAGGATTAGACAACTTCTTTAGTAAGACTTATAAAAGGGAAACATTTTCCATGTTGTCTTTGACGATAGGTTACAAAGCACAAATTATACTTTGGAGAAAAGTCTCCTGTCCTAGAAGAAATCAGCACCGAGTAATATCATTCCTAAATCTGTTTTTAAATATATCAAACTGTACTGCAGGAACAGAGTCGCACCTCGGTATGAGCGAACCCTGTGTTGGAACATCAAGCAGTGACCAGGGCAATTCATAGGTTTGAGCCCGAACTCTTGCTTCTCAATCTGCATCAGGAACATTCGCAAAAGTCATACAAGCTTAGAATATAACTTAGGCCAAACATTGGCTTCTAGGGACAAGCTTGCTAGAGTAATAGAGTCAAGGGAACTCTTACATCAAACGTAAACATATTCTCCTTGTAATTTGCAGCATGTCCAGAAGTTTCCCACAGATTCATGTTGTACATATTTGGTGTAATGACCTGCCAGTGCAAGGTTAATTTAGCGACCCTCACTCATAAGTATATAATATATGAGATGACTAGATGAGAACTTCGAAAAACCTCTGTGTAGCCCCTTTTCCAATATTGCTCCTTAATGAATTCCATCAACTTGTTATATACACGAGTGCCGAGTGGAAGGAAGAACCAACTCCCAGGACTGAAGCTCAAGGGTGATGAGTATATATATTAGTATAGTGAAACACAAAGAGGAAAACACTCTTTATAAGCACTGAAAGAACCTGAGTGGATGACAAAAGAAAAGTTCCTGCTTTTGGCCCAATAGTCTGTGGTCATATTTTTTCGCCTCTTCTAGAAATTGAAGATATTTCTGCAACAACCAAGCCAAAGATGATAGATATCATGCATACGCAAAACTCTGCATAGCTGTCAGAATATTTTAAGAAATATGAGTACCTTGAGCTGCTTCTGATCCGGATATGATATCCCATAAACTCTCTGCAAGCTCTCACGCTCTCTGCTAGCCCTCCAGTAAGCTGATGAGGCCTAAGAAAAATATAATGGTCAGCATAAGAAACTAACTAGAATCTGCCGAGATGGAGCTCCTAGAGATACAGTAGCAATTTACCCTCAAACACTTGAATGCTTTCACAAAGGAAGTATTAGGTATGTGCGGTCCACGACACAAATCAACCAAAGGGCCACATCTGTAGACAGTAATGGTCTTGTCCGCGGACAGCTCATTGATGAGTTCAACCTAGATAATTAACAGCAAAAGAATGAGTCCAGACAGCAAATTTAAAGAGCACAGCAATGAATGTGGGGGTCAAAGGAACATAACAAATCCAATGATACGAATAAACAGCTAACCGACCTTAAAGTTATTATCAGAAAACATCTCGAGTGCCTGATCCTTTGTCACTACAATCCTTTCAAATGGTTGCGCTTCCTGAGATGTAAATATAAGAGAATCAGATCAACAGAAAATATGACTAAAAGCTGGGTGACTTAATTCATTCCGTTTTCACTTAACGGTTTGAGCAAAGAAGCAAATAGTTTACAGCGTATATTGTAAGAAAACTCTGAAGTAATCGTATAAAATATCAGTCTAAAGAAGAAACAATACCTTAGCAGCTTTTGCAGCACCTGCTTCGATGTTCGCAAAGTGAGCGTCGTTCAGGCCCAAGTCACCATAAAATGCATCATAGTAGAAACCCTGCAATAACAAATCCTCTACTAACATCAGCGAGAGCCACTTTTGCACAGAATTACAGTGAAATCGCAAGAACCAAAAAAAAAAGAAAAAAATTACTCCTTTTCTCTTTTCTACTCTTATAGCCAATAAAATGCTTAAAAAAACAGAAACCAGTCTTCTCAAATGATCGAACATGGTATACAAAGAACAGACACTTTATAATGTTAAGATGGAGTAACAACGATAAGCACAAACAAAGCTGCTCTTACCTCCCCTCTCGTTGTACATGGTCCTATGCATAGCTGACACCCATATTCCTGTTCGAGAGCCTGCACCACGACCAAGATCACAACCCCATATCCAAAGCAAAGATTTCACTAATCAGATTAGATTAAGCTAAACACTCTTTACCTGACCAAGGATGTGCGCACTAGAATGCCAGAGAGTATCCCGGCCTTTGTCGCTATCAAATTTGAAAAGCTCAAGTTTACAGTCACCTTCCAGTGGCCTACTCATGTCCCAGAGCTCACCATTGACCTCTGCAATCAGTGCAGAATTCGCCAGACCCTTTGCAATCTGACCGGCGATATCCATTGGAGTGGTCTCCCATTTCTTACCTTCTTTCACGTCCCCTTTCACGCCCTCTTTTAGCGAAGTAATCCTAAATACACATCACCATTAATTTACTAAGAATTGAAACCTCACATGAACAAAACACAGTGATACATATAAACACACGCATCGTAATTACTTGATCGGATCGTGAGGCAGAGACTTAAGCTTCTCGAGCTGATTAGCTTGGATCTGCTCGAAGAGCTTGATGCGCTTGGGGATGACGGCGGAGAGATACGCCTCATCCTTTGGATGGTTAGCTGCCATTGATGGAACAGTGCAAAACGAAGACGCAGGCCCTAAGCGAAACGGTAGAGACGACGCGGAAGAAGAAGAAGAAGGAAAAGAACAAGAAGTGCAACGACGAATAGAGCGAGCCGAAAGACGGAGGAGCATCAAAGGGTAAATGCGTTTGCCGTTGAAAAGGTTTTTGTTATCTGAGTGAGTCTAGGGTTTTTTTCATCAGGGGAGAAAAAAACAAATTTTAACCGGAAAATTAAAAAACAAACCGAGTTGAAATCATTTGTTTTCCGTTTGGTTCGGTCAAAAGCCGAAAACCATTAATTTGGTTTTTGAAATTAATTTGTTCTCATGTTAATCTCGGTTCTTGATTCAGAGGTTATATTGGAAGTCAATTTTTGAGTTTTCATACACCACTGAGATTTAAACTCATGTTCTTCTTTACTTGAAATAAAAGAATTTATACACCGAAAGTGAAACTACTATACAAGACATTTCAATGCATACACACTATATAAATCAATTCGAGAGAGGGTCGAAGGAGAAGAGCCGTCTTTGTTCATCAGTGGGATTTCTCAGCAATCTGCAGAATATAAAAGTGGCCGCAACAACTGATAGAAGAGACAGAACCGCGAGAAACCCGAAATGGGAAGCGTCATTGGCGGCTATGGCTACTCCGAGCATCAGCGATTCAGCTAGACTCGCCACTGATATCTCGGTCGCACCGATGAGGTTAGCTTTCGACGATGGGATTCCGGTTTGAAGAATCTGAGCTCCCACAACGCCGTAAGACATGTGACCAAGCCTCGATAATACCTGTGCATTTGTTCCCTTTTGGTCAAAACCAAAACTGTATCTACTAACAGTGTGAGAGAGAGGAGAAGAAGGGAACTTACAATCATGGACAAGAAGAAGAAGAGTGGGCTTTGCTTGGAGAGAGAGGAGCTCCAATACACAGCAACAGCAACACCAAGTAGTGAAGCCTGGAAAAACAATCCTACTGCACCCGCCTGCATCGTTTTGAAAACGCAAAACACAATAACATTAACCAGCTTGAACGCAATACATGCTTAAGAGAGACTACATGGCGGGAATAAGAAATTCCAAACCTTTAGAATGCCAAATCGTCTAACCAAGTTTGCTGATAAGAAAGTTGCAGCGACTCCCATAACAGCGCATAATCCACTGAAACCCCCTATAACTGACGGATTCACACCTGTTGAAAAGACAGGTTAGTGACGATTTCGGGTGAGTTGTATAAGGCAAAAAGTCTCACATGAATCGATGATAATAACGGTTAAAAGAAGCATACATCGTTGTGTTAGAAATGCAGTCATCAAGCTGCCTGGGGTGAGCACGATGTTGAAGTAGAGAAGGACATATGCGAGGCTAGCGGGAAGAACTGGCTGCTGAATATATTCTTTCCATCCGAGCTTGATAGCTTCCACGCCAATATCAACTGACGAACAAACCAAATGTTATTTTGTGATGTATATAAAATGATATTTGGAGTCATATAATATTTTTTGAGTAAAAAGCTGCCTTACAAATACTTTCGGTATCAGAACGAGGTCCTTCGCTAGCACTCTGGGAGCACTTAGGACGGTCGAGAACTCCAGAGGAGAGCTTGTTGGTCAACCATATCAAAGCTGTCTGAAAAAGAAAATAAAAACAGATTTTGTCTATTAGAAATGCGAGGCGCTTTAAAATTGACAATGACTAATGAGCAAATGAAAGTGTGGAACTGCTTCTAGTATCTGAGTAAGGAGTTATTAACGCAGTAGTGCGGGTATGATACAGACCAGCACCACTCCAATGTTGATGACTAAAAATAAAAGAAAAACTAATAAAACCCAATTGATGCTAAGCTAAAAACAATTATCTAGAAACCTTAAGACTATCTCATTCCATATAATCTGATAGAGACCGCTTTATATGAGGAAGTAAAAAAGAGTTCTGACAAATAAGAATTATTATTTCCCTTGTACATAGTTCAGTACTTCAGTCCTCTACAACACAGCAGCTTTGTGTATACTTTATCAGCTTAAAATGCTACTTTTCAGTCTTGGACGACAGAAGCCTAAGCAAAAATAACAGGGCATCGCTACTTACCATGGTTGGCAAAGAACCAATCATTAGAGTGGCAGCGAACTTTAAGCAGGTCACGGGATCATATTTGGATAGGAGAATGCCAAATAACGTCGTCCCAGCGATCTAAATCAGGTTACAATTTTGTCATTTGACGAGTTACTAGTGTTCAAAGGTCATAAAAGCACATAAAAATCCATAGAGAAAGTTACCGTACCTCGCAAAGCAGATCAATCCTGTTGAGGACAGCATTTGCTTGTGCAAGAGCGATTGGTCTGTTCATGCCCGCCAACTACCAAATGATAAATCAGTTACTTTACTGAGTCTTTCTTCTGAATAAAACAGGTATAGGTATTCAATGGCGTCACAAAAGAATAGCATACCAATACAACCCAGTCACGTTCTATGGCGACTCCAGACGCTATTCCACAGAGTCTGTCAATGGCCCCTGCGAATATCAATGCAAAAAACCAAGGCTCCAGAAGAATTGATGACCCCAACGTGGAAGGAACCGTGTATGCATGAATTATCATTCCTGCAGATAGCACTTGAGCCGCTGCCTGAAATGTAGATATATATAAAAAAAATATGTTTAAAACACTTAATTTGACATGACATAAATTGAAAGAAAGCAACAAAGAAGTCATTTGTGATCCTTTGTACTACTATGCTGAAAAATTCGTCTTTCTTAAAAGAATCACCTGAACAACATTCAACGAGATATATGTAGGAACTCTGGGACTATGATCCATAAACTTTCCAACAACAGGACCCCCAACAATTATTGCCAATTTAGTGACGAAGCCCATGACTGCCACAGGTAGTAAGCTCGGATGTAGCATTGCAATGGCGGACGGCCAAGCGAAATTCCAAAGTTGCTCAACCAAATTCCCGACCAAACAGCTCGCGTATAAGACTGATAAAGATTCAAGTAAAAGTTAGTAGTATCATGTTGGTAAATGCCATAGATAGATAAACAAACATCTTAAGATGTAATCATGGCCTCTGATATGATATGAACTAGTGAGTGCTCTAACCATATAATCCTTCAGGGTGAGCGGGAGTGGCTGCAAGTGCGGTCTGCTCCTCCTCAGACAAGACCTAAGAACACACAAGATTGACTGGTCTTAAGCAATTGGATCTTGATCAATGAATTTTTGAAATTGCTTGACCAAAGAGAGGGATCATGAGACAGTACGGGCAATGCTGTCAAAACGGTATCTACGTAAGTACACTCGGTGAGTAAGCTCAGAGATTCAGTTACAGCGATGTTTGTATCTATATGAACAATTGGAATCGAATGATCCTCCATTGAAACCGGCAAGTCCTCGTGGATGTCATCATCAGTAGTGACGAAATCGTGACATACATCCGTGTTTGTAATCGAGCACCTTGAACTAAAGCTGTATAACCTATCGCACGAGTGATGAAGGCTTTTGCAATTAGCAAAATCATAATGGAGAGGAATCGAGAATCGAGGAATGCAAAAAAAAAAAAAAAAAAAAAAAACCTGCGAAAGCATGAGGCTGATGAGCTGAGACTTAGCCATCTGCAAGGAGGGGAGCGAAGGCGAACTCTAGAAAAAGCCGCCGGCGATAAATAACGGGTTCTCTCCACCGGGAAATGAAACAGAAAATCGAAAGACGGCGATTGCCTGACCAGAGCCATTGAAACAACCATTCCAGAAATTGACTCTCTTCTCTTATTTTCAACTTCAAACTCATGCAGCCTCCAGAAATCACAACATAAACTCGAATTTGCCTCTAATCCGCTTCAAATCTTCTCTGGATTTTTTTTCCCTATGGCCTTAATCGCCACCAGATATTTTTTCAACTTCAGGTGAAAAAAATCCAGAGAGAGTATTTTGTTTTGAATGAATAAAAAAAAAAAAAAAACCTTATCTATGGAGGTTCATCGCGGAGCACACCGTTACGCGAAAGAGCTCAAGTGGGGAAGAGGCAGAGAGTTTTGTGTAAGGGAGATTAAGCCACGTAGATTTACTTATATCCAATACTCCATAGCCACGTGGCTAACCAAATCATCCACCGCAACCGCATAACTGGAATAAGAGCGTTTTGACGAAAAATATAGCGATAAAAAAAATGGAATAGTTAGAAAATAATTAAAGAAAAACAAGGAATAGTTTTCGGAATTGTTATTTTATTTTATTTTGGCTACAAATTATAACCATTAAAAAGGCCTGTAAGTTCAAATACAACACTGTTCAACAAGTTTTATTAGATTTAAAATTTGGGTATATTAGAGAGCCATCCATCTTGGTCAATGAAATTAGAGGTTGAGAATCGTTGTTTAGTGAAAGAAGATTGAAGTTTGGCAATCCAAGGGACTCTTCCTGAAATACCCGATCCAGCTCCTTTACACTCAACTTCTCCGTACGTGAACCTCCATCTAACAACAACAACAACAAAAAATCGAATTTTTTAGTATATAGTTTTCATTCATCATCACATATGATATAGTAATAATTACTATTTTTTTAAAAATGATTGAAGATGTGTGCTTACTCGTAGCCAGCGTAGTGCCAAGGGTACCAACCCTTAGGGTCAACGTTCGAAGAGAGATCGGTTTGGATGAAAATGACTCGGCTAAATGGACCATAGGCTCGTCCAAGAAAGACATTGGTGGTCCCTGAGACACTGCCACGTAGGAACACGAACCCACTTGGATCCCAAAGACTCCACCTTGCTTGAGCCGTTATGTACCCATTCGTTACTTCTGATGCTAATGTTCCCGCCGTCACGTTTATACGACAATCCTGCCACACGTACGTACTTTACAGTTCAAAATCTAAGTGAATAATGATAGATAGAGAGATTATGTACATACCTCGTAGATAGATTGGCCACTGCCAAAAATGAAATCGATTGCACCTTCGATGTAACAGTCCTTGAAGTGATGTTTGCCTTGAACATCCCACACTGTGTCTTGTAATGACAAGAAATCGCAGTTGTAGAACGCTGATTTATCGCCGTAAACCGCTAACGCTACCGCTGGCTTTATTTGCCAACTCGGTTTATTTCGAAAAGTTAAACGATTATACGTATTCTGCCCACAAAAACATGTAAAAATTTAGTATATAACTATCTCAAAAAAAAAATGATATATATATATATATAGTAATATAGTCAAAGATATATTGAGGCTCGGTTACGTAATTACCATGATTGTTAAGGATCGGACGACAATGTGGGATGGATATGAAGTGAAAGTAGAGCTGACGTCAGTGGCCTCGTGAGCATCGTACGTGATGGTCGTAACTCCTTGTCCCTCTCCTTCTACTATCATGCACGGTTTCGTCATCGGTATCCTCACCTTCTCTCTGTTTAATTTATACATTCATCACAAAACCATATGTTATATGATGACTTTTGCTATTATAATTACGATTCAAAAACTTTTTACAAAAGCAAAAACAACACAAAAATTGGAGATGTAACATCTATGTTTTGAACTAGATAATGCTAGAAACAGTTTAATTTCTTTCTTCTCGAAACAACTAAACGCTAGAAAATCGCGGTTGAGAACGCTGGTTTTAAAAAATTGAAAAGGAAAAAACAGCAGCGAGTTGGTCTTTTACTTACACATAGACACCTTTTTTTACTTTGATTTTGATCCACTGAGAGTTCAGTTCACCAACTGAATCAATGGCAGCTTGAACCGTACGGAAGTTTCCTGAACCGTTCTGGTCGACGAAGACTGTGCTCACGACTTTGTTGCCACAAGTTGGATCAATTGCTGTCGACGATCCAATACAAGAACTCAGAAGCAAAGCTATGAAGACGAACAGACGAGACATGTTTTTTGCAAGAACAAAATTTAGAAGACACAAGAAGAAAAGATAGATAATGAGATTGTAATGTGATTATGGTGAGGGTTGGATTATTTGTTGCTTTAAGTAGATAATGATATATATCCTATTTAGTATCGGATATATTTTGAATCTAAACCTGCTCCTTATATACATAAATTACCAATCATCTCTGCAAAACTAGATTTACATTGTTGTCAAAAAAAAGGAAAGAACGAGAGAGAGTGGATTTCCTCTTTTTTTTAATAATGTGTAATCTTTTAAATTCGATAATAGAATTAAACTGTACTGGACTACTTGGTAGTTATCTTATTCTAAAATGGACCACGAAATACATTATAATTGATTGACATATACATTGGGTTAAATATCAACGTTGAAACTTAGACGAACAGTTTTCGAAATATACATATATATGACTATGATTCTTTGTTGCAGCTCATAAGCCAGACAATTTTCCAATTCATTAATCATCACGAATCTGATGATCCAATCTTTAAAAAATAAATAATACAAGTTTGAGAACTGATCTGTATATTACATGAAACTTTACTATAAATTGATTAAAAATGATATTTATGATTAATTCGTCAAAAATACTACATAGAAATCTAGATATCTACCTTATCTCTAAAAACGGAGAACATCTTTTTGTAAACTTATGTTGAATCGATGGGAATTGAAAAAATAAAAAATGACGTTGGAAATGTAACAAACTTAATTTGGTTGAACTAGTTTTTTTTATTTTTTTGCTAAAGAGTATGGTTTAAACTAGTTTTCTATTATGATCTTGAACTTTTGAACTTTAGACACGAAATCCGTATATTTTGATGGGATGGGTACTACGTCGTTGTTAATACTAAAACATCATAAATTTTCTTCCAATGGGGACTGAACATAAAGTGTATGTAATAGAACAGCACCTTAACACTAGCAACTGGACCACCATATTTTTGATAAAATTAATTTGATTAAATATATTTCCTAATTCTTAATATTTTAAAAATTGTAAAACCAGATATTATTAAAAAATTCAAAATACATGGTTAAACTTTTAAACTAAATTTGTTTTTATATTAGAACCAAAATGTAAATAGTAAAATATATTTAGTTTTACGTACGTTTATAAAATATTTTGTTAGAATAATTGGAAAGACTGAATTTGTTGATAAGAAAGAAAAAATTTTATAAGTTCAGATTAAACAGAAATTCGTTTGGTGTAAATGTTTACCATGTACTTGAAGTCTTGAACTAATTCCATACAAAAACTATTAAATGTTATAGTTACAGTTTAGATAGATAATATCAAACAATTTCACAAACAGCTATTAAATAGTATAACTTTTAAATCTATTCTATTCAAAAAATTGATTTAGTTACTGAATTTACAGAATATAAGTACAATAAAATTATTCTTTAAATACTTAAGATTTTGCTTAGAGATAAAACTGACCTAAATTAATAAAATCTTTAAATTATTAATTTTACTTTTTAAAAAAATTATTGACTAAAAATTATATATATGATGTGGAAAGATATGATTAAGCCAAATTTAGTTAGTAGAACTCTCTTTCTTTTAATGGTGTTTTTTTCATTTTGTTTCTTATGAAAGTCAAGTATATCATCTACTAAATGATAAAGTAAATTTAGATAGAAATGTTAAATATATCATATAAACGCATAGCAAAAATCAATAAAAGGTTAAAAATATGTATGAAAAGTATTTCTAAAATCTAAATATACAGCAGTTTTTGTTGTCTGAAACAAAAAAATATTTATATATTTGTATTTACGTTTATATATGTATAAAGCAACCAATTTAGATTGATACTCGTGCATCTTCAACGACGACTTAACACACACAAAAAAAGAGAAGAAATCTTTTATCATTTCACAATAAGACATTATTGTTGTATAGATTCTGAATAGTTTAACTTCAACTATCCTTTGACATATATGATTACATGATAATGCATAAGACGGTTACACGCACCCAACGAAAAATTAAGAAAAGTCACATACGCTGATATTCCCCTTCATCGTCGCCGAGGGTAGAACAAAACACAAGTTTCACAACCTTAAATATACTATTTTTTATAGAAAACCCCTAAGATAAAAATAAATAAATAGATATATTTATATATATCAATAACCTTTATCATATCAGTATGAATCAACTCATTCACTGATAACTTCCTTCCAACAACGAGAAACAAAGCATGTTAGCGTTGAAATCCCAATACATACCAACGACCATGCCAACGACAAGCCTCCTCCTCCTCACAAAGTCTTCGATCCAAGACTCGCGCATTGCGAATGTATCTTCATGCGGGTACTTCCACAATGTAACACTGTGGAGTGTGTTTGTGTCGAGATCCTTCACATGTATTTGGAAAGAACCAACCAGCACACGTGTGAGAGGTTTGACATATCGTGGTTCGTGTCTCAGCATCGTATCCCACATATGGTCCAGTGGAAGCTGGAACTTGCCTCCGGTCCATAGTTCATCGATTGTCAGGGTTTTGAGGATCTCCCAAGGGGAAGGAGTTATGGGTCGGATCTCGATTTCTTGAGGATTCAGTGGATTATTAAAATCTGCTAAATTCTCGTTTTCCTCTTGCTCTTTTGTTTTGAGGAAGGTGTAGAACACTGTTTTGATCATGTTTATAATTCTTGTTGTTTCTTGTGTAGTGATTAATGTTGGAAGATTATATAACCAACTAAAAAATAGAAGTTGGATGTTTTGGATTGCCAACACTTATAGGAGAACTCAAGCTGATTTGGTCTTAACATTTATTGATTTAAGCTTTGATTAGCTCTTTTTGCCTTTTCTTTTCAGCAACAACATTTGTACATTTTACCGGAATTAAATGTGGGTGATACTGTAACAAAAACACATAGTTTTATTGTTCTAAACACAGTTTTAAGAGATTAAGTGTCTATAGCTATAAACGGCAAAAAATTTGTTTTTTTCCCTTATTTTTTTTTTATTCATAAACTTCTTTTTGTTATTAATATACTGTATAAAATTTTAACTACGACACATTCAACACTTAGAAAACTAGTGCTTAAGGATGATTACAAGCCTAGCTGCTTAATGTTTCTAGACCAATGGAGGAAACAAGTGCACGAAGGCAAATAAAATTGGTACGGTGTTTCAAGCAAAATGGCAACACTGCTATAACTAGACCATTCTTAGAACAAGTAAATTTCAGTAGCAAAACCAAGCGTGACAGAGACTCAACAATTCGAGGAGCACATGAATCAATCATGCCTTGATAGCGTCAGCTCTAGGTTTCCACAGCCCCAGCCTGTATTTCTGGCTATATTTCAGTATCAGTTTCCTCTGCAAAAACCAGAATTCAGAATCGTCAGAACAAATCATGATCGAGTTAAAACCAGCCAGATGCGTGATATTGAGCAAACAAATCAAAACATATGGTGGTGCGTTGTTCACCAAACCTATCTACAGTTTACATGAAAGGGAAGGTCTCTTAGTGACTGGAAGTGTGAAGAAGTCTACATTACATTTTATGCTTTTTGGGTGTTAACAACGAAACTCCCTCACTAGCAAGCTAAACTTAAGTTCCAAGACAAAACTATAGATACATCTCCATCAATCTCATATTCTCATTGTGCCTGGAAAGTTCAAGAACTCAACTTTTTGCTTCTATTCTCCTTGATTGGAGTATAGTTACGTAATGTAATTCAAGGTAACAAATTGTTTCATTCCTAACATATTAAATAAACCCTTTTAAACTTGTGACCCAAAGTAACCACCTTTTTCTGCACCATTGCAATCTGTGAACTCGTACAGCAGAAGAGAGATTTGATACTTACATGTTTGCAAGGGATGCCAAACTTCTTGAGCCTGAGCGTACGAGTCACAAGCAGTTTCGAAAGATCACCAATCTCTGTCTCAAGTTTAGCAATGTGAGTCTCAGCTCCTCCCCCAATCCCACTCAAGAACTCAGGGATTCCAACCTTCACTGCAAATATCACAAAAGAACAATCAAAACCCAATTCACAACGTTATGTAATCCAAAAATGTGTCGATGGTCTTCTGTAAATGCATCATTTTTAGTGAAAAAATCTCTACACCAAAAGGATACCGCACATCTCTATAGCTAGCTAGCATTGCCAAAAACTTGCAAACTAGAGTGAAAAATACTAAGATTACAATTATTCCTTTTTCATTTTGCAGCCGATTTGATCAATAATTAAACATGAACAACAAACATAATGTTGTAAAGTTCTGAAGCCAATTAAAACAAATTGATAAAAAAAAATGTCCACCTAATATCTTCCCTAAGCCTAAGCTCAGTCATGAACTTCCACACCACTGAAACTTAAAAGACCTCTACGGTAACCAATCAGATAATCCACGAAAATTTAGCATCGAAATTTCTACAAACCCGAATCGACACAGAAGCGAAGAAGTAAAATTCGAAACTCATAAAAAACAAAAAATCCGTGTACCTGCATAAGGAGCGGGTTTGGAATAGAATCTAGAGAGTGTTAGATTCGAAGACGGTGGTGCTGTTCTTAGAACAGATCTCGCGTTCTGTAACACTTGCATCCACGCCATTATCGGAGCTTTTCTTCAACAGTCAGGCGCTCATGAAAATCGTCTCGGCGAGGCTTTGGCATTTGGGTTTCTGATATTACGACGTCGTTGCTAAGAAAGTTATAATATGAGCCCAAGATTGTTTGTTTCAGCGACTAAGCCCATTAGATCAGTAGCCCATTATCAGATTGATTGAGAACCGTATATTTTTCCCGCTTGAACCCGGTTAGGTTCATTCAAACATCATTAGAGAATCAGATTATGAATGTTACTTACAATTTCCAATGCCTTTTGAAATCAACCAATATCCGTATTCAAAGACCATAAAGATTTCGATTTTATCAATTTATATTTTTTTTCTTTTCTTAAGTTACATAGAAAATCATTTGGCATAAACAAGATTTTTCCCGGTTCGAACCTAAACTTGCCCAACCTAACACATGATCATTGCGTAAAAGAGACCAAAGACTAAATTGATCGCGACTCGCGAGTAAGCATCACGCGCCTCCTTGACACACACACAAAACATAAATTTCTCCGCCATTGCGTCATCGCTAGCACACGGTGGAAGCAGAGCACATAAACGAAAAACAGATCCAAAACTTTCCGGCAATTAACACCGCTCACAGCGAGGTTATGTCAAATCAAAATCAGACGGTGCAGCCGCAGAAGAGGAAGAAGAAACAGAGCATCGAGACCAAAGCCACCGACTCTAACGCCGTCACTACTTTCCAAACAACGTCGTCGACCATTACAGACAAGAAACTCAGCTCCGGTCGACGCCAGCTCAGCCAGCGCCATCGCTCGTAACCACCGCCTGAAAACCACATCGGCTCAGATCCAGATGAAGTGAAACGGATCGGCCACCACCTGATCGCGGACGGCATCGGAATCTCTATCTTGATTCGGAAGGCAGAGAGCTTAAGTGAGAGTGTCTGTGTTAGGATTTTCTAAATATTATGTTAGTGTGGCGAATGATATAGCTAATTGCGGAAAGGAAGCTTTTATGGCGTAAATGATGGGCAGAAAAAAAGAGAGGATTAATATGGATATTTATTTTGACGATGTAGATTAATTTAGTGGCGTTATAGATTCGAAACGTGCGGCTGTGATGTGATATATTGGGATCTCCGTCTATGGCTCTTTTGAACTTTTTTCATTCTTTATATTTTTTTTATAAGTTTCTCCATCATTGTGGCTAGTTGAAGAAATGTATACTTATGAGAATTTTGAAAACATGTTGAATTAAAAAAACAAGTTAGGTTATAATCACTCCTTTTTAGAGAGAAAATATCATAAAAACACCATTAATAATAAATTTGTGTTCAATATTCAAAGAAAAATCATAATAATTATTCCAAATGATTCATTAATCATTACATTACTAATTACAAATATTCTTCTAATTTTTTTTGAAACTTTTGTTTATATATAAAGATTTACTTCCTGTTAACAAAAAATTTTCGGGTCAAACATCAAAATTACTTACTGTTTCATGGCGTTTAAAATTGTTATAATAATCATAAGCTTTTGTTCGATTTAAAACGCCATGAGACAGTAAGCAGCGATTTTTTTTTTATTCGTATCAAACGGGTGCAACCGCGTCTGAAAATTGATTGTGGGCTCTATCCTCATTTGCAGGCCCGTATCTGAGCCCAAGAAGACCAAGCCCATGCTTGTGGCCCATTATATTTTGGAGCTTGCGACAAAGTCAGGACCGGCTCTGCTCATTTGCACCAAACGGGCCTGATAATTCTTTGGATTATCATTACAGTCCAATAAGGAGTTTGACTTCTTGTCAGCACTGCTAATCTCTGAAATGGCTTCCTTGGGATGATATGTTACCAACCATATAATGTACATAGGTTATTGGTTGAAATTTCAATTCATAGTATTTAATTTTGTAGCTTTCTCAATGGCCAGAGAATTCACATTTAGGCCACTCTTGAAACAATCTTAGTTCCCATGTCATCGTTTCTGTTAAAATAGGCAAGAGACTTCTTACTCAAGAAACAAACATGTACTATTAATGAATGGCTTCATAATATCAAGTTTACTTCTATCCCTAACCGTTATTCACATGAGAACAAAGGAAACAACTGTTACTCCTAATTCCTAAACTTTATTCTAAAAGTTTATGGAAGACTGAAAAAACGGCTTCTGTTACAAAAGACCGAACGTATTAAAATAAAAACCGAAGGCCACTCTCTCCTTGCCACGTTTCTTCTCTATTTGTCTCTTGTGTCCGACATTGCCCCTTAAACATAGCCACTTATGCATAATCCAACCAATAAAATAATTAATATAACATTTTCCTGTAGATTGAACCATAATTTTGGGTACTATCTTCTCCCTTTGTTTCCTGTTTGCTGTGTTTTCTTCGGATTAAATAATGAAACATTTTATGCGCACTTAACACCTAACAATGTTTATGTCACTAACAATCATAAACATTAGCAAAAGAAAAAAAACATTATTCACATAAACGGATATAAAACGCGAGAAAAATTACGTGGAATACTGGGATGCTTTTGTTAAGAAAATGATATTAACAGATATAAAAGCAGAATTTATGAAAGGAGTTTTTTTCTATAATTGTTTTCGCTAATTAATGCATTCTGCGTGAATCGTGATAGTAAAATACTAGTAATATGTAATAGTGCTCTACTAGTCAAACAAAAATAAAAAATTTAAGTATTGTGGTCAATTTGAACAAAAAAAGAGTATTTTGGTCATTTTCAATTCTCCCACCAGTATTATTTGATTCTTCAATATAAATATATTAATATTTTTATGGAGAAGTTTCTCTTTTTTCACTGGTCTTTCTCTTCCGTGGTTTGCAGATACCGAGGAATTCGGAGGGAAATCATTTATTATTGAAGTTCAAAGCCCTTTACTTTTTGTTTTTGGATCATAAAACAATAAATGTAATAACTAAATAACCCATAATTAGTGGAAAATAAATAATCAAGTTCTTAGAAAATAAAACAATTATATCATTCCAGATGTGTATATCTGTCTCTCTCACCTCAAATAAGCCAAATTCATTTATTTCGAAATTCATTGACTGCGTGTGAGCTCCCTTTACGTGTTTTCCTTTCTCTCTCCTCTTGTCACGGAAGCAAATTGACATGAACTTTGTTTTTGATTTTCTCTGACGATTTCTCCCGAGAAAATTTTAGCCCAGAAGACTACGCTGCTGTTTGAACTCTCCCCTTCTTTAGTTTCTACCGCAATTCGTAAAGTCACCGTCTTTTTAACTCATTTGCTGTTTTTCTACTTCTATATCTCTAATTGTCTGAGAAAAAATATTATAAATTTTGTTTCATTAAAAGTTCTTAAATTGTCAACTGAGATTTCCTAAGTTTGTTAATAATTTAAGATTTGTTCACATGCATTGAATATATTTTTTTCCTTTTTGTGTGCTTCTTCTTCTTCATTTGAGAGTTCTGAGATTTGATCTGATGCTTGAAACAGATGCACAAATCTATGTGAGATTCCGACAAAACTCTTTCTGATGTCTGATTCCGTCAAAACGACGGTGGATCCGCTTCTGAGAGATTTGGATGGGAAGAAAGAGAGTTTCCGGCGGAACGTGGTGTCTATGGCAGCTGAGCTAAAGCAAGTGAGAGGCCGTTTGGTTTCTCAAGAACAATTCTTTGTTAAAGAAAGCATTTGTAGAAAAGTATAGTCCTTTTTGTTTGATTCATTGTTTATTCTCCGATTGATTCTTCCTTTTTGGTGCTGCTTTGCTTTGGTGGGGTCAATTTTGCGTTTCTGATCTTTGTTTGTTGGTATCAGAGGAAAAATGATTTGATTTTTTTTTTTTTTGGTTTCTTCGTGTGGTTTTGTTTCCTTCAGGAAGCAGAGACGAAAGCTAAGAAGATGGAAATGGAGATCTGTAAATTGCAGAAGAAATTGGAAGACAGAGATTGTCAGCTTGAAGCTTCAACTTCTGCTGCTGAAAAGGTTTAAATTTTACAGACCCTTTTGCTTAAGACTCCGAATATGATATAATTATATCTGAAAAGTTTGGGGCTTTGAGAACTATTATTACATGGTACTGGAAAGTGTATATGTGGTTTCAACTTTCTGAACTAATCATTATACTTTTGGTATCCATTGGATCAATGGTCTTTTAGATTAAAAGTAGATGAAGCCGAGTGTGGAAAGTTTGACTGTGTTTTAATCTCAAATATATTATAATCAATGTCTAGTGAAGCTTGACCTATTCAAAAAGATTTCCTGTAGAATCTTAACCGGGTCAAGGAAAAAAAGCTGATTTTTAGATAAAATGGGTCTCTCGTTTGGCTTTAAAAGCTAATATTGTTGTGGTGAAATGCATCCGAGATGTGCAAAGTGGGACAAATGATACTGATGTTATGTTTCAATTACTGTTCAAAAGGGTTCTTTCAATGCAACTTCAGAACCGTTACTTTCTTGAGCACTCGAATGCATTTATTTAGGACTCTTCTTGATCTGTTATTAATTTGCTTGTACAGTATAGCGTTTTGTTCAATGTTTCTTGACCGGAGTTTGAAATCTTTTGAACATAATCATGGAATCATTTTGAGTATTGGTGAAAGCGTTATCCATTCTATGAATGTTTCTCTAATGCGTTTTAAATTTGCCTTGAGAAAACAGTTTCTAGAAGACGTGGACGACCTGAGACTGCAGCTAGCTGTAACAAAGGAAGTTGCAGAAACAAGCGCTGCTTCTGCTCAATCCGCACAGCTTCAATGCTCAATGCTAACAGAACAACTCGACGACAAAACACGTTCTCTAAGAGAACACGAAGACCGTGTAACTCAGCTCGGCCACCAGCTTGATAATCTGCAGAGAGATCTAAGGACGAGAGAGTGTTCTCAGAAACAGCTGAGAGACGAAGTTATGAGAATCGAGCGTGAGATAACCGAAGCTGTTGCAAAGTCAGGGAGAGACAGAGAATGTGAGCTCCGGAAACTTTTGGAAGAGGTTTCTCCGAAGAACTTTGAGAGAATGAACAGGCTATTGGCGGTAAAAGACGAAGAGATTGCGAAACTGAAAGATGATATAAGGTTAATGTCAGCTCACTGGAAACTCAAAACCAAAGAACTTGAATCACAGGTGCAGAATCCATATCCCTGTCCTTATTCTTATGTTCTGTCTCAATCTTCTTCGACTGATAAATAACCATGTGGAAAAAATCAGCTGGAGAAACAAAGAAGAACAGATCAAGAGTTGAAGAAGAAGGTGCTGAAACTGGAGTTTTGCCTGCAAGAAGCTCGTAGCCAGACAAGAAAGCTACAGAGGGTAAAAAAAGTTAAGGATTGATTCTTTCAGTATATTTAGCTTTTCTTGATCTATATGAGAAACAGAATGGTTTATTCTATGTTTGATGAACGGAAACGCAGATGGGGGAGAGGCGAGACAAGGCGATAAAAGAGCTAAGAGATCAGATTACCGGAAAACAGTTGAATGAATCTGTGTCTGGGGAGAAACCGAACTTTTGGGATACTTCAGGGTTCAAGATCGTCGTATCAATGTCGATGTTGATATTAGTGATCGTCTCCAAAAGATGAGTTCTTCGTGTTTTCTTGGATCTCGGACCCTTTTTTGTGTGTGTAAATGCCAGTAATAGTTGCAGATAGAAGTAGATAATGTTGCATATTTTCGAACCCTTTTTTTTTTGTTGAGGTAAACAAAGAGAGATCTTACAGTTTGTGTTTGTGCATTTAAATAATTTGTCTGAAAAAAAGAAGAAGATACTGCACATATTTCATATATTAATTTGGCGGCCCATAGAATAGGCCCAGTTTCTCGGCCCAATAACGTGAACCGCCTTTTCCCTGGCTTGAAGGCGTAATTAATGAAATGGTTTTATGTGTTAAAATGTGTTTCGGATTTGCAAACTCATTCATCATCAGTTTTTGGCCTTCTGTTAAAACTCAGAGCCTGCGCCAAGATTTTTGGGGGAAATTGATTACGTTGTAAACAAAACCTAATTCCGTATTGATTGATTTTCCGGGGAGTTTTGATTTCCTTTGCAAACTTTCGAAGATGGCGAAGGATCAAGCAATCGCCATTAACGATGCGGTTCACAAGATTCAGCTCGCTATGCTCGACGGCATCACTGATCAGAAGCAGCTCTTCGCGGCGGGGACCTTGATGTCTCGATTGGACTACGAGGATGTCGTCACGGAACGAACCATCGCTAAGCTCTGCGGTTACCCTCTCTGCGGAGCATCCCTCCCTTCCGATGTTTCCAGAAGGGGAAAGTATCGGATATCGCTGAAGGAGCACAAGGTTTACGATTCACTGGAGGCCAGAAAGTTTTGCTCGGCGGTTTGTCTTATTAATAGCCGAGCGTTCTCGGGGACTTTGGAAGAGGCTCGTACCTCGGAGTTTGATACGGTGAAGCTCAATGGGGTTCTGTGTTTGTTTGGTGATTCGGACGTGAAAGATTCTGTGGATGTGAAAGATGATTTGGGATTGTCTAAGCTCACGATTCGTGAGAACACTGAAGTGAATCGCGGAGAGTTGTCTCTAGAGCAGTGGATGGGTCCTTCTAATGCCGTTGAAGGCTATGTACCTTTCAATCGAAGCAATTCCAAATCCAGAAATGGCGAACTCGGTAAGTTCGATGATGAACTATGGAGTGAGCAAGTTCTTCAGTTACCAAAAGATTTTAATCAACGATGTGATTGATAAACTAAAAACAGTAGCAAATTTGAAGGAACATACTTCTTAACTGTTTGATTTCTTTCCCAGGTTTCTTTGTCTCTGTTGCTTATAATATTAGCTTGTTTTTTTGGCAGATTCCAAGGCTACTCAGAGTAATCAAGAGAAGAAGGAGAACCCGCCTTTTAGCGAGATGGATTTCACTAGCACAGTTATTATTTCGGATGACTTTAGTGTTTCGAAGCTTCCACCACAAACCAAGCAACCTTCTCTTATAGGTGAATCTGAGGATAGCAAAGGCAAAGCAGTTTCGAAAAAACAAACTGCAGTTCCTCCCACCAAGAAAAATTCGAGTAAGCACTAAGGAGCTGTTAAGAGTAGGCCTTTCGACCAAGATAATCTCTAAGAAATGTAGCTGTATATGTTACTTATTCTTGCTTAAAGGTATTTGGCTGGTATCGTGAATGATTTTGTTTATTCCTAGGGGAGCCTGAGATCTTGTGGTGGTGATTAGGCCATTTCTTGTGATGTGTGAGGCAATAAATACTGTTGCTCATGCTCTCGGTTTATCTGGATGGTTTTGAAGTCTACTGTGCATGTGCAGGGTTCCGTCGTGAAAAAGAAAGGGACAAGAAGAATTCCGGGGTTGATGGGATCGATTTTGCGAGCTTTGGGTTTGATGGGATGGGTTGTGCGAGCTCTGTTACTGCAAATGATGGGTGCAGCGTTGAGTATAGCGTGTCTAAGCAGCCACCATGTTCAACGGAAGATCCTCTTGGTGGCCAATTGAAAGATGATCTTAAGACATTGGATGAAAAGAAGGATTCGAGGCTTCCTACACAATCCAAACAAGCTTCTCATGCAGTGGGATCGGAGAATGGCAAAGGGAAAGCAGTTGTGACAGATGCCAAACAAACTGCAGTTCTCCCCAGAAAAAAACCGAGTAAGCACTTAGGAGCTGTAAAGACAATTAAGTAGTCAGGGCTTACTTTCGAGATATCTCTTAGAAATGTTTCTGTATATGTTACTTTTTCTCGTTTAAAGGTATTCATATGGTATCACGAATGAGTTTCTTTATTCGTTGGGTGTCTGAGATGTTGTGCTGATTGTTAGGCCGTTTCTGTGTCTGTGTGAGACTCTGTTTATCGCTCTGATATTGTAGTTTATTGTGCATATACAGGTTTTTACAAGGATAATGAAATGAAGAAGGATATTAAGAATATCGGGTTTGATGAGATGGCTTTTGGAAGTTCTGCTATTATGAGTGAGGATTACAGCGTAGAATATAGTGTTTCTAAGCAGCCACCATGTTCAATCGAAAATCCTCTAAGTTGCCACTCAGAAAGTCTTCAGACATTGGACAGGAAAAATGCTCTAATAGGATCGTCCTCTGGTTCTAGTAGGAAAAAAACAGAAAATTTGAGAAAGAAAGTTACTTCTGTTGAATACCGTGCTGATTCTTGTGAAGATGGTGACGAAATCCTTACAGCTCATGAGGACATGTGTTCATCAAGTGGAACCGTCACTAAATCGTGCCTTAAAGCTTCTGGCTCTAAGAAGCTTAGTCGTTCAGTTACTTGGGCTGATCAGAATGATGGCCATGGTGATCTTTGTGAGGTTAGAAACAATGATATCAAAGCAGGTCCTAACCTGTCATCCACCACTGATACAGAGGTTGTCAGTAGTGAATCACGCCTTGCATTAGCTGAAGCCTGCGCTACGGCATTGACCCAGGCTGCCGAAGCTGTTTCTTCGGGAGATTTAGATGCAAGCGATGCTGGTAAGTCCGTAGGAGGTGTTAATTATGCTATGATACGCTTTGCTTTGTCCATACTTGCATAGATTCCTGAATTTTGCACTTTGTCATGTTTTATATAGCTGCGAAAGCTGGAATCGTTTTGTTGCCAAGCACACATCAACTTGATGAAGTGGTTTCTGAGGAGCAAGTCGAGGAGGAAATGACTGAAGAGGAACCAACTCTTCTGAAGTGGCCAAATAAGCCCGGGGCTCCAGATACTGATTTGTTTGACCGTGATCAATCTTGGTTTGATGGACCTCCAGAGGGCTTCAATCTCACCGTAAGTCTCTTGTAAGCATTTATACAATTACAAACCCAACCCATTAGGATTTGGTGGAACTAACGTCACTATTCCACCTCCTTCCTCAGTTATCAACTTTTGCTACGATGTGGAATTTACTGTTTGGCTGGGTGTCATCGTCTTCTCTGGCATACATATATGGGAAGGATGAAACTGCTCATGAAGAGTTCTTATCAGTTAACGGGAAGTCATACCCACAGAGGATAATCATGGGAGACGGGCTTTCGTCAGAGATCAAGGAGACAATTGCTGGGTCTCTTGCAAGAGCCTTACCTAGAGTCGCCACTGATCTCGGGCTGCCAATAGCCATATCCGAGTTGGAAAAAGGAATGGTAAAACAATCCAGTCTTTTACATTGCATTAGGAACCATACATAAAAATTCCAAGCTCTTTAATCAAGTTCCCTGTGAGAATATAGTTCTCAACGATGTGGGTGTGATTTGTTGTTGAGCAGGGAAGCTTGTTGGAAACAATGTCGTTGACAGGGGCAGTTCCATCGTTTAGGGTTCAACAATGGCTAGTGATTGTTCTTCTGTTCCTGGACGCCTTGTCTGTATCGCGTATTCCTCGGATTGCACCTTATATACTCAACAGAAACAAGGTTAGTCACATTTAACTTGAACATAATAAGGTGGAATCAGGTTAATCTTGGATTGTGTTGGTGTGAAAAAAATCAGGTTTTGGAAGGAAGTGGAATTGGAAATGTAGAGTATGAGAGCATGAAGGATATTCTGTTACCACTTGGCCGTGTTCCTCAGTTTGCTGTCCGAAGCGGGGCGTAGAGACAAAACCCGGTTTAGGGTTTATCGGTTAGAAAGAAGAATGCAACTTTGGAAAATATGAAAATAGATGGGTCCATAATTAAGAAAGCCATTGTTTCGACTGATGTTGATCGTATTATAAGAAAATGTGTGAAAAATATAAAGTCAGGCTTGGCTTGCTTTTTACTAGAAACGCTAGACTTGATGCATTTTCAATTTTGTTTCGATATGATAAAATGGGTCAGAGACGCTGTGTTTGTTCCTTTTAAGTCGTGATTAAATGAGTTATAGTTGAATTGAAATGTCAAATTTTCTTGACTCGGACTTGTATTTAGTCTAAGATCTTGATTATTATTGACGATGCGTTCTCTATGCATGTAATAAGAAGAAAATTATGATTGACTATGCATATTTTACTTCTTTCTTTTTGCATTTATTTGCCTTGGGAATTTGTTAATACATGGAAGAATTGTCCAACTTTTGATTTAATGTGGTAGGGATAAAATCCAATAATTGGGTGAATTATTGAGATGTATAGCTTACTAGATAGGGTCTCTCCCTCACCTTATAAAAAAGTGGTCGTTGATTAATTTGATTTTCTTTTTCTTTTTTGCCTCTCCGACACGTTTGACCCAACGGCCCATATTTAGCCTGTGGTCTCCTTGGTATATTCTTGTATCCATTTACACACATACACACGTTGAAAGACGGATATACCCTCACTCAAAAAACACATATGATGATTTAAAAACTTTAACTAATCGCATTAAGATAATGGGTTCTATGCGTATTTTTTTCCATAATCCTTATCTCTCTGTTTTCGTGAGTTTGGGGGTGAAAAATAGTTTGAATGGTCAAAACTCAAAAAGAGGAAAAACCAAACCCAACGTAACTTTTAAAAATCTTCTTACTAACTTCGAAGACTCTATAAAATTATTAGTTTTTTTCACTTGAAGACTATCCATTTGCCTATTTGTTTTTATTCTACAGTCCAATGTTGTTGTATCAGTATTGTTTATCAATAGAGAAGACTTTGATACGCATAAAATATTGGTTAGTTTTCGTACAATATAAAAATGTCTCCAACGCATTATAGCATACGCCTCACGAGAAGCCAGCTTTAGAGATTAGCGAGACGAAAGCTCAATAAAATAAAAATTCATAATTCGGCTCACCGAAAAAATAATAAAGTTAAAGAGAGAGGGAAGAGAGATTCATCATCAAACCCACACAATCCCTTAACCGTACGGATTCTCTTTCATATCCTAATTCTTCTCTCTTCTTCATCTTCCCTCTCGATCTGGGATTTCAGGTATTTCTTTGGTACGTTGAAAGATCTGTGTTTCTTCAGTTTTTGATGCTCACGTTTCTCATCTCGAATTCTGGGTCTCTTGTTTCTTTTTGAAACTACCAATATTTTAGGTGTTTAGCTCCAGATCTGCTTCTATGCACTCTGATTTTTCATGAAACTTTTTTTTTTTCTCCCATTTTTGATAGGCCGATTCTCTCTACCGGAACTTTATTGGATTTAGGTGGTCTCCGTCTAGATCTTCTTATTTTAATGTTTTGAAATTTACATTTTTGTAGCAGAATTTTTAAATCATCGATTTTTCTTCGTTCAAAACTTTCCTATTAGGGTCCTCTTGTTGTATCTCCTCTGCGTTCTCTGTTAAGTATAGTGTTCCAAAATGTCGTAAAGGCTTGCTTTTTCTTGTGATCTTATCTCTGTGTCTGCTCTGTGAAATTTTCGAACTTTTTCTATTCAAATTTTGTGTTCGTCAAGCTTCTTTGAAGCTTTTTCTCCGTTGAAATTTGAATATGTAACAAAAAAACATTGAATTTGTTAATTGTGTTCTCTGCTATGAACTTACTAATCGAGTGAGTTCGTTTCTAAGCATTAAAATATTACACGTTCGATAACTAATAACCAGAAGTGTTTCTCTGTGATTATTGCTGCAGGCTGAGTTTTTTTTTCTTCTGATTCAACCGAGAGCTTGAAGAGTTTGAAATAAAGAAGGAAACTTATTTTGTAGCCTGAAAATGGCATCGGTAGGCATAGCTCCCGTTCCCGGGGCAAGAGACTCTACTGCACACGCTACTGCTGTTGATAAATTGCCTGAAGAAATGAATGACATGAAAATTCGAGACGATAAAGTAGGTTTTGATGCCTTGTCTTCTATAGTTTCTGCTCATAGTTTTGGAATGTTTTAATCTAAATCGATTTTGATTGCTAGGAAATGGAAGCCACAGTGGTAGATGGCAACGGTACAGAGACTGGCCACATTATAGTGACTACTATCGGTGGAAGAAACGGCCAACCAAAACAGGTTTTTGCTTCTTTGGTTTCAACATGATTATAAATAAAAAACTGGTTGATTCTTTAGATTTTTCTCTGCTTGATTTTGATTTCCTCAAATGTGAATGCAGACGATCAGCTACATGGCCGAACGTGTTGTTGGACACGGATCTTTTGGCGTTGTGTTCCAAGTGAGTTTTGTTCTTTTTTTATCTTTCTCACTCTAAACATTATCCAATTATATGATAATTAATCGATCTATCGGCTGAGCTAGATTCCTTTGCTTTTTTTTCTTATATGATTCAGGCGAAATGCCTAGAGACGGGAGAAACTGTTGCGATAAAGAAAGTCCTACAAGACCGGAGGTACAAGAACCGTGAGCTTCAAACCATGAGGCTACTTGACCATCCGAATGTTGTGTCTCTGAAACATTGCTTCTTCTCAACCACCGAAAAAGACGAGCTTTACCTCAACCTGGTTCTTGAATACGTCCCGGAAACAGTTCATCGTGTTATCAAACACTACAACAAACTCAACCAGCGAATGCCTCTCATATACGTCAAACTTTACACGTACCAGGTATCATTTATTGCATGTTTATAATTGATTTAAGATTTATTTGGTGGATCACTTATCGGTTTGTTTGATGTTTGGCAGATTTTTAGGGCCTTATCTTACATTCACCGTTGTATTGGCGTTTGTCATCGCGACATAAAACCTCAAAACTTGTTGGTATGCAAAAGAATTCACCGTTTAAAACTACTTTTTTCTTTAGATTCCAGAATTACTTGTGAGCTCTGTTTTGACACTACTTTTTTTTTTTTCCACTTATGATGAAACAGGTAAATCCACACACTCATCAAGTAAAACTATGTGATTTTGGAAGTGCAAAAGTATTGGTGCGTTTGATTAATTTCTTGTGAGTGCATATTTTTTCTTGGAAAAAGAAAGATGTCAGTATTTAATTTTAATTCTCGGAAACAGGTAAAGGGGGAACCAAACATCTCCTACATTTGCTCGAGGTATTACAGAGCACCTGAACTTATTTTTGGAGCAACCGAGTATACGACAGCCATTGATGTCTGGTCTGCGGGATGTGTTCTTGCTGAGCTCTTGCTTGGACAGGTAATGCAAGAAAATCGGATTCAAACATTTGTGCTCTACTAAAACTGGAATTTTGTGACTGACAAAACGTATCCTCTGCTCAATGGCAGCCATTGTTCCCTGGTGAGAGCGGTGTTGATCAACTTGTAGAGATTATAAAGGTATAAGCAGCATTACACTTGTTCAATCCAATAACAACTTCCTTGTTTTCATTCAGTAATTTTGATATCACATCTGATGTAATGTTTAATGTCTTGCATTGCGTAGGTTTTGGGAACGCCTACTAGGGAAGAAATCAAGTGCATGAACCCTAATTACACAGAGTTCAAATTCCCTCAGATTAAAGCTCATCCATGGCACAAGGTATGATTAATCATTACATACATAAGTCCACAGTGTTCACTGTGTCTTCTTCACTAGCAGCTATAGACAATTTGACATATCTTCTTATCATATTATGTTCACAGATATTCCACAAACGCATGCCTCCGGAGGCTGTTGATTTGGTCTCAAGGCTTCTTCAATACTCTCCCAATCTACGATCTGCCGCTGTGAGTGTTACACAAGTCGACTTTCTTCTGTGAATCTTTTCGTTATGGTCGTTTCATTTCGTTTTTGTTTTGTTTTATCTAACTTGCATTTGCTCGGAATTGTTAATATGGTCACAGCTCGACACATTGGTCCACCCATTTTTTGATGAGTTAAGAGATCCAAATGCGCGTCTGCCTAATGGACGTTTCCTTCCACCGCTTTTCAACTTCAAGTCTCACGGTAAAGATTTGTCTTCAACTTCAAGTCTCAAGGGTTTAAAAAAACATTAAGAAGATCTTTGAACACTGCTTAGTCTATATGTGAAACATCCTAACTAGAATCTGTCTTGTCATTGTTGTGAAACAGAACTGAAAGGTGTGCCAGTAGAGATGGTAGCTAAGTTAGTACCTGAGCATGCAAGAAAGCAGTGTTCTTGGCTGGGTTTGTAATTTTCTAAAAAAACAAAACTCTAAATGCAGTAGCACGAACACATCACTTCTCTCTCTCTCACGGTATCTTTAAATCTTATATGTACCCTTTGTTTGTTGTTGTATGAGTAGAAGAAAAAAGAAAAGAGTTATAACTGTGGTTGGTTTATAATGTAATAGCCATCAAAAGTATTTTTAGTCGAGAGCTTTTGAATCTTTCTTCCTCAGTCTAGTCTGTTAAATCATCAAAACACTGCTAACTGTAGCAAATTGGTTCAAAAATCCAAAACCGAACTAAACCGAAAATTCTAAAATCTATAAGAAGGATCAAGAAATCTAACACGAGCCCAGTCCAAAACTTGGTTTGGTTAAAAGAAGCCACACTTTTGATGCGGTGATCAGGTAAAGAGAAGGTCATGCCGTCGGGGAAATATTTCTGCGATTACTGCGAAAAGGAGTTTCAGGATACTCAAGTCGCTAGAAAACGCCATCTTCAGAGCAAACCTCATCTTCGAGCTAAGGCCCTTTGGTACAGCTCTTCTTCGGGTCTCTCTCTCTCTCTCTCTCTCTTCTCTCTCACTCTCTGGTTGGTATTTGCTTCTCTTTCTTACGAAACGATTTTTAACAGCTCGTTTTTCTTTTTCTACAACGAATATCTTAGATCTCAATCCACAAGTCTCCAATTTTGCGCCCAAAGGTTTATGCAATCGCTTCGTTGCCTCGGTATGTCTCCAATCGATATATGTTTACACGATTAGTTCTTCGATTCGTCTCTGCTTTTTTCATCTGTTCATCTTCTTAGCAATATTGTAAAGTCTTCTTCTTTCGTTTATTTTCTGGTTGAATAAAAAAAATCTTACCCAAGGCTTTGTACTAATTTGATTCTGCCAAATTCTTCATTGCGTATGCGTAATGAACACCTTTTTGTTTTAGATAAATCAAACCTAAAGCCCATGTGGGGTATGTATTTGCTTAAATGGGTTTTGCAGAACTTCTGCCCATTCGGAGATTCTTGCAGATACTTGCACCCTAAGAACAACATTGCAGGCAACACAGGTGTAACTGTGATTTGGTCTCTGTTCTTTTTTTAGGCTTCTTAAAAGCTCTAAAGAAATCTCCATTACACACGCATTCTAGATTATGTCTTGTGCTGCTCAAAAACATGATTCAATTGTGCAAAACAGGTGATTTCGTTAGCGAGAGACCAGGAAGAAGTTGGTTTGATCTTCCGCCGTCTCTGAAACCGCCTCCTGAGCAAGGCTATCCTCAGCTTCCCTCCATAGACTGGGGATAGAACTACTTCTCTTCTTTCTCTGCATACTGTTTATATTTTCTACTCTAATCTTTAAAAACATTGGTTCTTTTACATTTCTGCGATTTCCTGACAGAAAGTGTTTTGAGTTTCATTAGTAGGAGCAATTAGCTGCTAAAGCTTAAGAATTATACACTGTTGCTCCAAATTCCAACTTAAGCCGAGAGTAGAACTCTGTGAGAATAGTAAGCAATTTCTAAAGTGCAATTGGACTTGGCGATGCCTAAACGTAAAATTCATGAACGCATATTTTAGTTTTGAAGTAAATTACCTTTTTTTTTTTGTCAAACAATTTGAGAGTTAATTTGAATAGAGTCCACCGACAATAGTAAGCTACTGAAACTTGAAACTAAGACCCTTGGATATGTAATTTGGTTAACAAATGTTATTCATAGTTGTTCTAATTATTGTAGCTTAGTTAAATCGCAATCGCGATTTCTTTTAACTGTGTTTAAAATAGAGGAAATTATGGAGGAAGAAGAGCAAGAACGCGATTGTATTCTAATCTATTTCCTCAACTCATGTTCCAATGTTGAGGATAAGTACTAATTTAAACTGATTGATTTATATTCAAAGCTATGCCAAGTCAGAGCTGAGTTGTATTCAATTTTTTGGGACCCACAATTTGGTAATGTTGGGTCAAAGGTTGAGAGTTCTAAAACGTTACGAACATGCACCTGATGAGATTAAGAATCATTTCAAAACAAACAAGGACAAAAATCAATTATTATCACCCTCAGGTATATTCGAAATTAAATATTTTCATATGTTTTAGACCTTTTAGTGACGGCGATCATATATCCTTTGTTGAAAAAGTCTCCTGTTTGAATATTTGCTAATTGCTATAAATGTTTTACATATTTCCTGTTTTAAATGTTTGCAGGTGAATTACATCATCAGAACAACGTTGTCCATTCAGAGGTTTGTTGAGTGAGCCAAAAAAATGTTTTTTAAAACTTTTGAGACGCTGCAGATTTTGAGTAGTTTTATTCGACTCAATTTATAAACGTAACCAATTAGGGATTTTATTAAGACAGTGACATCCATCCACGAACCAACAACAGTTAACAGTGCCATTCTAACGTTTTAGGAGACATGTAAAATGGGAGATTTGAACAGAGGCCATTCTAGCAAAGGAAATAGAACAATGCTTTGGTCTTCTTATACATCATTTACTGTATAAAAAGTTCATGACTGAGGAGAGAAAGAGAACGAGAAAGAGAGAGAGAGAGACAACTTCACTTCTTCCAAATCTCATGAAGCCTTCATGGTACCTAAACCATGATCACTTTCAGCAAATGATTCATTCGCCCCAAAAGCTCGATGCCCTGCTCAACATTATACTATTATATTTAGTATCAAGATGTTTCTAGTATAACAACAACACCGTGACTAAGTGACATGAAAGGCTAATCAAGTTTTTAGTCATGTATAACATTTAACCTTACAGAGACGTGCATCTGAACCCTTCTCTCACAAGTTCGTTCACCGCGTCCTTGAGCCTATGATAATCCTCAGGCTTGTTGTAAACTTGAAAAGAAATGCGAACATACCCCGAGATCGGATCAACCTCTCCTTCCCCAGGTGGTCTAAAGTAGATCGGCGTTTCAACGCTGAACTTTTCTCTCAAGAGGATTCTAAGCTTCAAAACATCCGAATCACTCGACACCCCTAAGCAAACGGGCAGCCCGACCATGACCATACTCGCACACATCTCCGGCGGGCAACCGAGCTGAGTCCCCCAAGACTTGACCAGCATTCGACCCATCTCAACCACAGAGTCATGATTCCTCTTCTTTATACCATCAATCCCTCCTTCGAACCGGTTCACAAACTCCAAAATCGACGGTACAACCAGCTGAGCACTGTAGTCTCTGGTTCCAACCCAAGAGCTCTCAACAGCTAGACCGTTCCCGTACTCATTCGACACAACCGGGTGGTGCAAATCTCTAGCACCGTTGTTCGACTTCCTACAATACAAGAAAGCAACCGAAGGCGGCGCGAAGAACCACTTGTGGAGATTGCTCGTGTAGAAATCAGCACCGATCTCCTTCATGTCGACGTCGACGCAGCCAATGCCATGAGCGGCGTCGACGAAGACCTGGTCAACACCTTCTTCTCTGCAGATTTTCACAAGCTCCTTGACCGGAATCACAACGCTAGGCATAGACGTCACGTGATCGATCAAAGCTAACCTAACCCTTCTACCATTCGCCTTCCCTGACTCTAACGCGTTCCTAAACCGGCCGACGATTTCGTCTGCCGAGATAACCGGGAAAGGTAACTGTACCTCGATGACCTGTCCGCCGGAGCGTGTGACGTACGCCTCGACTGACTTCTTCACGGAGCCGTACGCGTAGTGGAGCATCACCACCGCGTCGCCTTTCTCGAACCTTCCTTCGCGGAAGGCCCAAGCGGTTTGCTGAAGAACGATCGCGGCCGCCGTCGTTGCGTTATCGACGATGGAGACCTCGTCGTCGTGTTCGGCGTTGATGAGGCGTCTGATGACGGCTCTGGATTCGGAGATTTTGGGCTTGAGCTCGTCGAAATAGAATCGATCCGGCTGCCGGAGGAAACGGAGCTGCCAATCTCGCTGGAGGGCGAGGATGGACGAAGGACAGCAGCCGAAGCTGCCGTTGTTAATCCGCGCGACGTCCGGATCGTGATGCGAAAACTCCGATTCGATCTCAGAGGGAGAAATGAAATTCGACGATTGGGGAGGAAGAGAGATTTTGGGGCGTTTGACGAAATCGGGAACCAATTCGACGCCGTTGGAGGAGGAATACCTTTTGGGATGACGGTGGTGATACGAAGCGGCAGCCTCTTCCGGCGGAGAGAGAGACGCCATGGATTTTGACGAGGAAGTTTTTCGAGTGGTAATCAAATCAAATCAAAATCGAAAATGGAGAAAGAGAGGAGGAGGAGGAGAGAAAAACTGAAGAAATGGCTGCTTTCATTATTAAAGAGGATAAAGACAAGTGGTGAAAGTGCGGTGCCACGACGACATGGGAAAGTGTGAAAAAAGCTTTTTGTCATGTACCCCGTGGTAGTGTCACGTGAGTGGCGCGTGATATGGAAGATATCACCTACCAAACGAACTACACTCACGTGTTAAATGGTTCTTCAAAGTTTTTTAAAAAGCTGTTGCGTCCGACACATCTTTAAACAGGGTGGTACGGACAAGAATGACACTTCAACGGTTACTTTTAAAGGCCAGATTTTTTATATATAGCCAAAAAGAGTCTATACGATTAACAAATTGAAGATTCTTTCAGATGATGTTCTGTTTTGAACTGTGAAGGTAAGAACATAAAATAGAATTACATAAAAGTACAGTATTCCTGAACGTGATGTAACACCTTAATCTTCGTCGCTATCGTTGCCAAAAACCGATGCAATCGCTACTTTAGGCTTCTTGTTGCTGCTCGTGGGTTGTTGGCTCTACAAAGATGAAGCAGATAGCTAGTTTTAGTGATCAGTGAGTAAAACGTGACTAGGTAGCATATAGCTCATAGGTACCTTTGATATAGTGCCGCTTTTGGAAGAAAAGCCAAACTTCAATGTTTTACGCTGATCTTGGACAGCAAGTGGTGGTGCCGTGGTCTTAGCAGGTAATGAAACCGGGACATTCTCTGGGTTTTCTTCTTCTTGCTGGTTCTGTTGAATCTGCTGCTGTTTACGAGCATCAGCCCTGAACAAGTCAAAATCATCAAATTGGGTTTAAGTCCAACGCGTACACAATCTTTCCAAAACATACAGAAGCTAAAAAAAAAAGAATGTGAGCACATTTTAGTCATCTCCCTCTCTTGACGCTGCTGCTCTCGCTTCTTCCTATCATCGCGGCTGCTTGTACCGTGCATTTCTTTCATTTCTTTGAACCGCTGTATAATGACGACAATTGGTGTCTTAGGAATGGAATATAAGCTATAAAACAAGAAAAAGTCAAGGGTTTTAAGAGTGTTTCCTTCCTCACCTTCTTGTGGTTGTGATCGTATGAGCTCAAGTGACCTTCAAACTCCATCACGGTTCTATACTGTTTGCTGCAGAGTTCACAAAAGAAGACTTTACGGATTTCTTTGACATCGCTCTGGATCTTCTGCTCACGTTCTGCTAGGACCTGGATTGTCAATAATGGGCACGAAGCGGGCAGTAGAAAGCCACCAACCAGGTAATAATAAAACTGCAGTTTTTTTTCTTTCCTCTTTACGATATACACACAGCCTTCTGCTCTTTTGGGAATGGGTTTTCAGAAAGTTAAAAGGCATCATTTTCCATATGTGTTTTTGAGCGCATACCTCCCGTTTCTTTGCGATTTCCTCCGTCTCCTCCATCTCTATATCAAGCTTCTTCCGCTGGATATTTTCCTCCGCAGTGAAATAATCGTCCTCTTCTTGCTTTCCTAGCCCGAGTCTTCGATCCCTGATGCCGGATTTTATCGGCTCCGTGATGCCTGAGTGAATGAAACGCAAATGATCAACGTTGAGGCAATTTTCTAAACACTCTAAAATTACGAGTTCGTGTCTACACAGACCTTGCTCTTGCTTTCCGAGACCTTTTCCTTTCCAGCCCATTTTCTGAAGAAGACGAAACCCGACGTTTGAAGATGATATCATCGTGTCTAGTGATGCTTGCTCCACATCCTCGAGGTCAACGTTTTCAGTAACCCTGTGTGTCATTGGCAATCGAAACTCTTCTGCCAATTCCTCAATAAAAGACTCTTGATTCATCTACACGAGCTCAAAGGCAACAACAATTTCATAAGCAAAAGACCAAAAACACATAGACTTTAGTGAAAGGAAAACACACTCAGTAATGGAGGTCGTGAATAATTGACCTGATCCTTCTCATATATCCGTTTCTCTCTGCTACTTGCTTCCGTCTTACTTTCACGCCTCCTACTATCCATTCCGCTATTGTCACACTAAACCCCAATGCACCTGTGTCAAGGCCGGTTCTGAAGAATAGCAATTGAGCCACGAGATTAGGGTTTCTGCGACACTGCAATCGAATTCGACACCGAATAGATACGATTGGATCCCAGAATAGTATTGGTAAAGAGGTTCTACAGATCGAAAAATTAAGGGTTTCTTAATCTTTTTGCTTTGAGATCAACACAGAGATAAGAAAAAAGGGAAAACTTAGGTTTACACACGAAAATACAAGCAGGGAGACGAAAACACTATTTGATCCAATGGGAAATTTGAAGAAACTTACCTGAGAGTTCGTGAAAGAGAGAGAGAGAAAGAGACAGCGCGGCGCAGAGCGAGGAAGAAGAAGAACAACAATGGACGTTGAAGAAAATATTTCATTCTTTTTTTTTTATCAGGCCCGGAACTTCTCGGAATTGGGCCCAAAACAAAATACAATAATAAAACATTAAAATTTATCATCGCTGCATTAAACAAAATTTTAAACAGTTTTTTTTTTTTATAAAAAAAAAAGGTTACAAGTAACGTGAGTATCAAAATCACAGTTTATCGTGTTTAGTAACTTTAGTTATTAGTAAAAGTTTTCCTCTTCGTTTAATTGGGTTTTGTCTCCTAAAATAGTTGACTATGTTACCCGGAATCTATAAGCTGTGTTTTTTAATCTCACCATGTGTGTCATTTTATTTTTGAATTAATATGATCCATAAAAAAATGTTATAAGTAATGAAAAAGTGAAAAAGGAAAGTTTCTTGGCACAAGTTGAGGATTACCCACTCTGTTTCCTATATTTTTCTTCTGATATCTCTCTCTTATACAAATATTAATAGGTTGAAATTTACATTCTTTCATATGACTGGTCGTGACAAAAAGATGAGTGACTTTTGTAATGGCTTATAATGGTGTTAGTGAGCTTAGTGGGTAACTTTTACTTTGAGACATATACTATCTTTGGAGTATGATTTATATATTGTAACTAAAAAGTAAAACCTATGGACTTTTATACTGCTAATCTTGGAGTAAACAATCAAGAGAGCCAGTATGAATATTAACCCCAAAGATGAGTAAATGGTTTCATTTCTTATCTAACTCCAAACGGTATTGGTGTGATCATTTATAATAATGTTTATTTCTGTATTTCCAAAAATTAAGCAAAAAAGAAAGCCAATCAAGACTAACTCATTCAAATCCGAAAAGAATCAAACTTTTTCTTTCTTCTATATTCCCTATCAAATTCGATAACGATCTTTGTTGGTGGTGGATTAGTTATGCTTTAATTATAGCTTGAAATATACAGTTTATATAGGCCAAAAGATTATTATAGAAGATTAGGATAATTGTGTGGAAAAGGTCTACTAAGATATTACGTAATTACTAATTGTTAGAATGTAGCTTGAAGATGTTGAATATATTCCACAGAGAAGAAAAACGAAGAAAGAAGCACTCTTTGTGACTTTGTCATATTAAAAAAAACACACACACATTTGAGTGTTTTATTCCTCGACAGATTCCTTTTCATTTGTCTTTTGACTGTTATCTCTTCAATCTTCCTTGATGTTATATTTAGTTAATGTTATTCACAAATGTCCATTTACATTAAAGGTTTAAGATAATTCAGAAAATTGACTTGAATTTAGAATTAGCATATGATACGGCTTAAGATTTGATACATTATCAATGAGCTACAAAATTGATATATTTACTTAAAAATATGAAAATGGGTTTTTTTCGAAAGTCAAAAGAAAATCGTGAAGTTAATCATTTTTTAATTTTTCCTTTTTTATAACTTAGGGACAGAGGAATGATGAAGTGGTACTGTGGTAGTCTGGTAGAGTTTGGCACTTGGTTGAAAATTGAGAGCGAGAGATCTAGAAGCATAATTGAGCGAAGAAATCAAGGACCAACAAGAGAGAAACAATACTGTGTATAGACTTTTATTACAATAATGCTATCTTTTTTAAAAAATGGCGCAACATAAAATAATACACACTTTTTGTATGATTCGATCACTGTAATAGAAAATGTATGAAGAAAGTTCAAAAGAAAGACTAAAAGAAACAGAGAACTTGGATGCCTTTGGGAAGGAACTAAGAAAATTTATATAAACGAAAAGGGACAGAGCAAAGAACCTTAAGTTGAAGTTAAGTTAACACAGACCCATTTGAGGTTGAGCTTGTCCGATAAAATCTCGAGAACCGTCCAATTGTAAATTGTAACACCAGATTCCACGTTTCTTCATCGTCATCCTCGCTTCGGGTGCTCGAATAATATCTCCATTACTATGATTTTCTTTATATTTATTTATATTATTAAATTGTGGAAAATAATTATACGAAAATAGTTCATTAATTCTCTGAAGGGGATAAATTAGACCAAATTAACTCATTATCTGATGGATGAATTAGCCAAACATATAATTATACCATAGCTCATTATCTGTTGGGTGAGTTAATAGCGTATTATCTGTTGGAGGGGATTATAATACATGTGTCATGTATGTAACAAGTACCATTGAATAAGAAATATGAATATGTTATTGTTTTAGTTATTGGATTAGGATAAAACATTGTGTGTTGAGGAAAAATAATTTACGTTATGTGATATTATTAATATTAAAAATCCAGAACTTCTCCATTTTATTTTAAATGAATATTGAGGTGAAAACTGTTAATACACCACTGATAAAAAAAATTGTTAATATACAATTTTAGTTGAAAATTTTCGAGAAATAATGATGATTTAATTTGAGTTTCACTCTAATTATGCGAAATAAATTGCCCACATAAAAATTACAAACGACACAAAATATCAATCCCACAAAGGAATATATATAGAGGTCCAAAACTTCAAATAATTACAAGAGACACATAAAAACACGTGGGTCCGACAAAGTAGCTAACAACACTGAACCAACCAAGATTCGAACCAAACCGGACCCAAAAAAACTCCTACAAATTGCTGTTTTTCTCAGTTTCCCTATAAATAGAAATCCCATCTCTCCACATAAACCCAAACACATCAAACTAAAACCACCTTAAACAAATTTGAAGGTTTTTTTTTCTTTCTTGAATCTTGGTGTGTTCTTGTTCTGTCGAATGGGAGGCAACAGCAGAAAGAAGTTCTCCTTCTTCAGCTTCTTCAAAGCACGAAGGTCTTCGTCTCATAGAGTTGAAGCAGACGCATGGGACGACGTTGTGTACACAAGAAAGGCATGGGCCAGTGACGAGGACAAGCGTTATTGGGTGGCTGAGCCAGGTATTGACCGTAAAGCTTCTGCCTTCATTGCCAAGTTCCACGCCTCTCGTGTCTCTGAGTCGGAATGCCAAACTCTCCCTCCTTGCCAATCTCATCATGACTAGCCAGCCATCGATCATCATCATCACCATCATGATGATGAAGAAAGAAGGCTAATGGCTTATTTGGTTTGGTTCTATGTATATTCTCTTTTCTACTGTGTTCTGATATATGTCCTTACGATAATTTGTTTATAAAATGTCTTACATGTAGTTTAAAGTCATTAATTAATATTTTAAGTGGAATAATAAACTTGATAACATGCAATTGTCACCGATACATGTGTTTAGGCATTATATATATATAGGATCCATTAATATTTCAACTATTTTCTAAGAAATTAATCAGAATCCATAAACAAACGACATATGATCAAGAACAACATGACAAGGCGTAAATGAAAAAGCTGCAACTCGGACAACATCGAAATAAAAACCTTTGATAAAAAATTATAGTGAAAATAAGCAAAACAAATGAAAAAAACCAAAACAAAAAATAAAGTAAATATAGTTTGAAAACCTTTTATAAAAAAAACCAGCTAGACTAAAAGCTTCTAAGCTTGGAGAAATTACTTATCGTTTAGATGATTTTTTTAAAAAAAATATGACTAAAACTATAATTTATGACTAACCAAAAAGTGTTATTAGTAAACTATCAAACCTTGCTTCAAAAAAAATTTTGGTTTGGGATGTATATTTTCTTTTCTATTTAAAATCTGAATTTCCTTTTTTTTTCTCGAAAAAAAACATAAACAAGGATACTGAATTTATGTCAATATTGCTGGAATACTACAACTAAAGCCACTCTTAACATTCCGGACTTTGCCTTTAAAAGTTTATATATGTATTAGGGGCTTAAGGCAAATGTCCACGGCTATGCGCACGTAGTACTAACATTTTTTCATTGATATGATTCGAGTCAAAAAAAGCTAGTGAAATTTAAGAATTTATACTTGTTTCATGCATTTATCGATCACTAGGAAGTACTTACAGCATACTTGCACTAGCAAGTTCACAATCACAATACCATTAATATTATACCTTTTCCATTGGTTAAACCGTATAAGTAACCATCGCAAAATGTCAAAATCAGCAAGTCCTAGATCTAACAAAATTTAAAGTTGGATAGCTTGTCGTAGCCAATATGTAACATTTTTATATTGTACTTCGATACATTTTTACTATAGTAGTAATCAACTAGAAAGTATAAATATTATATTCATTGAGATTATTTAAACAAGAACAAAGATTTGGAGCCAGCTGTAGAATCTAAAACAATATGTGGATGATATTATTTTCCCACATATATTGTAGTTTGTACACAAAGGTACATTTCTAAGAGTACATTTATTCCCTGCTTTTCTCTCTTCATCCCTTTCAGGCTCTCACCTTCTTTTGCCTATTTTTTTTTTTTATTAATTCCCGTTTTTTTATGTTAACTAATCAATAAATGTCCCTTTTAATACTTTTGTAAAAACTTTGTTTGTAAAACTGGGAAAAATATATGTAACTCAAATGCGGTTGGCTTAACCGGTTATAGTGATGCTGTTTCACTGCAACCGAATTCGAAGTCATATCATAATCATACATGCTACAGTTGGGACTGAACGATTCACGCTTGTGAACATAAGTATTATCAAATTTTGATCCCGAAATATTTGTGGAAGGAGATACTATAATGCTTATCA